TGCAGGGCAGGTCATTTTGATGCATGACGATGAACAAGGCCTCATCGTCAAGGAAAGTTGTTTTGCGCTTGCGTCAGGTCAGCTTGTGGCTGTCAAAGGCACTCTGGCGAGCAGAAGCTGGGCTAGCCCGAGATATGACGCATGAAAAGTGTCTCAAGCTTTGACGTGGTGCGAAGCACAGCACGAAGCAAGGCAAGGGCACCAATGGCAAGAGCGCGACTCACACTGCATTATTTGTTTGCAGCGCCGAAAGCGCAATGCCACTCACCCTGTCACCGTCATCCCTTTTAAATGCAAATGCTAAAACACATACATTGTTCAGCAGCGTCAATGAACAGGTAATGTACAAGTGCTGCCCAGTAAAACGGCGCTGTCAAAGCCCAATGACGTAGACTCTCTTTCCAAACACACAAAGGATGCAAACACGACTATGCATGATTGCTGTGCAGAAATTATGGACCTCTGTATCATAAGCATCCGCGTATGTTACGCGCGTTGTAACCGGGTCCTTTTTTGGACGGTGGCTTTCATACTTTCATACTGTTGAATCCCGAAGTAGCTTTCTTCTCTAAAACTCTACTTGGCGAGGCTGTTGGCTATTATTTGACGTGGGGGCGAATGTCAGCGTGCTTTGTCCTTTGGTGTTTGAACGGCTGCTGCTGCTGCTGCTGCTCTTATGAACTGGTCAACGCAAGGGGCATATGCAAAGTTGAAAAAAAGTCAGCTGTAACCGTGCTTCAATCGCTGGTTTAACATCAAAGTCGCTTAGAGCAATTCTTGAAGCAGTGGCTTTGCCATGGTTTAAATGCTTAAATTTGAGAATGCACCCTAGCACGGGCTAGAACACACCTGATTGTGAGAACGGGTTGATTAGGGTCGCCGCGTTCGGTTCTACACTGCCAACATCAGTTTTATTTGTTTCGGATGTTGTTGTTTTCGACGGGGCTTATTTTCTATAGTGAGTGTATATACCACCAAGCTTATAACTTTCCTGCCTCCGCGAGTCAAGATCAATGCGTCAACCCGATAGGCACAGTAGGCGTGATCTCTCCGCCAGTTACGCTTACGGACGCCCTGCTCAAGCCTTCGCAAGTATCCGAAAGCTTGCCGAGCCACTGTTTCGATAAGCATGCTAGAATCGGTTGTATCAATCATGTTTGGAACTTATTTATTCGTACTTAGCTTATCCAGCAACTTGTAATGCTAGGGCCTCACTCATGCTTGCGCATGCCGTTGAATCCTGGATAGCTGATTTAGCTTAACGAGCGTTGTGGCATTGTGCGGGTTCGATTGAGTAACAATGCTGGTGTACATGTTTACTACTAGCTACTAGGCGTTTCCTGGAAAGTATGAACAAACTAGTATTTTATGTTGAGGCTCCTTGTGGCTGGTTCTGGTCCATGGCCTTTGCCTGGCTGACCCTGGAGCACTTGCGCGAGCTATGCCGTTACATTGTGCATATTGTTTGGAATCATTGAAGCTTGAACATTTAAATGGCAGGATTTGCCACGATTCTAGGTCCCGCCATCCGCCAGTGAGCAAGTTACGCGGTCTCCACCTTCCCAAAGCAAAAGACTCAGGTTTTGGCAATTTGTGTGGGTCTTGGTTTTGAGCGCGCTGATCTGTTATGATTTAATACTTTGTCAATTGCAGTACTTAGATTGTTCCGATGGAGAGTCGCAAAACATGCCGCGTAGACTTCTGGACGTGCGTATGAGGCAAGCATTCTGTAGGTAGGTGCTGTATTGTGTTTCCTTAGCAGTCCTGACAATGGCACACAGTGTTTGAGCCCTCGAGGCGCAAATAAGGCGACAAATGTAAGACCTGGCCATAAGATATGCACAGTGGACGCTTACACATGTCCAATACAGTCGGCATGTGTGCTGTTTATGCATGGGTCGTTGGCCATACCTAGGACTGTCCGAAACGAAAGACCTCAAATTTTGAGGTCTCGGGTTCGGTTCCTGATAATCCGTGGGTTTGCCAAGACCTTAAATATAATGCACTTGGGACCCTAGGGTCTGGTGGAATGACCCACTACGGATTGCAGATTCGGATTGGGGCTCCCTTCCATTTTAAAGTTAAGGGTCATGTGCGTCAGGGAAATATCTTTGGAGCCCTGTCAGGCTGCAGGTGTTCGAGTACGAAGGCAGGCAGTACTCGCTGGACAACCGCCGGCTTTTTGCCATGAAAGTGGCTATGGTACAGCGAGTGGTGGCGGAAAAGGTCCAAGTCCGCAGAGACTTGCTGAATGAGCGGCTGACTACCAGCTGCTCCGGCCAGGTGGTGGTTTTTGCGGACGACCCCTCCATCAGTTTCATCGTGGATTTGCAGGTGGCGCTGGATTCCTGCAGTGCACGCTTACCCAACTGCTTGCATCAAGTGGAGGTGACAGAGCCCGGATGTGAACAAGCCCAGCGCAAGATCATGACGGCGCAGGAAATCGTGAAGATTCAGGCCAAGAATCGGCTGCCCATCAGCGACCACTTCATAGGTGCCTTCGAAGAAGTGATGCGCAGCCTGGCGTTCCCTGTGCCAGAAGCCACCAAAGGACGGAAGAAGAGAAGATAGATTGAAGGAGTGCTTTTTCATCAATGGTCGATGGCCACTGCGTCCAATGAGAAGCGGGAGAATGAGGCAGAGACTGAGCCATTCCGATGATCAATCCCCGTGTGGGCGCCAAGGTGGTGTGCACGGTGGTGGTTTGTTGGCGTGCCACGGACCTGAGTTTCTTTGCTGGTTGTTTTGATGCACCGGCTGCCTCCTATCATCGGCCCCTTGCGTGTTTGACATAAGGGGATGTCTCTGCAAAAGAGTTGAAGGGCGGGATACGTCATGTGTGGCCTCGCAGAATGCAACAGTTGACGGCTTGACGTTGGCGAGTTTGTGTGTGTAAAACTCCCAACCTTTCTGAGAAGGCAAGCGAGAATCCAACCGACCCTGAAGGCCAATTCGGACAGGCATGCCAATCATGTCGTTCTCACCACTTCTTTCAATGTGCCGCGCCCCTGCCCTTGAGGTTTGCCAGGGCCCGGAAGCTGCTGCCGAAAGAGCTTTGCGAAAGAAGACAACCGGGCGCAGATCAATGCTCGAGCATTCAGAGTCGAACTGGGCCTTTGCTCCAGTTGTTGCCCCTGCAAATGTAAGTCTTCGGTTTGGTGGGTTGCCCGCCAAACCTTCTGATGAGCCGGGGTCGAGGGCGAGCGCATTTTGTCCCAGGATTATGTCGAATGCGTCGAAACTAGTAGGGTCCCTGGTTTTTTGTTGTCACTTTGATATCAATTTCAACCTATCTTGTTCCAGTTCTGTGTCATTTGGCTTTCTGATGTTGCTTTGCTCCTCCATCTTGGCTGCGATTTGGGTGGTTCTCTCAAAGAACATCAGGGGTCTCCGGAGAAGGTTTAGGCATCTTAACATACACGCCATATCCATTTTATGCTTTTGATGCCAAGAAGTCCTTTACGAGCGATAGCCAGCAAATTCTGGAAGCCAGCAGTACCCTTTTTCCAACAATCGCGGAAGCCCCTGGTCCACTTCCACGATTGTTGGAAACAGGGTAGCGGCGGAAGAGAGGAAGCGGGAAGAGGAATGGCAGAGCAGCTCTCTCGTGATCTCTCGTGCCTTTCATGCAGCTCACAAATTCCGCAGCCCTAGCAATTCGCGGGCAGTAGGTAGACTTAAACTTAAACTCAGGGGTCCCCATTTTTGGTGGTCAATGGTCAATCCTCAGAGCGTTACCGCAGCCTATCACTGCGGCATTTTGCGGCCCAGAGCTCACCAAAAGTGGCCCGTGCATCGCAGAAAGAGCTACCAGGGTTGGCTTTGCGCCATCGCTTTATTTCAAAGACAACAGCACGTCCCAAGCTTGGCACAGCCACGCAGCTTTCACGCAGTTACTTTCGGATAGCAGCCAGTCATCTCAGGTTGCCAAACACAGACATCGACACCCCGTCGCGACCCCTCTTTGATCGGCTGCTGCATTTGGTCCTCCTTACATCGTGGACCAGTTGTGGAGGCATGCGCGCGTTGTGTGGTGGCCAGTCCAGTTGGCACAAGAAGCAATCCTTTTCAAGCATTTCCAACAGCATCTTAGACCAGTTGACTTCTTGACTTCTTGCACTTGACTTGTGCCTTTGTTTGCTTTTGTGCATTTCTGAAGCCCCCGCAACGCATCCATGGCCTCTCGGATTACTTGTGCATGCCATGTGCTGCAAGACTGCGAATGAACCGGTGGCAAAATGGGTGCGTCCTGTTTTGATGCCTTCTGCGGGGTGATGTTAAAGGGAAACCAAAAAGGCACCCACCCTTTTTTGCGGGCCCTACTTCTCAAACACCCACATGAGCTCCCCCACGATGACGTTGCTTCAAGGGGATTTGTTATTTCCTGTTGCGTCACAAAGTTTGTGAGCGGAAGCGGGGACTACCACAGGGCCACCCGTGACGGAACTGCGGAAGGAAGCTCACAAGATCAACCTTGCTATCCTTGCCCTAGGGTTCCTCGCCCCCATTAAAAGCATGGTTAACCCAATTTGGATGATGACAATCCTTAGGCAAACAATGGTGGCTATATGGAACCCCCATTGTTTTAATGGGTTGGATTCCAGGCTTGATGTTGGTGGGAAATAATTCCATCACATAGGCTGAGCTCTTCCGAACCAACATTTTTGACATGTGATTTGTCGTTATTCAGCGGTTGGGTCCAGCCGAAACTTTATCAGAACTGCCAAAACCCCCCTGGCCCCTGGCCTTTGAGTTGAGATCCATTCCATGGCCCTCCTTCGAAACAATAAAACATGGGGGGGGGGGTTAAGTTGAGATCAATTCCATGGCTCTCCTTCGAAACAAGCAAAAACCGGGCGGAGGTTAAGTTGAGATCCATTCCATGGCCCAGCTTCAGGGGAAAAAAAAACACAAAAAGCAAATACATAAACAAACAAAAGAGAAACAACGGGGGGGGGTGAGGCGGAAAAACTGGGCTCCCCGAACGGTTCGCTTGCCAGGCGATGGAGAGCACTCCGCCAGGGGGCCCCAGAGTGATCCGTCAGGTCTTGACGGGCGCGGCTGCAGTCAGCTTGCTAGGATTCCATGGTTTCGGAGGGGGGGGGATTTCTGTATCAAAAGGATCCTCATGATTGATACATGAGGATGCCTCACTCATCGCAGAAAGTCGTCTTGGCACAGGAGAGGACAGGTTGGAGAGGACACTTCCCCAAGCCTGCGAGCCTCAAAAGGACAAAACCACAAGGCGTGACAATTCGTACTGGCGTTTTGGGTTGGTGTTCCTGTACCGGGAGAATTTCGTGATGATCGGGTCAAATATAGGAACGCGCTCCTTAAACCCCGGCCGTCCAAAAAAGGATGCATGGTGCTTGGCAGGCTGGGGTAGTCCTGTACATGGGGGAAATCAGGCAGCCGTCCCCTCCCACAATCAGGATGCACTGCTTGGCAGGGTGGGGCCTGCACAGGAAGAAATCCAGTGTGGAAGGCACGATGAATATTGTTTTTAAGCGGCGTTGTTGATCCTTGATAACCATCGACTGCCCACTAATTCATCGGGGGGGGTCTATAGGAAAGAAGATCACCTCAAAGCGGGGACCGCTGGTGCTCAATCATCAGGCACGAAGATGATGGACAAATAATGATCAGCTCATTTAGTTCAAAGGCCTCCAGGGTTTTTCCTCGGCTTCTGAGTCGTATTTGATCAGAATATTAAGGCGCCCCTGAGATGGGTGGTTTCCTTTTTGTTTCCTTTTAGTCACCACGCCGAAATGGGGGGTTTCCCGATTATTCCTCTGTCAGCTGGGAGGAGGGAATGTTTCGAAACATCCCGAGGTTTGTGCAGGTGGTGGATGACCAGGCCCTGCAAACGGACGCCTCCCTGTCAGCTCTGCTGGAGGAGGGGCATTTCTTCCCTGAGTTTTTCTCGTTTGGCTGAATGTTCCACCTCCCTTTCGAGGCACTTGCCAGTCCGATTGCTCAACTTTGGAGAAGGACCGTCGATGTTTTGACAGGCCCCTTGCTTTATGGCTATTTTGAATCTTTGACTTTAACTTGTTTTACGGAATCGGGAGTTTTCCATTGGACCCACAAAAAGTTGAACACTATTTGTAGAGGGGTAAACAGCAACCAAGCTTGCAGCCAGTTCACCCAAGATTTCTGGGGGATGGTTTGTGATGGTTTGCATTTGTTTTGTGGTCTAAGAGTGAGCAAGCTCAGATTTGAAACCTGACAGCATTTATACTTGTGCCAGTTGCCGTCCTCGTGTCGTGTTCTTTGGGGGCACCGTTCCTTGCAAAGCTCACTCGTTTGGGCAGGTCTCACCGGCAACTCCAACTTAATCTTCTTTGGGCAGGTCTGAGGCATCAGACGTCCATCCCTTTAGCATCCTCAACGTTACACTTTGAAAGGAGGGGTGAAGACAACCAACACCAACAGCGTGTTTGAGAACCATCCAAACATTAGTGGCACCAAGTGGAAGATTCAAAGGACAACCACCAACTTTCTCTGTTCGACCCTCATCTGTTATTGTTTAGCATGTTTCTCAGCCAAAAAGCGGGCCACCCATGTCTTCAGGTCGGATCTGTTGCCGGAGCTTCGCTTCGGCTCTCGCAGCTCGCAGGACCTGGGCAAGAGCTCAGCTCGCGCGCAGGGGCTACGGAAGCCTGTGACGCCGGAAGCCCAGGTGCCCAGAGGCCTTCCATTTTGGGAAGACGAAATTATAGGATCAGGACTGGAGAGATGTTTTTTGTTCCAGACAGACATAAAATGATGGTTCCGCTGGTTTTAAAGGGAGTCTATCACTGCTGGAAGTTTGCTCCAGGGGACGGATTCGCAAATGGAAGTGGTCATTTTGAGTCGTGCCCCGGCCTGGGAGTCGGGCTACGTATTTTACTTGGGCTAACGCGCTTTCCCTTTAACCTGCTTGGGGTGTGATGTTGGGCCGAACTGAGGCCACACACATGACATGTGTCAGGATTCAGAAATCGCGAATCCTTGCACACAGTTGAACCCAACTGATTTTTGATCACGTTCTTTGTCAGTCGACCGCGAGTGCCCTATGCCTGCTGTATTTGAGAGAGAGAGAGAGCTCTAGATCTTATATACTGCCTGGCATGGGTATTGTTATCGTGGCGGGCGTGGCATCGTGGTGGTGATAGTGCATGATGTGTTTGAAGACTAGCAGGCTTACAGATGTCGGCTTACCTATTATTTGATTGCTGATTGCAGCTGTATTACTCACCTAGGGTGACTAAAGCTGGGGATTTGTCTTTTGGCCAAGTTCTGTGAGTGGAGCACATCAAGTGTCCCCAGTCGTTCAGTGTCGTTCAGTGGCACCCTTTGTTTCTTTTCTGGTGGGTTCCCCTCCAAAAATGGTCCATCCCCCCCAAAAAAATGAATTGGTTCCAATGGCTTTTCCACTCAGGTCGCTGACTGCAACTGCTTCTCCCAAGCCCAAAACTCCGAGAGGTCGGGGCAGTGCTTGGGCGACCAGCGCGTGTACTTGCTGAATGACGGCCGGTGCCCGATCGGCTTCCTGAAGGCACCCGAATCGCGAAGCGCGGATCGGCTTCGTGCAGCACTGACAAGGCCTTTGGCGCGAACTAGCGGCCCTCGAGCGTTTTGTTGGGGCTGCCCTTGACAACCAGCTGCCAAAACTGTTCTCTTTTTAAATGACCTGCTGAAAGTCCGACTTTGAGTTGCACTACACCCTTCGTAAGGGGGCTTCAAACACAAGGCAGCGCTGCCCGCTTCTTTTTTTCTTTGGAGAAGCTGCCGGCAAGTGTTTTTGCGATTTGTGTTTTTGGGGCCACGGCGAAGGGGTCAGACGGTGGTTGCTTGAATGGTTTTTTCGCTCCTGTGTTTGATTTCACTAGTTCGGGGGCCATCAAATGAAAGAGACAACATCGATCCAGGGAGGAGTCGAGCCTCCATAGTTTGCTTCTCAGCGGAGCGCCGCAAAGACAACGCCACACCCATAGGGCAACTGGATCTCTGCATATAATACGGCCAGGGTCAAACATGTGGGTGTTTTCAACCATCTGTCTACCTTATCAGGAATTAACTTGGAAAGAAGGGAGTAAGAAAGGAAAAGATAGTTTCCTTCCTCTCTGTCGCACGTCAGGTGGGCCGGAAGCGGCTCTTCGTAGAGGCGCCCTTCAGAAAGGGCGACCTCGCGGATGCCAGGGACCGAGCTGATCAGTCATTTTGGGGAACCCGCGCGACCCAAGAAAACCCAACATAAACAGACACCCCCCAGATTGTTTGTAATCGCGCTTGTCCAAAGCAAGACGACCTGACCATAGGGTGGACACTGGTTGGAGGCGTCCCTAGCCCAGCACATAAAGAAGATCCCTAAGTTGAAACCCGAAAGTTTGACGATCGTTTTAGCCCCTTTAATCACCATCCCCAAGCATCCCATTGAATCCGGGAAGAAGCGTCATGCTCTGCTTGAACGTGCAACGGTGGCACCCTCTAAATCCCGTTTCGCCTGTTTGGAGTCCCCACCAGGCCGCGTATCATTGTTATTTGTTATCCCCAAACGGCTTTCCCACCAAGCATGGTAAGATGGTGAACCCTTGTGAACCCCAAAGGGCTTCCAAATCATTTGGTTTGTTTGGGTACCCCAAGCGTCCACTTCTTTTTCTACTGCCGGGCAACGCCAGACCCGCCGACTGACCGAACGGCAAGGTCAAAGACGCCTTCCAGGAGATCAATCCGCTGCGCTGCCGGCGCGTCTTGGGTCGCGTCTTTGCGACGGGGGGGGGGGGGGGGCGATCGGCGGGGGGCACTAGTTGCAGCCGTGGGGTTTTCTATTTTCTGCCATGTGCTTCCGGGACTGGTGGCTCCTTGATTAGCTCCCTTTTTAAAATACAACTTGGGATTCCCCCAGCTCCCTAAGAGCTCCCTTTCAACCACCAGCCAGCCGGGTAACAGTGTCAAATCCGTAACCTTCGCGGAGTCAGAGTACACTGCCAACCAGTGTCTCAAAAGTAGGGGACACCTGGTGGCTTCTTTCTGGGTTCTCTTCTAAACGAACCAAAGAAGGGTTCCCCAAGAAAAGAGACGCCCAGATGCAGACAAGGTAAAGCCCCTGCAAAAATCAGCGGGGTCAGCGGAGCTTCGGAAACAGCTGGTGGGTCCCTTTGGCATATCTTGAACATCGCCGAAAGCATAGAAACCTCTGGAATGTCGACCCTGGTCAAGGTATGAGGTGGACAACAAGCCGTTGAGGTCGGGGTGTTAATATAGCTATTGCATGTATGGTCACACTTTGTGTAATTACTTCTCGGCGTTTATCATCAAATGTTAGCCATCAAAGCGCTAGTCGTTTTGCAGGTGTAAATCGTTTTCACCGCGGATTAACTCTAGTTTCAGTTTGGGGATTTTATTCGAAATGGATTTTATTTGTTGTTTTCTGTTTTTTGTTTTGTTTCCAAAGCACGCCGTAATTATAAGTTAAATGACCATCGGCGTGTAAGAGACAGTAGTCCTTGCTCTATACTAGGGTCTTCGTGGAGAACAAAAACAGTTGTATCTCGAGTTTGGCTATTTTGGGAACCCGACTGATAAACCCGTCCTATTCATATTAATGTGTTTTGTTGGGGTTTAGCGGGGATGTATCACCGTCGGAGGGAAACACCCTAGTCATAAAGATGATCCGGGGTCAGATTAACCCAGTGCTTCCAGATATCACTATAGTAAGGTAACCAGAAAATACCATCATGTAAAACCTACAGGTACAAATGCCTGGTTACCTACTATAGTGGTAATTAGAAGAACGGGGCGAGACATGAAACGGCATCAGAACATGCGTCTTTTTAGGGGACCCCAAAATGGCTTCGAATTTCCTCTTGGTTTCCCTTTAAAGCCACAAAAAATAATTTTCTTGCCAGGTGCGCCTTGGACTTCTACATCAGCGAGAGGTGCGATGTGAGATGAGTCAACTGGGTCCTTTTCGGTTTTGTAGGCAACCGAAAAGGTACAAAAACCAGCCACCTTTTTGTAGGCAACTGAGAAGGCGAAAAGGTACTCGGTTTTTTGTAGGTCCTTTTTGTAGGTCCCCCAGCTAGGTGCCCTTTCTTACCGTTTCTTTTTTGGGGGGAGGGGTTTTGTTACTAAAACAGACTACAGAAAAAAAGTTGGCACCCTTATTCTAACCTCTCTACTGGAGGACCTAGTTTTGTTTTCCTTCGCTCCCTTGGTACAGGAACATTCAGAATGACTGGGTCCTTTTCTTTCTTTTGTTCCTGGGGGCGGAGCCCTCGGCCGGCTTTTTGGGTCAGGTGACAGACTGACTTGATAAAGGCACGGGGGAAGGTTTGAGCCAATACTTGGAGAAGTACCTGTCACCGGAATCTTTGAAGCACTAGGGGCTCCACCTTTGCTGACATCGAGTCGTATGCTGCAGATTTTGATGTCACCGATTGTGTTACCACTGCTGGCGGCGAATGTTCGGAATATGGCTTGACGTCTGAATCGTCATCAAGCAAGAAGAAACCTGCACTCGGTACGGGAACGGTGCTATACCCCCAAGTGTACATTGGGCTGGACAACCAGGATGGCATTCTGTTGCCGGCAGTGGCAGAGCGTGCATTTTTTGTGTCGAGGAGTATGCTTCTTGACATCTGTTTGTGCAATTCAACAACACTGGACTCTCGCATGGAGAATGTCGCCGCCACGGATCCTTGCATGATCGGAGACAGGTCTGCACAAGCTTAGCTGGTAGATGTAGCATTGTGAGGGAACCATCCTTCAAGCGTGTGAAGATCAATGTGGTCTGACTTAAAAAGTGTTTATGTTGGATGGAACACCCCTGGCTGAGGACACACAACCTAACCTACCAGCGTTATAAATCTGCCAACATGTTCTATCACTCGGACCAAGTCAGTTCTTGTTGTATTCCTTCACCTTGCCATCCAGCATGTACAATACACATAGTTACATTTACATACTTAATTGACAAGATAAACAATCTATATATTCTGACTGTTTGATGAGATATTCGCTGGATCGTTGATACCTTTTGCAGTCGGGAGCAGGCAGTTTGCAGCCGCGTGCTCGCCTCCCTCCGGCTGCCTGCGTGTTGTTGATTGAGACAGACCCCGATTTGAAAAGTAAATGCTTGCGGTTTGCCTTCATCCTTGTGCAGATTGTTCAGAAGAAGTTCGAAGATCGCCTCACCTGTGATTTTTCCCAGTTGCACTCTTGGAGCATTTTTGAAGAGGGAATTCCCTCCAGGCCCAGCTTTCTCATTTGGGCTTTTCACATTCCGCCCGCCTTCCTATTGATAAACAGACCCGCAGAAACCCCTCCAGCCGACCCCAGAGGTTGTCAAGACTAATTCTAAATTACCAAATACTCAACTGCCCGGAAACCACATGATTCAGCCAGGCTCCCCAGATATGCTTATTAGTATTAGGGGCCACCCTCGCAATCATCACTCGCACTGCCTTGTGTGAGCGGTTTTAGTGTTAGGATCTCCAGTAGGTTTCCTTCATGAGGTCTTATTCGAAAGTTGTATTCTCAGTGCCTTTTTCTTTCAACCCAAATGGTTGACTGCCTTGCGCAAGCGGTTTTGTTTGCCCTCAAAACATACTCAAAAGTCGCATTCTGAACACTTGGTTTGACAGTTCAAAGGGGTCCCCCTTTCCAATTTGAGCCCAACACTGAACAGCACAATCTGAAACAGTTCTGGCCAAAACTGAAAAACCCTCCGAGGTTGTTTTGTTTTTTGAGGGGCGGGGGGAGGGCAAACCACCAAGCAAAACAGGGGCCTCCAAGTTGGACTCCGTATTTTCTCAGGGCCCAAAAGCAAGAATAACAATTCAAGTTCCTCAGGCCAAAAAAGAAGGACCATAGGTGTCCCTTTTAGGTTAGTTTGGTTAGACAGGCACTGGTTTAGATGGGTTTTATTTCATGTACCAGGGCCATCTAAGTTTCCAAAAGGACACCTATGCGAAGGACATGTTCCGGATGTCACTCAAAGGACCGGATTTTGTCGGCCGAACTGAGCCACTCACTCGCCAGGTACCAGCGCGCGGGGTACGGGCGCCAGCTCTTCGAAGCGATGTTGGCGCGAGAGGGGAGCAGCCCGGAGACGCCATCGCGAGCCGACGGAAATCTGCGAGGTATCCTTTTCAGGTCTCAAAAACCCAGTTGCCCGGTGGATTCCCCGCCCCCCTTTTTCCACCTTTTGTTGGGAAGGGTTCCGATTCCTTTCAAGTCAACCAACCAAGCAAATCGGATGCCGAGTCTGTTTTTCCCATGGAACTCCACTGGGCATCTGAGCGCAAGCCGAACGAAACCCAAAAGTTTTCTTGGTACCTTGTAAGGAGGTACCAAGGGACCCCTTTTCACCCTTTGCACCCTCTGAGAAAGCCAAAACAAATTTGACACATGGCTGTGGCTCAAAAAAGTGGTGCCAAAACGGCGCGAAAAGGTAAATGGAACCAAAGACTAAAACCTGCGTAGCCCTAGCTCTTTAATTTTGAGCCATACCCACATACAGCAGGCTAGCAAGGTGCGAAATGGGTGTGTCTCAAAATAGGCAAACCCGACAATGGGTGGTTTTCTTGCTTGCCCCTTAAACCCATCCCAAATCGGGTACCCTGCAAAAGCCAGACCCTTTCTGGGTGTGTCCCAAAACAGGGGTTGGTTTTTCTGGCTTCCGGGGCGTTCGACAGGCCCACATACATCCGAAAGTAGAACCCCCGGGGGCTTGGGCGCCAAAGGGCCCATTGGATGCTCCCAAAGTCGTCTTCCATGAGGCCATTCTTTGGCTCCAGGTCTTCGTTTCTGGACATGTCATTCTTACAAAGCAAAACCTTTGTCGGCGTTTCTTTCGGGAGTTTTTCAGAAAGGTACATGATTCTTGTGAAAGGCAGGCAGTGATGAAGAAGAAGCTTCCGAAGCCCTTCGAGCAAGCTGTAATCCGTTGTTTTTTTCTTGCTTGGTATATATGGACACCTAATATTTCCCCCCCCCCCCCCCCGGCCAACCCCAAAATTCGCCAATACTAATGTTAAACTAGCTAATACTAAGCCAATGCTAAACTATGCTAAACTGTAAATCCCAAAGTGTGCTTATTAGGGGTCAGCCTTGCGACTAAAGGGGCTCTTTGGCTTTCAGAGCTTTTACTCCAAAAATGCACTTGGAACACAAGTCAACAAAGGCCGCTTCCAATTGAAAGTTGTTACTCAAAAGGTGTCTTTCTGAAACAATTCAAGGTTTTGATTTTTATGAGTCTTTGGTTCGAAGTTCTTTCTCGGAAATTGCCTTTTGAGCACTTGTTTTGCAAATCAAAGGGGTCCCACGTCTCCAGTTGTAACCCAAGACTAAACAAGCCAATCTGAAGCAGCTCTGACCAAAAACCAGCGGACCCTAACAATGAAAACCCTCCGAGCTTTTGTCTCTTTCCTTTTTTTAAGGGGGGGACGGTTCATTACTAGGGAGAACGGATTACTTGGCTAAATTGAACTTAGACTAACCCCAAGCCTCGTTGGAGCCTCCATCGGAGAGATTGGGACCTCCGTTAGGTTTGGGACCTCAAACAGGCCACCCTGCCTGAGGATTTCCCTGATTCTTAGGCCAATTTAAGCCTTGACCAGAATAGATGGTAACTGTCAGTGATCATTGCAGACCGGAAGGGGGGTCTGCGCGGGGGGGCTGTTGGACAGGAGGAGCTGGGCTATGACCGTCCTTCGTTGAAGTTTGTCAATTTCCTGAACAAGCACTATGGGCTTCGCAACTACAAGGCAGAGCCCGATGCCGTCATGTGTCCGATCAACAGGGAGCGCGTATCCTGGAGTGAACAGGCCGACTTGAATTTTATTTCTTGAAGCCCCGGCCGCCCATGGTTGAAACCTTTGTTTTTGAGCTGCTTGCTGGTGTGGAACGACGGCTTCTTCAGCGAAGCATATTTCACCCGTGGATCCAATGACCTGCGCCAAGGGAGCCACCCGTTAAAAGCCCAGCGAGCGAACTCAGGTTTGGTCGATCGGCCACCTTTGTATCTGGCTTCTGAGTCACCAGCAGGTGGCCTATGCTTAAGGGCCAATCCCAGGCCGCAAATCCCCAGGCCGATGGGGCGAAGATGGTTCCGGCCCTGGCAGCAATGGCGGGTGCGTTTTTTTTCAGGGAGCCCCGAAGAACCATAAAAGTTGCAGCGAAGCTCTGGACGCAAGAAATATGTCAAGCATGGGGGAATGGCCAACTTCCTATGGGAAGTGGTTTCTAAGGGTCTTTGCATCCTATTACACCCAGCAACCTACCCCATTTGGGACTTCCAAGCAGGAATTGTGTGATTTCTTCACCAGCAACTGTCAGTAATTTCCCGGCCCCACCCAATTTGCCCATGTCCTCTTGGCGAGCATCCGCCATTTTGTCCTTGTGGCTTCAAGTTTCGGTTGGTTCACCGAAGAGATCATCCCGAACCAAAGCTCTCGCCCCTGGAAAACTGCGGCCTTCGCTTTCGGCCAGCCTCAAAACAACAACTTCGTGGTCTACGACGACTTCTGGGCGAGGCGGCGATCCAATTCCGAGCGGATCGATACGACCGGAGACCGAAACGAGCGAAGGAAAGTCCACGTTTCACCCACAGAAATTTAATGAGCAGCCCCAACCCCCGCCAAAGGGCAAGCCTAGAGGAGAATTCAGCTAACCTGACCTCAGGGGATGAAAGCTGTTGAAGCCCAGGCGACAAACCTGGAGAAAAAATCAATGGGATTTCTGCGCTCGAATTTGACCTGGTTGGCAAACGATGCCAGACTTCCCAACTTCAAATGCATTGGTCACAGGTCTTCATTTGGAGGCAGGCTCAATTGCGTTGTATGTTGTCAAGCTTTGCTTTGGGTCGGGGATACTCAAGTCAGGGCACCTTGTTGCGAGCTCGGGGTAGCGATTTGAGCTCAACCATGAAGATCACTTGCCGGCGAGGTTCCTGAAATGTTTGCTTTGCAACTTGAAGTATCTTGCCCAGAGGGGTTTGTCTCCAAGAGGGGCACAATGGGGTAACCCCCCAAAAGATGGTTTGTTCCTTTTCCATCTTGCTAGCACGATCCCTCCAAAAAGTTCCCTCTAACAAAGGCACCCCCAAATATAGCAAATATAACCCCCTAGACTCTGGTCGTAGAAGGTACTGAAGTCCTAATTTGGTTCCTCTATTGTGAGCTGCATGTTTGTAAAAATTGCAATGGTCTACATGCAGAATTCGAAGCTTATTTCTCAGGGCGTTGGTTGCCGAACCAGAGTTGTAAGCTTTGAAATGGCCATGAGCCTTCGTGCAAGTCAAGCAGACAACTTCTATCGGCGATGTCTTTATCATGTCTGCCAAGCCGGGGTTTGCTCGCCTTTGGCCTAGCCTTTTCTCCAATCATCATGGAACTTGATAGGAGGAAGACGATCATCCTCTCGAACAGACTGCTTCTGCTTGCATCCTCAGTTGTATGGTTTGCCTATGTTGGTCCCATCTACGCCACCCCGAACCAAGTCGCGTCGCGTGCCAGGGACGAGCGAATGCATTTGAGTGGAGCCTGCGGAGGTTCAACCTGCAGGCAGGGGGAATCTGACGGCCCTTGGGGGATTCACAAATCGGCAAAAAGTCAAGCTCGCCGGGGGGGGGGGGGGGCATGAGGGGTTTCCTTTTGTTAGGTTTGACAATTATAGCAATTGACAGTTTTGAAAGGGACCAACTACGTTTTTGCGCACTCGAGGAGTTTTGTTGGGGAAGACGTTACACGACGGAATGAAATGCATCGAGGCGGTAGAGGCATTCTGGTGTGCGGAGGCTTCTGGGTTTTTCGCGGATATTGAAGATGGATATTGGAAGGCTCCGCTAGCCGCTAGATGGGTGCAAAAAGAAGTGTCACCCTTGCAGCGAGCTGCAAGCGGTACAAGCAATCGCCCGCACGTGGTTTCTTCCTGACTCTTTTGACAAGAGCAATCACGGTTGCAGGCTGAATTCCGACGGCAACAAGTCTCAGTCCTGTTTGCCTGCACGAAGCAAGGGGTATTTCGGCAAACTCATGCTCGCTAAGGAGGCTCCGAACTCGGGCTCATTTCGTCAGGAAGGCGTTGCGTTCGAGTCGGCAGCTAGGCAGTAGCCCTACCAAAACCAACTACTGCATTGCCCGAGGGTCGAGGGAGTGGAGGTTGGGAGGACTGAGCGCTTAGGTAAGTAACCTCGTGTCAATGTTGAGATGATCATATTACATGCAGTATGCCTTTGTTATATTGTTTAAGCGATGTGCTGGTTTACCTTCCCTTTAAAATCGGCCGCAAAGGGGTTCTCGACTTTAGGCCAATGCAACTTCCCGTTACTCGTCCTTTGCCTGGACGATTGGTTGAAAATTCCGGTGCTGGTTTGCACCCTTCCTCGTGTGGTTCTTTACCTTTGCGACATGAAACCCTTCCGGGCTGACCTAGCAGCTCGCCAATCCAGAGGCAACATGTGTCATACAACAAACAAGGCTAGGTCTCCCAGTCCCCTTTTACCCTTTTTGGTTGGGAGGGTTCCCTCCTAAAATAGACTACAGAAAAACACATCGGGCACTTTTATGCTAACCTCTCAAATCTGGAGAACCTATCCCCAAGACCCACGAAGCGGAAGGATGGCCCAATGCTGCCCCCATCCCCCTCCCCTTTTCGTCGCAGGCAAAGTGCCGGGGAGCGCCGTGTGCCGCTGAGCCGGCAGCCTACTGTATGGGTCATTGAGTAGTTCTAGGGGTTGATTCCGATTCCATTCTTTTCGGCCATCGTTCTTTTCAAAAACCAGATCCATTTCCCAGGGTTTTTGCTGGATCCCTGGAAAGAATGGGGGAGGTTACCTTTAGATAAGTGGGTGTTTTTCAAGAGAGTCCCGCAAAATGGTTGAATTCCTTCCGTTTCTCTTCACATCCCAACCAAAAGGGGGAGTTTGAGAACCTACCAAATGAAGTTCGGTAGTCCCTGGTCAATTTGAGAGGGACGCGGTGGGACTCAAATGGGGTTTCCCTTGGGTCGAAAACAGGGCCCTTTTGACGACCATGTGCTGCCAAAGGATCAAAGACCCAAAGAGGCCTCTAGTCCCATTGCGGGCCCATGGCGACCTTTGCGAAAAGATGCCGACATTTAGTGACTCAAGAGAAAGCTTTTCTTGTGAGTTGTTCAACATTTGTGGCAGAGTCCAATAGTTATCCTGGGTGATACCCCTCCAAACACGCTCCGGTGCACCGGTGCCCCTTTTTCCAAGACTTGACAAATTCGCGAGGGAGGGAACCCTCAGCCACAGCATTTGACTGGCTCGGCCGGCCCGGCTTCTCCAAAGGCTTCACGTTGGTTTCTGAATGAAAATTGCCCGGGTGACACTCACACACGAGTTGACCGACCAGTTATCTACTCGAGACTGGGAGCTTGTCTGCAGGACATTTCAACCCTGACGAGACTCGTCTCGATCAGTCTTTCAGATGCAAGTGGTAGAGGAGTAATGAGGAGCAAGGAAACCACGTGTGATTTTCCCTAAACTTGAGAAACCACTTGGACATCACTTGGGAAACCAGCTTGGAAACTGCTTGACTCGACGTCTGTCTTCCCAAGTGGAACCCAAAGGCAAACCAGCGAATCCCGGCTTCGGTCAGCCATCCGACCAGCTGTAAGGTCAGAAGGACCTCTTTTCGCGGCCGCGGCGAGCGAGATACTCAGATGGCTGCTGGCCATTTTTTGTTTCCTCGAGGTAGCACTTGTGTTGTGGGTTTCAAGAGAAGCCAAATGGAACACCGTTGCGACAAAATGTGGCGGAGTCCGATTCCTGAGAAAAGACACACCCATGTGCGTGTTTTGTTTGAGGCTTGAGGGTAGCATAAGGGTCTATAGACAGTATTACCAAGTTGTCCTGACTACGTATGGTTTTAAAGTAACTATTCCACAATCCCGTTCTTAAGAACCAGGCCCTTGTAGTACCCTCTTTGACTTAAAGGAACATCCGGATCCGCCAAGTCACTCCTTCCTTTCACCCACCTGATTTCTTTCCAGACGTTCGGTGCGTATGAGTTGCAAGGGGAGGAGCTTGGCTTTGCCCTTGGCTTTGACCCCTGGGAAGCAGAAGCCGTTTTCGGCTTTGGATCAGACTGATGCTCTCGGACTTGAGTTGTATCCATTCGCTCGTGAAATGACTTGATCACCTGACGGGTGACCCACACCCCCATACCCTCCAATGGAGAACCCGATTCTTGGCCTCAAAAACACGTGAGCCTTGGGGTCAAAGCAATATCTTCGACATGTTCGGTGCACTTTTTAGGACTCTGATATTTGTTTGCCGGAGGAGGGGGGGGACTCAAACCTGACCACTGCTATGAGGACCCTTGCTGTTTCGATCAAGCCAAGTGGTTATAGAACCCCCTCGAAGTCCTTTTTTGTTTGGTGGGAGCTCATCAAATATGATCAATCCAAGGGTTACGCTCCCCCAGGCTAACATGGAAGCTCCCACTGGGAAGACCTGGTTCGATGTACAGAGGCCTTCTGGGAGCTTCCATGATAGTGAGAAAGACTATAGTGAAGGTGGTTTATGGATGAGGTAAAATCAAAGGCCCTCGGGAGGGCTGCTCTGATCATCTCGAGATCGCTCAGGCAGCGCCGATTTTCTAGCCAGGAGCGTGAGGGGGAAGGGCAGGTCTGTTTTGAGGACTCTTGGGCTTGCTGCAAAGGGAAGCCAAAAGAAGAGGCTAACACAAAAATGCACACATTCTTGCATGAGACTTACTTGGCTCTTGTCGTTTTGGCACATCCTTCCAATTGTTTACCCTGTTTGTTTTGCATTGGAGAGCAGCCCACGTGTAGAGCACATCTTTGTGCTAGACAATTGACTTGGCCGGGCTTTGAGGCTCCCAGGGTCTGATCGTCCGTCTTGCATGGAGTTTCGAGTTGGGATGTGAGTTCAAATGGGGATGCACATATTCTTTGGTGCATTTTGCTTGGCTGTTAGGACTTTAACTTTTTGCCAACTAATGGGTTTTCCACTAAACCACTAAAAAATAAACTTTCAGCAGGGGAGCAGAAAGCAACCGAGTAATTATTGTGTTATCGTCTTTTTGTATCTCTTTGTGTTTCTATTTGGATGCACTATTGCAACCTTATTTGTTATCTCTTTGGGCACGTAATGTAATAGCCACTGTGTGTAAACATAAACATATGCAATATGTATAATATATATATATATATAACAAAACACATTAAGGTAGATATGTGTTTTGCAACTGAGTTTGAAAGTGTAGGCTTGTTTTATCCACAGCAGAGCCCGCTGGCTGCAGGAAGCCGGGTCGCCGCCAGGCGTTGGTGGGCTAGTGCTGAGCCGCGCGGCGAGAGTCACTTGAGGGAGAAGCAAGCTGGGCAGGAGCTAGTCCTATTTTCCCAGCAAGAAGATATCAGAGAACACACACCCAACTAGTTCCACGTATTTTTTCCGACAACTCACACGAATTTCTATCAAACCAGCTCCAAGAGATGATCTCCAGCAAGCTAGCCAGCCAGCTCAAAACTTTGATCGTTTGTTTTGTTGGTGCTTTTCCTCCTAGGTGTTTTGCTGGGGGAATCCAATTTTTAGACCACCCCGTCGGAGCTTAGGAGCTTCTCTGCTCTACCAACACCTCGGGGCTTGCTGCGTGACCGCGGCCCAAGCCTGGACGCCGCGGTGTTTCACTCGTTGCACATGGGTATGTGTCGAAATGTGGGACTCCCAAAATGATGGTCTCTGGGGTAAACTTAGGATATATTTTCCATTTGACCAGTGACTCTACGTGAAGCAAACAATAAAATGTACATGGCCTGACTCTAATCATGGTTTGGTTTCCGCTCGGTTCCCCGTTCAACCAACCCTGAAAAGGCTTCTGTAGCAACTCCAAAACGCAGACCCATCTCCAACGCATGCACCAGGCAAGGGTGGAGGGCGGCTGCAGGCCGCGGCAGTTGCGAAATTCACCAGACGGCTTCGGCATATGGCCATGGGTCAAAATCCCGTACCTCCAGTGAACATCCCAATCCCCACTAAAATAGGTTCTAAAATGGGTGGTGCACCAACCCCAAAATGGGATCCCATAACGGTTTTGACAACCACAGCCAATTTTGTCAAGCGCCATACTTCTGTGGGCTGAACTTCTGGCCACGATGTTGGTTTCCTCAGGGCCTCAATACACAACATCCTTGTTGAAAGGGCAAGGCGACCTTGTAATTTTAATGGTCAAACCGGAGGCACTCCTTTCCAACAGTCCACCCATCCACCTTTTTTCACATTGAGTCCCAGCCTATGGCCCCTTTCTAACTTGGGTATGTTTCCTAGTCGAGTTGTTCTAGTGTCTTGTGCCAAGATAATTTGGGCTAGCCGTTACAAAGTTTCTATCACATGTGTTACCAGCTGCTCTGGCGTGTCAAGTCGGCTTGAAGAAGCTTCAGCGCTTTGGAAGTCCAAGTGCTGTGTACCTCTTGCGACAGTCTTTGAGGCTTGTCTCAGCTTTTGTTTGCTATATTCCTACCCGGCAAGAATGCAATGGGGCAATACCCCGAATCAAGAGGCCCGCCCTTTCCCACATATCTTGCTCTTTGTAGGTACAAGGAACGTCATGCATGGAGGGAGGGCATGCATGTATGTTTTTAGTATTTTTCACAGATAGGGGAGTGGCTTTGGCCACGATTTTGCTCGCGCTTCTGCGTGTTACCTTCTACCCTTGCCTCTTTGCCTGCTATGCGGCTGTAGAGCGCTGCCTGACTTCCGGGGCAATCGCGATGTCACCCAGTCGAGGGTAAGTCACAGCCCCCCGAAAGAAGCAATCCCAAGCCCAACCCCAAAATGGCCCCCACAACAAGCCACCCCCCAACAACCCACAAACCCCACAAAGGGTAGTTCTACTTTTCGGTCATTTTTATGGCCGCCCAACAACTTGAGGGTGGTACAAGCTTCTGTGGGTTTGTGGCAAAGGAGGACCCCCAAAATGGATTTTGGTGTCCTTTTGGTTTCCCTTGCCAACCAAAGGATACCCGGAAACACGCATGTCAGGATCATGTGAGAAGTTCGGTGTTTAGAGCAGGGCCCGCATATCCGCATATTATATATATATATAGGTGTGTCGGTTGTTGGAACACCTGTTGGAGTGAGGGAAGCCAAAAGAAAAACAACCATTTTAGACACACCAAACCTAGTATGCATATACATTAGATGGATCTATAATTATATCCGTGTATGCATATGGGCAGACCAAGTGACCTTCAGGGGGCTTGCAACTTCATGGTGGTGAATGATGATTCACCCGGAATGGGGGGGGGTTCTATCATTTGCCCCCCCCCGGCAGACTGAACGAACAGAAAGAAGCCGTTTTGGCGGCCCCTACTCTTGGAGGGCGCAATCCCTCAGGCAGCGATGACCGGAATTCGCGACGGGAGATCGATCCTGGACGCACGATTTGAACCGCGGGTTGCTCAGACAGGTGGACGGCCAATTTGTTTGCAAAGGGGAGCCAGCAAGTAAGCCAACGCACAAGCGAAATGGGAGAAGCACCAGGCAGCTCAGTTCTGGATTGATAGCGGTTGTCTATTATTTGTATAGGCTTACCTTATCATGGCGTGGTGTTGTGGGGGGTGAAACCCTCTTGGGGAATCCGATCAGAGCCCAGGGGCAGAAATTGCACGCAATGAATCAATCTGAGGGCGTTTCTTTTTGGTTTCCTCAAGACCAATCAGATGGAATCGGGGCAGTTGCCAGCCACCGACGGATTTGCGCCTATTAGTGAACCAAGCCGTGCTGGGCCCCGGGTCAGGATATATCGGCTTTGGTCCACGGGACGTCCAGAGGTTTCCTTTCTTCGGCCAGGCGCCCCCTTTCTATGGGCTCTCATGGAACCAAGTGCTGCCCCTTAACTTCCCCAGCCCAGAGCAGGCTTTTCACAACATCGACATGGGCCTGTGGTTTGTTGTTTTGTTTGAGGGTTGGTCAGGAAACCAACAGAAAAACTTATTCTTTCATATTTTGTTCTTTTTCTTTTTCGGAGGCCCCCCAGAACTGACACATCAGACACAGAAGGTCCCCAGCGGACAGAACCTGCGGATGGCGAATCAATTCGCCCCAGTGAGCACCGAGCGAACTGCCCATCCGCACCCGGCCATTCAAGTTCTTGCCTTTCTGTCGGTCCCTTCATTTGGGTCATGTGGGGCTGTTTGAGGGTACCCTTTTTGGTTGGTTTCAAAGGGAAGCAACAAGGACTCCAAACAAAAGTCAACTTGTCCCCCTTTTTGGACCTTTTAAAAGTGGCAGCTTCCTGACAAATTGATCGCCCGCCATTGAGACAGGGGGTGTATTTGGGTATGCTTCGGGGGTGGGGGCTGCAGTGTTTTGCCCCACAAATGGCTGGTGTCCTTTTCAGCTTTCCCGCTTGAGCGACCAACTGGCAGTGCACCATGGTACGAAACAGACGCAGCATATCGGCACCAAACTGCGCACCCTTGGTTGCATCCGAACGCTTGAGTGTTTTTGATTGTGCTGGGGAGCGGCTCTGGGTATGCTCGTTGCTCGCGACCACAACGAGTAACGCTTGCCGGACGCAGCTGAAGAACTTCCAAGCGTGCGGCAGAAAGGACCTCCCAACAGCGCAGCTGAGTGATGTGCCTGCAAGTCAGTTTGGTTAGGAACACAGCCCCTGGTACTAACATCATGGACTGGAGTGTGGTTGTAAGCACAAATTAATTCCGTTGTGTCTGTGTTTTTTCGGCAAACCCGTTATTGGAATTGGTTTTAAAAGGCAAACCCACCATTTTGGGGGTCCCACCCATTGGGGACCTATTAGGCAGCTGTGGGGAACAACTGGGCACCTCGAAAACATGATCCTTAGCAGGGGATGTTTGAGGCCTTGGTGATCAGATACGGTGGAGGTGGATGCTCCAGGTATTGCACGAAGAACCCTGCAACGAAGAGCATGTCACTGCAGATTTATGGGTACTCTTGCTTAACTTGTTATGTTTTGGGGAACATGGTTTGACACCACCCCCGTTTTCTGGACAACCCGTGGACAAATGCCTGTCCAACTGCTAGCCACTGGGCACGACTGGTCAGGTGCATCACGAGGTGCCCAAAGGGCAAAAGAAGTCAAGTGACCTCAGTGTTCAATTGCACACAATGCTTACAGTGATTTCCCAAAAAGAGACCACAAGGAAATGGACCTAAGTTTCTTAACATGATATTTAATCACTCAAAAGCGCATTGTATCAACTTGTTCTACATGGATGTTTGCCTAGGCTCAGATAAAAGCTCTTTGCGGGGAGGGTAGTGATTCAATTCACAGGCGGGGTTCCCGGAAGGTTGCTGGACATCCGCGTTGTTTTTGTGGGGTACTTCGGGCAGTGCAAGGCCTCAAGTGCAGACGTCGCCAGAGGCTCCGAGGGACATGAAACAAATGGTGGGGATCCTGCATCAGCGAGTTGTTTGATCGTACGAGCTCTGTTTGTCATACATATTTATATTCAGAGCATCGCAAAGGACAGGATGCGGTTCATCGTGCGAAGCCCAACCAGAGCTCGACAAGACCATGCAAGCAACATAACCTGTTCAAAGAAGATGTTGGGCATTGTTTCAGCAATTCGGGCAAGGTGGAGTGAAATGTAGTGACATAACCCGCACGATCCGCTCGCCTCAGAGACACTTTCAATGTAGTGTGGTGGTAGACATTGGAATAGATTCTTGCACATGAGCCCCCTTTATGCCCACTAAGGAATCTCCAGATCCCGGGGGGTGGATAAAAACCCCGGCTCGCACCCGGTTGCCCTCCCGTGCCACTCAGCTTCATGGCGGAGTGGCTGGACGTGTGCAACCCGCGAGCCCAAGTGATCGGAGCGCAGAAGGATGAGACAGGACTGAGATCCTTCCCTTGGCAGGTCCCCCAGCAATCGGCGTTTTTTTGTTCTTTTTTCCGTTTCTTTTTGGGGGGAGCGTTCCCCTACTAAAATAGACAGGAACAAACATCGGGTACCCTTCTTGTAACCTCTCTACTGGTGGACCTAGTTGGTCTTTGTAACGATTTGGTCCCCTCTGCAGTGTAGTGACTGGCGGTTTTCCAACCAGGATTCTGGATTCACCACAGGAGGCGGGGGTAGTCTGTATTTGTTCACCATTACATCCAAGTGTGTGAGCAACGCACATCAGAGGCTTACCAAGCTTGCAGCTTTGCTAGCCGCTGGCAAGCGAGGAGCGCAAGTGCTTTACACATTGGGCAAAGCACCCTTGACCCAGTGTTGAGCACGATCGTACGCTGAAGCTCCCATTTCAGCACTTTCCCAGGATTTGACAACCTAGTGGTTCACCGGCACCCTCTGAATCCCGCTTTGTTTGGGTGAGTCCGCAAAATCGTCAACTCCAAAAATTATATGGGCTGGGAGGGAGGGGAGAGGAGGATAAGCCCTTTTAAAGCCCTTAGCAAGGCCTTATTTAGGAAATGTGTACTCCACTCCACTCCGCTCCGCTCCGCTCCACTCCACTCAACTCAACTCCACTCCATCAAAACCCGGGGAAGTGAAGGTTAGTAAGGGACGATCCCAGCCAGAAATAGCTGCGGATATCCGCCTTCTTAGTTCTTGAAGCATGGTTCTGGGATTACGACCAACTTAATACCGGGTTTTGATTGTGACTCCCATGAAGAAACCTGCCCCTCCCCCCCCCCCAGCACCCATGTTAGGCTTTTTTAGTGGGGATTGGGATGTTCACTGGAGGTACGATTTGGATTTTGACCCATGCCAACTGCCAACTCCAGAAATCCAATCTTTTTCTCCCATAGAAAAGGTCTCAGGCGCAATCAGGCGCAATCAGGCGCAGCCGTGCGCCAGGAGCACCCTGGTTCCGCGAGGGCGCCTTCGTCCGGTCCTACTTTGTGGACGAGCGGTGTCAGTGGAGCCAGGCGAGAAGCCCCGTGGCACTTCTCCGAGTCTGGGTTCGAATCCTGCCCAGTGGATTCCACCCGTTGTTCAACTTTTTTTGGGGGAAGGGTTCCCCTTTAAACTCAACCAGCCCTTCCCCTTAGTGGGACGGCCGGATTTTTGGCTTCGGCCAGGAGGTGGGCTGCACTCACTCCAATTGGGGGGGGTGGGGTCTTGAGCAATGTGGCGGAACCAGCCAAGAAAGGATGCCGTTGTTTTTTCTTGTTTGCATGGCCACTGGAAGTTGTCGCTGAGGGCTTAGGTTATTCTTGTGCCATCGAAACACGGTTTACCTGCGGTGTGCAAGACTCATATTTGAATAGTATCAAAAGCAAGAAGGATCAACTAACATCATATCCAACTTTAGCAAGGATGATCAAGGACTCCTGAAACATGTGCGACAAACCATGGACCCCCCCAAACATATTCATATGGTGTTTCCTTGGTTGGGGTTCCTTTAAGCCACCAAAAGACAGATACCCACAAGTCCCTCAGCAAAGGACAGCATCCCCTTTTCTGCCAGGAGCCCTGCGGGCCACACCCGAGTCTTGGCTGAACGGGTCGTGCAAACTCAATCGCCGTGCTCGTATTTGTTCGCTTCTATTGGACCGTTGCTTTCCCTGTGAGTCTTATGGGGGACCACCTTTTGCAGATGATAGGAAACAATCGCGAACCAGCCATGTACTTGTTCACGGGCACCAAAGAAACTGTGTGCTTTCCGCGTGCGCTCGAGCGTGGGCCCCCCACTTCGCTGCAACCGCAGATTTAGGCAGGTGTGCTTCGCCTCAATGTTTGAGCCAACCACCCCGCACACCCCTGATTTGGAGAAGACTGGCTTTCTCAGGGCATAGCGGATGCTTCTTTGCTGATCCCTATCCTGGTCATTACCTTTCAGAAGCCTTGTGCACGAGCTGATTGGACTCGACTTGAACAGAGTGCTCGTGTTTAACATGAACACCTGACTCGGCAACAGCAGTAGCAGCAGAAGCAGCAGCAGCAGCAGCCGAGCATTGTGTCTGATCTAGTTCTCGTTCTTGAAGTGAACAAAGCCAAGAAGTTACCAACATCTGGTTTATTGGAATCGCTGAGTTTATCGATGCGCGTGAGCGCGCTTATGTATGATGCATATTAACACCAATCTGTATCATCATGATTGCTCGTGTGGGAACAAGGACGTCTTAAATGAGCGTGTCTATCCTTGGCTTAATTGCAGGTCTGATAGATATTTTTGGCTGGTAGGTTCTTTTTTGGTCGAGGCCAGTCATGTTTCTCTTTGACCGGTACATCAAGCAGACCAGTTTCCGACTTTCATGCCAAGGGTTCACAGACAAGCCTGAGTTGGCACCCCGTGCGGAGCAATCGTTTTGTCGGCGCGGAGTCTCCACATCAACAACTGCCAGGCCAAGCTTCTGCCGGAGGCTTACGATCAACACCTGGAAGAGCCTTAGCTGACCTTAGAAGACTGTGGATCGCCTTTTCCCGGTTGTGGACTGGATTCTTGATTGTTTCTTTGGTGGATGGTGAGTCCAAAGAGGACTCCATTTTTTCCACGAACTTGCACAGCAAGATACATAGGCAAAGTGCCGGCCTTAGTGGCGTTGCCCCACTTTTGAGACAACCAACACGCTTGTCTTGCTGGTGCTCAGCAGGGAACGAGGGAATGACCCCTATAAACCATCCCCATTGTCTTTTTTCGGGACTCCCCCAAGTTTGTGTGTCTGGTTTTCGGAGCCTCGGCCAGCGCGTTTGGCGCGGGTTTTTTTTGGTTGGCGCCGGTGGCTCGCTCGAGAAGCCTCCGCCTCGGAATCGGTCGGTTAGCCAGGTGCACCTTGGCGGGCGCCATGCTGGAGGCGGGGCTTCGCTTCAGCGCCCTGCTGGCGCACCTCAAGTTCGGGGTGGCGCCTCGGTCTCGCGCACGCGGGAGGGCGGATGAGAAGCTCGTGGAGGGTCGACGGATGTTGGGGGCGTTTACTCAGAAAGGACAGTGAGTGAAAGGGGAAAACACGTGTGTCAAGAGTTTTATCGGGTAATTCTTGTTTGGTTTGGATTGAGACATGAACCCATCCTGAACCCCTAATTAGTTCTTGTCAGCAAATTGGAAACCAACTAAACCACCAATCCAAACTACCAATTATAGGGGTAAGGTGACATTCCCTACTTTCTTTGGGAGCGTGAGGGCAGACAAGCAACACCCGGACAACCGAACGAACATGCAGCACCAGGCAGCATCGGCGTATGCGTTCTCACCTGAACCTGAACAGAATCAAGAAGTGGCCCATGACGCACCTCGAAGGCTTGAGCAATCTATGGATGGACAAAAATAGTACTTGGCAGTTGGTCCGTGCTTTATCCAGGATTCATAGGGCTGCATGGCTTCATCTATTCATTGTTGTTTCTGTTTTCAGAATTTTGTCCATCCACTGCAGGCAGCCAAGTGAAACTGCTATTAAAAACAACAGGCACACATTTCTGATTAGCTACTGGTTACGGCACGGTTTTGATCAATGTCCCTTTGGATCCCCCAAATTGCCAGTGCCCAAATTGCCAGTGGAACCCACCTGTAAGTTGATCAACTTTTGAAAGGGATGACAACTTTTGAAAGGGATGGCCCACTGACCCCTGTGATTTCTGGTGAGGGTGGTCACATTAAGACCCTCTTTCGCCTCCATGTCATGTGTCTCATGGTCTTGACCAGGGGACTCGGACCTCATTGCAGTTTGGGTTGGCGGCATCCTCGTCTTCTTCGGTTTGGTCCGCTCGGACTTCAGAAGCTCCAAAAGCCCGTTTTTGGTTTTTTGCTTGGGTGATGTGGGTTATTTTTTTGTTGTTCGTATTATTTGTTCTTCGTCTCAACCCAAGAACGGGTTCTCTGTTGTCAGGGTCACCGGGTTTTCCTTGGCCTGACTGAGACGGGATGTGAGCATGTGCTTGGACTATGGCATGGCAACCTTGACTTGTTCCGTGACAAGACGCATAGCTGGAGAACGGGAAATCTGGCGTTTGGTTTGAGGAAAATGATGTGCGCGTGATCATTGGCGCGTGGCTCTCCAAGGCAGTATGCAAATGAAAGGACTTGTACAACATCGGCCCTTTGCCGATGCTTTGTTGGACAGTCTATAGGCTTGCTTATTTTACGTTGCCCATCACCGACGGAAGTACCCAATTGCCTTTGCCACATCTCGAATCGAACTCTAAATGGACAAGTGTTGGTTTGTCAACTTGCCAAGCGGCACCAAGAGGGGATGCACGTGTGAAAACGTTTGTTGTCCAGACCCCTTCGTCGTTCAATCATCGGAAACAGCAGCGCTGAGGAGATCTTTGTCAACCGGCGCTATGCGAAAGTCCAGATGTGCCCAGACTGAGCAGAGCTTAGGCCAATGCTTCCAATTGCCACTAACATCCCAGCTATGCACGGAAATGGAATCACTGGGGTATGACGTGCCTGTTTTCCCTGAGTACCTACCATTGCCTACTCGAGTGGTACCTGGAGGCAGTGGGTAAGATATCTCTCTGAGAGTCCGCATTGATTCTAAGCTATTGCCCCGTTGCGCGTTGATTCTCGGGGCGGGGATTTTCTGTTGTTGTTCCTCGGGACTCGGTATTTAGCTTTCCAGATCACTGTGGTTGAAGCATTCTCAGCAACATTGTTGAGGCGATGGATGGTCGCGGTCTTTGAAACGACTGGAAAGTTGATAGTAAACAGCAAGCTCCCCCTTATGTATTTGTGGTGAGCAATACTCCCAAGCCTGGATAGCTTTTCCATGGGCCTATCGAAGTGAGCACCTTTTGTAGAAGTTTCAGAAATTGTTCATTTTAACTAACCGCCTTGTGAAGACTTGCACTTGAGGATTGAGTCTTTGAACCCCTGCGAAGGTCCTTCTCCAACAAGAGGCGAACTTGTAGACGGCGCACTTCCCTTCCTGTCAGTTAAAGAGCATGGTGAAGAAGAAACGATGCATGTGGAGCACAAATTTGAGGGCATCCATTTCACTCCTACCAAGAAAGGAAAGGATTGGCACACTTGTTTTGGGATTCTCCACCAGAAAGTAAACCCTCAGGGCGCCGCCGAGTTCCGATCGCTTACGCAGGACCGCAGGTGCTTTCTCACCCGATCTCATAGCCACCCAGCCCATTCAACGGGTCAGCCAATTGCGGAAGCAGCAAGCAACGAATCGCCCCCGCGCGACTTCTCGCTCATTCAAGCAACTTTGCTTGTGTCTGCGTGCGAGTTCCCCCCCCCCAGAAACAAAAAAGAGCATGGCTTCGGTTGTTCTTTTGGGTTTCCCCTTAAAACCACCCAAAAACACGTGTTTTTTGGATTTCCCTTGGCAAAAGATGGCGGTTCCCTTCGAAACAAACCGACGGACCGGGCTTCGCTGGCGTCGGCTCCTTCCGGCGAGGTCGGTGAAGCTGCTCTTCGCGGGCTTCGCGCTGCTGGGCTCCAGCTGGTGGCTGGTGCTGGCGGCGCGGAACACCTGGAGGCGGGGGAACACCAAAAGGCTCAGGACCAGGGATATGTCTAGGGGTTGATTCCGATTCCATTCTTTTCAACCATGGTTCTTTTCAAAAACCGATCGCTGTTTCCCCAGGGTTTTGGGTGGTTTTGTAGAAAGAAGGATGCCTGGAAAGAATGGGGAACGTACCCCTAGAATATGTACTGGAGTGGAAGAGGATCCAACACCAAAAAACGAAGGCGAGCTTTCTTTTTACGTGGGCAAAGCTATGGTCAAAACTGGTGGTAGGGGCGCATGTGAAATGGAAGACTAAGCTCACTCCCCCCCCCCCAGCTCGCTAAAAATGAACAATACGGGGTCAATACTACACAAATCGACGAGATGTGAGTGCTTTTGATTAAGTGGGTCCCCCCCAAGTTTGCCATCTTTTGGGGAAACTGTGTGTCTGTGTGGTCTTTCGTTCAAGGTCACGTTCTTTTTGTGGAAGCATTTTTGAGTTGGCACCCCCTTTTTTTGCGGATTGCTTTGGGAAACCATTGGGAACCAAAAGGAACACCGAAGCCATATTGGGGTCGGATTCCTATCAAAAGACGCACCCATGTGATACCTGGCGTCTCCGAGTCTGACATGGGGTCACCCACAAGAGAAGGGGTGGCCGGCCCCATGTCGGAAGGGTCAGAAGTTCTCATTTCCAGTTCGATGGGAATCATTCTGTCCAGGTACCGCAGCTTTGCACATCCAGACAGCTGGCTGAATGAGCTCATCGCCTTTTGCAGCTCCACGCTCTTGTCGATGTTCGCTATGCCCAACGACGTGACGCTGGCCACCATCCACCTGCTGCCCAAGGCTTACGTTTTGTTTTACGTGTTTGGATTTCGTTTTTTTTTGGGGCAGAGGTAAACAGGTTGGAAGCAACTTTTTGTTGGGGCAGAGGTAAAAGGGTGGAAGTCTATCAGCAAAGAGCCTGGTGGCAGACCCAAACCAGGGGCCAGAGAACGCCCGGTTTCAGTGTCCATAGTTCAATCTCAATGGGGTGGCCATGGCAATTTGCAGCCAAGTGCTGCTTTTGAGCTGTTCAACAATGACCAAACAGCCAGGCTTGATTTGTTTGGTGCGATTTGGTTTGTCCTTCACTCAGAAGGGCGGGTTGTCAAACATAGGACCCTTAGGCTGGCGACATGCCGCGCTTGTAGCGTTGCCTGCCAAGCCTCATGTTCCGGCTTACCTTCGGTCGCACCGTAGGAGCAGGGAGGTCTCCTGCGTGAATCCGGATGCATTCAGGGCAACAAGCGATGGCCGGCGCACAGCATCGAGCACCACTGCAGGGATGATCACGACTACACCAACTGGTCCGGGAGCAAAGTGCAACTCCCGCTGTTGGTCTTCATCGATGTGCCTTGTTCTCAAAAGCCGAGGGTCTCAAAAGATCTTGGGGGTCTTAAGGAGAATTTGGGGACCCCTTGAAGAGACACAGCTGAGACACGTTCGGGAACTTGGTTCATATTGAACCAATGAGTGAGGACCATCTGGGTGTCAGCCTTTGTTGGGGAATCCCCTTTTGGGGAACCGATTTTTTTCGCCCCTGTTGGGGCTTCACCCCGGTCAGGTGGCTGGTTGGTTGGTTGGCTGGCTCAAACCACCCAACCCCAAATGGACCCCAGCAAACCCAAGACCCTGCCCCCCATTGAGATCTCAGCAAGCCCGAAACTCAGCGGAAACCAGCCCCCGGCAACTCTCAACTGCACCAAATCAAAGCCAATACGCTCGGGATGTGGCCAGCCAACCCTCAAGCAACGACATCCCTAAAGCCCAAAAGAACAACAGCCATTTTGGTGGTTCCCTCATTTTGAGAGAAACCCGTTTGTGACTGGCCTTTCCTCGGCCTTGAATTTGACTGAGCTTGCCGACACGGGCCACGGATCACGGACCCCACGAATCGCCACGACGGGGGTTGGATCCACTTGGCGAGGTGGGATGCTCACTGATCGTGATCTATCTAGCCATCACGGAGAGCATCCTGAGCTCATCCATCGTCCTCCTCCTTCTGACGAGCATTCCGCAGCTGGGCGCTTCCATTTTGGGGGCGTGATGTGACTGTGGTTGTCAAAACCAATGGAACCATTTTGGGGTAGGTGCACCACCCATTTTAGTCTATTTTAGTGGGGATTGGGATGTTCACTATGTTGACCCATGGCCATGTTTGTTTTTGAAGGAGCTCTTTTGAGGTGATGTAGAAGGGAATTGAACTGAGAGACAACCACATGAAGGTACCCTTACTTTGAGACACGCCCAGGTTCGGAGAAGCAAGTGGGCTTCGGTTCATGAGAGCCTCGTGTTTGTTTAAACCTTAGGGAACTGATGTCCAAAAGTAGCATGGTCTTTGCAGGAAAGATAGCTGCCATTTTGGGTTGTTTCCAGGTTTCGAACCGGATTCACATGGAAGGGTTCCAGTTCATTCGATCCTCAAAGCCACACCCATTTCGAGGGAACAATATGGGTTTGTAGAATCTCCGGGTTTGCATGGGTGTCTCAGGGTTTCTTACTCGAGGCCAGCTGCATACCGAGCCTTGTTGTGGCTCCAGCGCTGGCGTCTGCGCCAGCGTCTCTTCGAGATTTGGCTGAACTTTTGCGCTGATCCCCTGATGCCGGAGGCGAAATCGGCGAAGCCGAAGCGGGGCATGTGCTGAACATGGTTTGATCTTCTCCTGGTTTGAAAGGCAATCTATCACAGGGGACATGACTTGTTCCCATCAGACTCAAGCAAGAGGAAACCAATCAACTGGCCGGGGAGTTTTCCTAGTCAAATGGAGTCCTGGGAATGGCCCTTTTGGCTCGGGAAATAAGACAACAGGGCAATTAAAACCCGCAAGGGTAAGGCAGGATCCCGGGCAGGTGCGGACATCCGGCCTAACTTACATAGTTTTAAGTACAGTGAGGGCGTGCGCGCCATGGTCAGAAAGCCCTTCACTTGTCAGCAGTACCCTGAATGCCTTCAGGTGATTCGGGTTGCTTTTTTCAATTTTAGAAGCTATCCCCCTTTGAGCTTGATATCTTTGTGAACAAGGAAGCGCAGTAGTTGTCTGTGAGAACAAACATACAGACGTCGCCCTTTGATGCTGTAAGGTTGTGCCCTTTGGGTTTAGCGGCTTGTTTGGGTCAAACGGAATCCAACAGACCGGAAAATGCCATTCTTTCTGGCTTGCGGCGGAAATCCTTGCGTCAAATAGAAGCCCATCAAGAGGAAAGCAGCTTGTTGCTGTTCGGGTGTTCAGAGATAACAAAAACAGTGGTATCTGTTGGGGCCTCTCGGTTTTCCAACTGAATGCTCCAACCAGTTTTCAGGTTCCCTGCAATTGGTGGTTTAGACGGTCGTTGTTTTTTTTGTTTTTTAACCCCTTCCTTTTGTAGAGGGTTAATGGGAACCAGCAAGAAACTGATGGGAACCCCTCCTTAACCACCAAACCGGGCTTGAAACCACCAAGAGGGACGCTGAAGTGTTTTTGTGTTTTTCCTTTTTTTTGTCTGTGTATCCAACAAAAAGCTCCGACTTGTTTCACAAAGAGAGAAACTATGAGGACACCGGGCTTAAACAAACAGTGCCCAAGTTTCCATCAGGTTGGCTCCCTAAGCGTCGGCCATGGCAGGCACAGCGCAACAACGTCATGAGCAAGTACATCGCCGAGGGCGGTAGTCGCCGTTTGTTGTCCCAGCGCTTGAGTCAAGTCAAGGCCCTGGTGTGACGGATGCGGATTCCGCGTTTCGTTTCGACCGATCCACGTTTCGTTGACACCGTGTGGGGGTGTCTCAAAATAGGGACACCCCTAAACGAGTGGTTCAACCTGTAGAAAATTCTGAGTGAGTGGGTAGGGGTCGACATAGACATGTTGCTGAAGTGAGTGTCAAACTACTGGTGGCCTGTAAGGATTTATTGGGGCCATGCAGAATTCCTGGGGAAGAGTGGGCCAAAGCAGGCTCTTAGTTTGGCAATGCTTGCGAAATTGGGACGGATCGAAATCGATCCCGGAGTGGCCAGCCGCTTTTGAAGTCATGGGGCCTTGCCCTGTCAGCTGGCGAAATGGCAATCGGCCACAAGCCGTTGCGTTCTATGTACATCTATGTACCATATCCGTTGCTTTGCTCCAGGGTGGGGCAACACCTCATAGAATGACACATGACCAAGCGCGCATGTGTGCTTCGACATGAGCCTGAGCATGTTTGTTTGTGGTAAGCGGCAATGCTTTGGTGGAGTCAAAGCTAAAGCCAACGCATGTTGCCTTGCCCTGCTGGCAACCCAGAGCGCAAAGCGTCATGGTGGCGAAAAACAGGCATTCAGTTTGCAGGCTCGGGCCTTCGCGGCTTTCACCTGCGGTCAGATTCAATAGCTCCTGGTTTGCTCTTCGAAGGTCCCGGGCGGTCATTATGGTGCGACATGTACCGCGTATATTTTTGTGACCAATAATTCCTGGGATGGATCGATGTAATTTGTAAATCATTGGCGCCCCTGTTTGTTTGCCTTCAAGGGGATGGGTTTGCCAGTAGATGAAGCCAAGCAGGGAGAATCAACTGCCACATTTTTCAGACTCGTATACACCACTCGAGATTCTCTTTTGACCCCCCTTGGCATTTGCTCCTATCAAATATATGGGTCAGATTGACTTCCCCATAAACCGCCTGTTGGTTTTGCCAAAATGAATCGGGGGGGTCACGCCGTTTGGCTAGGGATGTAGCCGTGGCCCTCAAACGCCGCCATGGCGTCGTTCGTGGCGCCGTTTGAGCCTTTGCCTTCACTGCAGCCGCCCATCTCGGCCAGCCCATCGCAGGCCTCTCGGCGTGGGGCCGAGGGGCCGAGAGCCCGGGGTAGGGGTTGAAACCGATCTGTTTCGGTTTTCCATCTATCTGGGCTTTTTAAGGCGAGTTTGCTTTGGGGGGATGTCTTGAGGAGAATGTAGGGAACCCTGTTCCATCCACCACTCCCCAACCCATTTTTGTACTTGCGGTCGTGAAACCGGTGAGCATGTACTCGGGTCAGTCCCACTATGGAGCATTCCTCACGGGCCCAATCATTTCCTCGAGCGGTGTGGGAGCTAGTGAATCGCTAGACCACGGTCCCGCCTGTCAGTCCGTTAGGACGCCCGAAAGGTACGGATAGAACCGGTCAACTCAAAGCTCCGACGCTTCTTTGGACAATTTTCATGGCCTTCCATGGCCTTTCGGGCTTTAGAATTACAAAGCCTCAAAGTCATCGAGCAATCCAATCAGCACCAAGATGGGGTTCTGGTTTGAAGCTGACGCCAAATCGGACACATCTGAGAGCATCGGAGCCCACCTTTGAAGCTTCATGCCGCACAAGCACGAACTTCAAACCCAGCTGATGGATTCCCACGGGGAAAAAAAGAGCTTGGGGTCCTGCAATGCTTTTTAGGGGTAATGTTGGGGAGTGAATAATTAAGGGCCCCCCCCCCTCAAACAAAATGGGGGGGGGTCAATAGAGGAAACCCTAAAAACAAAACGAGGGTCAGACCGGGTCTTCCCTAAGTAGTATTCCAGTAAGTATTGGTTAGTATTGGTTTAGTATTGGTTTAGTATTCTTGCTGACTGGCTTAGTACTGCTTAGAATTGGTTTAGTATTGGTTTAGTATTCTTGCTGACTGGCTTAGTACTGCTTACAATTGGTTCAGTATTGGTTTAGTATTCTTGCTGACTGGCTTAGTACTGCTTAGAATTGGTTTAGTATTGGTTTAGTATTCCTGCTGACTGGCTTAGTACTTCTTAGAATTGGTTTAGTATTGGTTTAGTATTCTGGTTGACTGGCTTAGTACTGTTTAGTATTGGTTTAGTATTCCCTGGCCCCAGTCCTAAAAACTTTTCTCAATTAACTCCCCTTAAACAAAACTCATTATTGGCTTCCTGGGTGTTCCCTGTACTACCCCCTTGAAAATTTGGCAGGGTGCAACTTTTAGTAAGGGCTGTCATAAAGAATTTGGCTGTTGGGGCCTCAGTTAAACTTCCTTTTCAGGGACTTCAATCATCATCTCCTTGTTGGTGGTGGTGGTAGGTTGGGGGGGGCGGGCGGGGCAGAGAGAGACAGGAGTTGCACTGAACTAGGGATTAATTATCATTTTTTTGGGGGGGGGGGGAACATTTTTCCGGATTTTTTGCCTCTCACAAAAACTTTTGTGTATTAACTCCCCCTTTTGCTTTTCAGGGGTGTGAATATTTTTTTTTTGTGTATTGACTCCCCATTTATTATTCGCAACCTAACATTATAAAACAGTGCTCCGGACAGTTTTTGGCATTCGAGCGGTTTCTTTCTGCTCAAATCCAATTCGGTAGCTGTTTTGGTGAAGTGCTCGAGAGAAAACGAACCCGCAACTCGCGCAATTTCCCGCTACTCGGGCGCAACTTTCCGCAACTCAGGCTCACTTCCAAAAAGTGTGCAAAGCCAAAGCTCTGCCCTGCAATCCGTGTGTTTGCATGTGTTTGCATATAACGTTACTCGCGCACTTATTTGCAACGAAAGCTCGAGCAAACATTTGTGTATCAATGGGTCCTGCAGGTTTGTTATTGTTGTTCCGCAGCTCGTCAACGCGCCTGACGCGGAGCGTTTGGGGAGGCCTTCTCCAAAGGCTACTGGGACACTTGGGGCTAATACTAATGATTGCGAGAGGTTGAGAGAAGCTGCAGCTGTCTGAACTGCAGGCCATGTTCGCCATTTCATAATCTTCTCCAATGAAGGTCAAAAGGGTCACTTCCTTCGAATACCCTTCCTCGGTTCCCAGTTCAGTAGCTCAGTGGATTCCCTTGAGACTTGTGAGGGTTCACGAATGGAATCGACTCCCAGAAAGCACTCTCACAAGAATGGTCTTCTCCCGTCGCTGGTTGCAAGTGGCTGTATGATTGCTTTGGCCGCTCCTCCACTCACCGCCTAGGTGCGATGTGCGAAAACTTCGAAATGGAGCTCTTCGCAGCTCACTGCAGCTCGGTACGGAGTCCAGGGGCCTTGAGAGAAACCGAAGGGTGTACTCCTAGAGCTCATATAGCTTCCATGGGCTGAAATGAAGATGTTTTGTTTTTTTTCTGGCTGGTATTACAGGGAATCTATCACTATACTGGACATGTGTTCTCATTTTTCCAGGGGGCTTAAGCAAATCCATTACCCTACCAATTCACATAGAACCTGACGTTCGGGACTTGGTCCCTTTAAAAGGAGAATATGATCTTCCAGGACCCCCCCGAACGTCAGGTTCCCTGTTAATTGGTAGGGTATTGATTGGTTTTCTCTTACTTGGACATCCCCGCTACTAGGCCTCACCCCCAGATGTGGGCCATTTGGTTTTGAAGCACCCCAGCCCTTCCAGTAGGAGCAGGATTTGGCGCAAGGGACTTCCCGAGGGACCCATCGGTTTTGGGGACACCACTTCTAATGCTGATCGGTCTTGATTCTGAGTATCTTAGCTCTATCTCCTATGCTACACCCAAATTTGTAAGGAATGACAAAACTGCTAGTCTCTTGTTAATTGAAGAATCTTTTGTGTTTTAAAGGAAGCCACAGGGTGGTCCATGAGTGGCCCCAAAGTTTTCTTTTGCCGCAAATATTCGGCTTCGCAAGGCCCCCCTAAATCGTTGGAAGCATCATGTGGAGCTTCACATGCCGAGGTGTGTCTGTGTGTGTGTGTGTGTCCCACTTCTTTCATAGGGACCCTCCGCGCTTTAGTGAAGAGTTACTTTTTGGGACTGGCGTTCTTCCTGTATCACAGAAATCTCACTCGAAAGCCGACCCTTTTGGTTTCCCCTTTTTTGGTATGGCACCGAAAGGTCAACCTTTTGTTTCTGGGTCCTTTGGGCAGGTGAGAACTGGGTCCCCTCGCGGGATCACACGGCGTCAATTCCTTTTCCGGCGGAATGAAGACCTTGGGCGACAGGACTCGATGGCTGCGAATGACTCAAAGCCAGTGCTACTTTCTTGGTGGGATCCCATAAGTCGGATTGGTGGAATGTATGAAACACATTTGATTGGCCACTTCGCCCCTTGAGCAAATCCCGGGATCAGCTTGGGACTCCATTTTGCGCAGCCCCTTTGGCTCTCTGGCTGTTTTCGGGACTTTCACGTTTGTTTTTTTCACCGCTGAAAGCTGCGCAGAGAAGCTCCGGGTCGGAGTTCCTTTCGGGCCATCAGCGATCCCGGACGGGGTCCGCTGAACACCCGCGGACCGCACCCATTTGTGCCAGGGCTTGTGGTTGGTTTGGCGTTGGGTTTCAAGCTATTGTCAGGACAAACCAACTAGCAGGGATACAGGGGGAACCAGGGATATGGGAAGATTCCCCCAAAAGTATTGTTGCAAAGTGTCCCATTCGTGCGCTGTGAACCTCCCAGCTGCGTTTGAAGGAAAGGTGTGGACCAAAACCCGGGGGCAAGCTGCACCTCGCCTCGTCAGGCGGTCACCGCCTTGGCCATCGCCCTTTGCCGCACGCGCGGGGCGAGAGCCGCGCGGCCGGCGCGCTCGAAGGCTCTCCGCCGGGCCGGCGCAGCAGCAGTGACCAAGGAGGAGGAAGATGAGGATCAATACTACCGATCAGCCGCTGGTCGCTACATTCGGACCTCCGGTGGTAGAATGTGTTTCCTTTTCCTGGATGGGTGTTCCTTTCGCAAACCAAGTACACCAAAAGATTTATGATTTGTTTGTCAATGGTCTTTGGAGGATGCATAAAGATCTTGATTGTGGCTAGCTTTTGGTTCCGAGACTCGTGAAACTGCCCCAAGTTTCATAATTTGACATTGGAAACAGCCCAAACAAATCGGTGCAGGCCCACCAACGCGACATGCGCACCTTTTTCTGGCCCCGCCCCCACCCAGGGATCCTCATGCTTCCCTTTTTTGGTGTGGTTCAAGCATCATATTGTTCAATGCTAGAGGAGTCACCTTTTGTGGCCACCTTTGCGTTTCCTGGGCATACACGAAAGCACAGGTCAAGAAAGAAATAAAACCCCTCCATCGCTGCATGTCTTAGAGTCGGTTTTTGCAACTTTCTGGTTTCAGCGCTCCCCCAACACATGCTTCTTGGACGGCACTGACTGTTTGTTTTAGACATGGACCAAAACGATGCTCATTGAGGATATCTTCTTTTATACGGGTTTGGGTCTGCCAATGTCGTGTCCATGGCACCCGTTCCTGACTTTAGGACAATTTTCTATGAGGGCGATGAAGGGAGAACCTTTCGAGCGATCAAGCAGTGAACCGCCCGACACTCAACATATAGGAATGGCTGCGTTTCAAAAACCCAGACATTTCCAGGTGTTTTAGGTACTGTGTTTGTTTTCTTCTTGGAGGAAAAGGGAGAGGTAATGTTTGTGGAGGTAGTGTGTGGTTCGCGTGGGAAATCCACTGGACAAAGCGTTTTCGAGCGAGGCCACACCCCGGGAGCGCCAGTTCGGCATGTACGACCGGCGTGCTGGCTCCCGGAGCTCCCAGAGCGGAGCGGTGGAGCTGCGCCTGAGCCGAGTCTGGGAGCTCTTTTTGTTGCTCGGTGGTTCCGCCCGTACTGTGTCCAAGTGAGGCTACCAAGCTTTGCTCGGAGACTCATGCTCTTGCTCCGTCGCGAGCATTCTTTACCTCTTCGACGCTTTTGGTTTTGCTTACCTCAATACCCCATTCCGGAGGCAAGTGAAGCAAACATCCACTATTTAGCAGGGTGTCTACATGTGTCTATGGCCCGACACCCTGACCTCGTTGCTGTGGCTGTTGAATCCAAGTTGGGTGTTTGGTCAACCCACTTGGTAGTGCAGTCGTTTTTAGGAGCATCCACTGCTCAGAGCCACAATCAATGAGGTAAGGGAAGAACATTGCAAAGGGAGAATCCTTACCAAGAGGAGCAGCTGGGAGCCTTGATTCTTTTCATTTGGGTAGACTCCATTACCAGGGTTCGATTCAAGCTGTTTGGACATCCGCCATTTCGCCCGACACGCCATCCAATCTCTAAAGCCACAAATCACCAATTGGGTGTGTTTTTTTCTGTGGGTATACCCATTCCTTCGTGGTTTTAACAGGAAACCAACACTGAAAAATCCCTGCTTGCCATTTTGGAGGGACCTCCCTAAGAAAAAGGACACACCCACACACACATCCCAGGGAAGCTTCCCCATTCTGTCCAGGGATCCCGCTTTGCAGAAAACCATGCAAAACCCAGGGAAAACAACAATGGAGTTTTTAAATAATGGTTGAGCAGAATGGAAAAGAATCAATCCCAGCCTCTTCCTGAGTTGATGGGCCAGAAAAAAAGCGCTTCTTCCCCCATTTTGGAGGGCTCTCCCCAAGCAACTTGCTGGTGCTCAGCAGGGAATGAGGGAATGACCCTTGCAAACCATGCCTTGTGGTTTGCTTTAAGGGAATCCCCAAGTTCAGCCCCCTCATTCCCTCCCTATCGCACAAGCAACAAAAAAACGCAACTCCGAGGCCCTTGTCGCAGCTCCACGTGGTGGCGGCGCAGCGGCAGCTGCCGGTGCTGCTGGAGGCGGTGGACACAGATGCCTCGCAAGCCATCCAGGCGAGGGGACGTGGCGACGGGTCGATCTCTGGGGTGAATGCAATTTCTGCTTGCCCGGATTCCGCACTTTCTGTTGCTTTGTTTGTTTTTTGAGGTAAGGGTTCCGAGTCCTTTAAACCCACCCAACAAAAACAAGGCGCCTTTTTTTCCACGGAAATCCACTGGGCATCTGAGCAAACACTAGCTGTTTCCCGCTTTTGGTGGGTGAAAAGGGGTCCCTTAGAAGGTACCAAGGGACCCTTAGGGATACCTCCAGACTCCAGCTGAGCTTGACAACCGTTCGAGGGGTGGCTGTGGCTTCCCCCGTCTTTCCAGGGATCCTTCTTCCTAGAAAACCACCAAAAACCTAGGGGAAACAGCTGGTTTTTGAAAAGAACAATGGTTCCTTTTCAATCCCTAGACTCACTTCCTGAGTTGACAAGACGGTCCAACCCCACACAGTTAAAGTCCGAAATGGAACATGCCCCTGAAACCCTGCGTCCACAGGTGGTACTTGGACCCTTGGGTATGGCGGAAAGGTGATGTATGCTGCAATCACCTTTGAAATCCCTGGGGTCTGACCCGAATCAACATTTCGGCCAACCCTTTCTTTTGGGTTTTGGGGAATGACACCATTGTTTAAGACTCAACATAATTTGGGGGAATGACGACATTGTTTAAGACTCCAAGTAAGAAGCTTCAGGTGGAGTACTCCTCCAAAGAGGTTGGTGGACAGAAATGGGTGTGTGTTGTTTAGCTGACCGAAAATGCTGGCTGTCCATTAAACCTACAAAGAAAAGGTACCCTCAAAAAGAATCCCCACCTCAATGATCGCCACCAGGTCCTCAATTTTGCTTGTATGACATTTTGTCAATATCTATGGTGGTTCTAGTTACTAGTTGACCCCAGCAGTGCACTTCTGAACAGAGCCCTTTACTTGGTGGTAAGGGTGGTCAGCCGTGAGAATTTCGATTAGGTTTCCTGAGGTAAGCTTGCCTTCAGGATTGCGGGGAGAAGAAACACAACCCGTGCGTTAGAGCCGCTGTTGTGTAAATCGAGTTGGTCTGTTGAGTGGAGTATTCTGGGTTCTCCTTTAAAACTATTCAATATTTTAGATTGTTAGGGTAGACTTAGTTTGGAAATAGAGTTGGAACACATTTATCTTTGCACCCCAGATGTAGGCCAAGCAATCAATCAGGAATATTCCTGTGAGTTGTGCCTGGATACCACGGTTTTTGGTCAATGGTGTCAAGAGCATGGTCGCTGTTTGCCGTTTCTCGCCCCTTCGCTCCAAGATGTGGGCAGTGGGTACCCCAGGTTCATGTCAACATTCGGCGCTAGTACTTTCAAGTTGAACCCAGGAGTTTGTCGGTCTGGTTGGCCTGCCAAGTCCACTGCACGTACCTTGGCCCTCGAGTCCCGAGTCCTCTTGGGTGTGTGAGCGTGCAGCGTCTGTGTGTTGTGTTCTGAAATAGGGGGATCCCCCCGAAAAAGAAACGGTGGTGGTGTCCTGTTGGTTCCCTCAAGACACCCAAGCATGGTGAATAACCTCCCCAGCCAAACGACGCTCTTTCTTTCCTGTTGCTTTCTCCCGAAAAGCACCAAAAAGCATGGTGCCCATTGGCGTCCTTTTTAGGTTAGTTTGGTTAAAAATAGATGGGCTCCACTGGTTTAGATGTTTTTGTTTTTCCATTTACCAGGGAAGCCCATCTATTTTTCCAAAAGGCCACCTCTTTTTTCATACACTGGTTCAGATTGGTGTTATTTCAGGGCCGCTACCCTCGTCTACTTGTCCAAAAGGCCACCTATGAAACCTGTTTTTGTTCCTGAAAGTTTACCATTTTCCTGGTTTCCCTAGTTTACCTAATTTTTACCTGGTTTCCCTGAACCATCCTGAAGCCCTGATTTTTTTTCCTGGTTTCCTTCTGGACCACTCCGCGGACTCTCCAGGCTTGGTCTGAGCTGCTGAGCGCGTGCCAGCGCCAGGCGTCCGAAGCCGTGGGCTCCGTGGGCTCCGTGGGTCCATGGGTCCCATGGGGTCGCATGGGCCGCTTCCCGGGGTGGACATTCAAGCCAACTTTTTGGGCAAAAGGTTAGACCATTTTGGTAGGTGCAAAAAGTTCACACTCGTTTTAGCAATCCGCTGAAGAAGTGAGTTTGTCTAGGGTCAACCAAGTATGAAGTAGAACAAATGAAATGTTCCTGTGTACCACATATTGTGATTTGTGCCAGTCGACTTTTCAACATGAGGCCATGATGTTTAATGAGGAACCACCTCCAGAGTGGTTGGTGGACATGAATCCCCACCTCTGCGATGTCCACCAAAGTTCATACCTATGTTCCGCAGTTGATGTTAGAGGGAGTTCAGTTCGTTGGTGATTTGTCCGCGCGTGCTAGTTGAATTGTTTTTGAGGGACATGGCCCATGCTGTCATGCTGTGATTGCCAGGCTCGCATGGAAGACGAGGCGAATTCTGAAGGCTATGGGTCCCACTTGTGTTTTCTCTGATAGGTGTCCAGTGGCCAGGTCTGCACCGGACCAGTCTCTCTCTTTTTTGTTTTTCTTTTCGTAGGTCTCCTAAGTTCACCTTGTTTCCAGAATTCCGCTTGGTTTCACTTGATCTTTGGGAGCCATCGGTTCCAACAGGGCACAACCTCGCGACTGGCGGATGTCTGTGCCTGTGAGGCAATACCCTATGCCAGAGGCCTGAGATAAGCCCTCTACAAGCCCATGGGATAACAAGGCCATGGACTCCCCCATAGGGCCCCTATCATAGAAGCTACTTGGGAAATTCAATAAAGACACAGCTTGTTTTTTTGTATTTGGTCATGACCTGTTTGCAGACCGATTCCCGGGCCCTCCAATGAAGAACCCTACCCGGTCCAAGTGCAAACAGCCAGTTTTGCACATTGAAGGACCCGAAACCTCGGTTGTGACTTCTTTTCAGTGGTTCCCTGTTCCGGGGTTTAAACCAACAGGAGAATTCTCTTAAAGGGAACCCAATGGCAGAACCCCTGGTCTTTCTTGTTGGTCCGCCCCGAAAAGGACAAAAAGCAGAAGGAAAAACACTGACACAAACCAACAAATGAAAAGCACGAAACACGGCGTCACCCCCTCGGCGTTTTTTTTGGGGGGGGGAAAACACGGCTTCGTGCTTTCGGGGGGACGGCTTCCGACGGCTGGAGGCGCCGGAGCTGCTGAGCACCTGGAGCTGCGGCCTCTCGCCGCTGCTGCGCTTGGCGCTGGTGGTGCCCAGGTCCCAGCGCGGGGCCCCGGGGGCGAAATGCGCACGGCACACGGCGAGCAGCCGGGGAGGGGGGGTTTGGGGGAGAGGGGGGATTGTCCCAAAAAAGCAAAACAAAGGAGAAGCAAAAGGGAATTGTCGAATTCGCACCAGGCGGGTGATTTGTTTCCAGAACAACAACAGGACCCCCCCACCCCAAAAAGAAGAACAAAAGAAGCGGCCAGCTGAGTTCTGGAGCCAAGGTGGTTGCGGAGTCCCGAGGAGAGCTGGTGCGACGAGGCGCAACGCTCTCCTGTCTGTGCCGACAGCACATGGTTCCACAAGTCTCGATATTCTTGCTGGTGCTCAGTAGGGACTGACCCAGGGTATTGACTGACCCAGGGTATTGACTGACCCAGGGTATTGGGAATGAACCTAGGGATTGGTTTCAAGGGGTCATTCTGTCATGTTTTCATTCCCTTCTGAGAACCAGCAAACGTTTCACCTTTTCACAAGGTGCTTTCCAGCCCTGGATGGTTTTTGAGGCCTTTCCGGGGTCAAACTCGCTCCTTAGCTACCACCCTTCGGTCTTGCCTGTCACTTGGATGACTCGGCCAGCTCTAAGCTTGAGGCGCCTGGGCCAGTGCAGCATGAGGGCCCTGAGGGCCCTCGCCTCGGCACCGCCGCTCGGCAGAATCCGTCGACTCGGAGACTTGCAATACCCTGGCGGCTCCCAGCCATCCGGTTCCTTAGCTTTTTTAGCCTTTCTGTGGTTAGTGGGGCTTTCCATTTAACCCGCCAAAAGTGGATTTTTTTCAGGGGATCTGAGGGCAGTCCACAATACCAAAGTTCGGGAAAGGTTTCAGAACCTTGCGGCAAGAATTCTGAGAAGGTCCCAAGGACACTGCTTGCGGGGTAAAGGTTGACATGTTTGAACGTGTTGGAACATGTTCAAAGCTGGCTCGTGGACAGAACTCCCCATGTGAATTGTGTCCATGGAAGGGCCGAAAGTAAGCCGAATCCCTGCCCCATCTCAGACAGGGCCCTCTCGGATCTTAAGACCCTATGCTTCATTGCCACCACGCCACTCATGGCGCTTCGTCGAAACGGGCCTTTGAGCGCCCGTGTCGGGTTTTCGGGTCCAACCGACGTCCGGAAAGCCTCCCGGCGCGAGCGAGGAAGCACTTCCAAAGCTGGAGAAGCTGATCAGGCACTTGCTGACCAAGCGCCGGAGCTGATCATGGGCCTATAGGCCCCGCTTGGACAGACCTGAGGCAGCGGTGAAGTGTCAACACCAAGAAATGCAAAACGATCGTTTTCCGGAAAAATAAAAGACAAAAACAAAATCTGCAGTTTTGGGGGGCAGCAGGTATGCGTCCCCTCCCCCCCAAAACAAAAGGCAAGGCCCATGGAAATATCATTCCCCCCAACAAACAAACACCGAGTTTCTTTGAACCGCCTCCAAAAGCCAAGGGTTGTGAGTTCCCATTTCGGTGCCATCGGTGGTGTTTCCCGCAGTTGTCCGGTCAAACACAACTGCTTTCTCGAGTTGGGGTTTTGAAGATTTGCACAAATGAAAACAGAGCACGCCGTTCGAGAGTGCTGCAACTAGATTCAGAAAGAGAAGCCCGAAGGGAAATCCAGGAGGTTAGCCCAGATCCCTGGTTCCAGAGGGTATTTGGCCTATTTGTTCCCAGCAACTGGCGCTTTTGGTTGCCTTGGGGTTTTGGACACGGGGGGGAAAACACAGAGGACCCAAACAAAGGCGGTCGTTGAAAGGTGGCAAGCACTGGGATGGTCAGACAACGTACGGTGACAATCATTGGGTTCTATGTCCACCAACCTCTTCATGGTGACCTACTTACAAAGTGGGTTGAACATGTTTTTTTTCCCCCCCAACAGCTGAAAGCTTTGGGGTCTCAGCCCAGATAGGCTCCGGGGTGGTTCGGGGCGACCCTGAGCTAAGGTTCCACCAGGGTTCCACCAGGGTTTTACCAGGGTTCCACCATCTGCGAGGCTTCCACCAGGGTTGCACCACGTTCTGCAAGGGTTGCGGGGTGGTTTGAGGTAAGGTTCCACGAGGGTTTCACCAGGGTTCTGCAAGGGCTGCGGGGTGGTCCGGGGTGGTTTGAGGTAAGGTTCCACAAGGGTTCCACCACGGTTCCACCAATTTCTTCGAGGGCTGCGGGGTGGTCCGGGCTGGTTTAAGGAAGGTGAGGGTTCCACCAGGGCTGCAGGGTGGTCCGGGGTGGTTTGAGGTAAGGTTCCACGACAGTTCCACCACAATTCTTCCAGGTTTTGCAAGGTAAGGTTCCATGAAGGTTCCAGGGTTCCACGAGGTTCTGCAAGGGCTGCGGGGTGTCCGGGGTGGTTTGAGGTAAGGTTCTGAGAGTGCTTTGTGCGCTTCGCACTGCCTTCTGCAGAAACTTGCCAACGTCAGCCACGGGGCACGGCTCGGCGACTGTTTATTTGATATATGCATACTTGTCCAGCATACATGCATCGATCCATGCATGCAAAGTCTTTGATTGCCCAATTGCCAAGCCAGAAAAGAGCAACAAAGTTCTGTAAAGTCACGTGCCGCGAATTGACACCAAAATGGTGCAAAAACGAGATGTGCAGAAAATGTCCGTTCTACGGGAATAAATGGCCGTTCTACGGCAGAAAATCACTTTCTACAGCAGAAAATGTACTTTCTACGGGTTGTCTACGGTTTGTCTACGGTCCCTTTCGGTCACAAGCAACGAGCAACGAGCTCAACAAATCTCGGCTTTACGACTCGACCTGATGTGAACAGTGAATATCCTGATTTTGCAATGTGTTTCCCCTTCTGCGCATGCGGAATCAAGTGCCCCTGACTTACACCGTACTTTTCGTAGCGGTTATTTGCTTGCCTATGGTTTTCCCGAATGGTTTGCCTGTGGTATGTCTATGATATGTCTACAGTATGTCTATGGTTTGTCTATCGTCAATTTGCTGCGATCAGAGCACTCGAAGAAATTGAGCCCCCGTAGTGGATGCAAAAATGTCCCTTCTTGAGCAAAAAATGTCCGTTGTCACAAGGACATGTATTGAATGGCCGAGGAAGTTCTGGCCAATTTAAGGGTTCCAGAAATGTTCTGCAAGGTTCCGTGGTTTGCCCTGAATGGAAGCAGTGTGTCGTGCGCCCGTCGTCTGAAAAGCCATCGGATCAAGATCGCTTTGCTCATGGGCGGAACACTAAGCAAAACCGAAATCAATGGTGTTTAGCAGGCTTTCACTGTTTTGTGACTTGCTCACTTGCTCAGGCAAATGTTGGCTTTGTGGCAAATCAGATCACGTCGCTGCGGGACTCACGGTGCAGCAGAGTAAATGCTTGGCATTGCTGCTTGGTGGGCGTTGGGTTCCAAGAATTCCACGCGGCTGCGAGGGCTATGAGGTAAGGTTCCAAAAACGTTCCACAAGGTTTCCACCAGGTTCTGCAAAAGCTATGGGGCAGCCCTGAAGAAAGGTTGCAACAAAGTTTCACGCTGAGCTCCATGAAAGTTGCATGAGAACGGTTTGCGAGGTTCACCGGGCCTAGGTCGGGGCCCGATTGCACTGTCGGGGCCCGATTGCGCCGTTTGGGCCCGATCGGCCCCGATTGCGCCATCGCGCCCCGATCGGGGCCCGACTCAGTCGGGCCCCATCAACTGTACCAAGCTGGCATCGCCTAGTTTTGCTATAGATACAGTTGTAATCCGCATGCTAAGGAAAATCGGCGTTGGCCCCGATTGCACCGTCGGGCCCCGATCGGGCCCCGATTGCGCCGCCACTCGTAGCTTTGCTTTAGAAAGTTACAAGGCGGCATCCTCAGCAACGCCGGCGGTAAGGATGGTCCCGGGGCGTTCCGCGAGGATTCTGGAAGGGTGTGGTGCTGTTGGGGATATCGCCCGAGCTTATTTAATATCCAAATGGAGATCCCCCCCCCAAAAAAAGGAATTTCATTACAAAAACCGGGCTCCCTCGAAAAGACCGCCTCGTATCTGAACTTTTGGAAACCTGAGGGGTTATTGCAAAGGCAACCAAAAGGAGCTGCCAGAGCTGCAGCCATTTTCGTGGTTCCCCTGGACAAACACCCAAGTCTAAGTGGGTTGCTTGGAGCATCCAAGTGACATTGTGCTTGGTTTTGGGAAACTCATTTTGATTGGTTTTGAAGGGACACCCAGAGGCACCAACCCATTTTGGGGTTCGATTTGACGACATGCGTTTTGTGGGTATGTGCCAACATGGCTGGTTTCCTTCAAAGTTTCCATGTCAGCCACTCAGCTTTTAGTTTTAAGGTACGATGACGCGCCCATGGACCTGGCTGCGGGCTTCCTTTGGAGCGACGGCGCCGGGGGCACACTGCGGGAGCGCGAGGACCGAGAGGCGCGGGGCCCGCAACCGCGCAGGGGGGTTGTTCGAAGCTTCGCAGGGACGGCTTGGTATTGTTGTTTGTGGAGAACCACTTCCTTTTTGGGTGGTGGTGTTGAAGGAAAGCCAAAAGCAACACCACGGTTGCGCCTTGTTTGTTGGCTGGGGGCCGGGGGGGTCCGACTTTCCTAAGCAACAGAAAGACCCATTGGTGGTTTGGGGAGGTTTCGGGGACCCCCGAATGATGGCTGCAACATGCCGGTCAGAAGCTGCAGCTTGGGGAAAACGCGGCTCAGAGTTGACTCTCAACCAACGTGACTTGGTTCCCAATCTCACACACTCCCGAGTTCGAGGACTTTCAACTTTTGGGGAAGAGCATATTAGCGGTAAATCATAAGCTTGGACTTATTTTGGGCAGTCCGCTCAACCGGAAGTGAGCCGTTCGCGTCAATGGCAAGGGCCCATTGTGATCCTTGGAGAGGATGAGGAGTCTGGGTGGATTTGTCGAGCAGCAAAACCACAGCAACAGGCCATTAAGCCAGGAGCAGTTCCCCGCATCAACTTGAAATTGTGTTTCTCTAGAATTAGCGGGCCAACCCGGCAGGTGGTTCCCCCGCTCAAGACGACACGTTTCTCGTCGGTGGGCTGATTTACGAGGGTCCAATTACTAAGGTACTTAGACCCCTGAGGGGCCATCTAAGGAGATAGGGACCGGGACCCCTTTTCACCCACCAAAAGCCTTCAGCTGCTACCAAGGGACCCTTTGGGTGTGGCACCTGTCCAACTAAAGCGGCTCCGCGCAGGTGGTGCTTTGCAGCGGCGCGGGGGCCAGCCTTTGCGTCAGCTTCATCCGCCTCTTTCGGGAGGCCTGAGTTGCTGCGGGGTTGGTTTCGGCCTATCTTTGGTGGGACCTGAATGGTACCGGAGAGAGGACTTTTGGACGGGGGTGTTGATCAAAACTCCGTTCGGCCGTCAAATGACCGGTAACTTGTGCCGTTTGGGAATGACCACATGTTTAGGGGTTTTCCCCAATGGTCATCCCATGTAAAGGACCATTTGATCAACTTTGATTGGGCTTCTTCATGGTCCAAGGGCAATACCACAGGAGTCCCCAGAGAGCTTTCTGAGCTCTAAGAAGACCAATCCCCTCAGCTGTTTCAATCTGGGTGAAAGGGCTTGGCCCAAGCCTCTTTGACCCTGGAAACCAGAAGGAGGCAAGGTCCTATATGTCGGGAAACATGACATGTTCAAACGACCTCAGGTTAGTTAGTCTAAACGTGTTATCATTAGTTGCTACCTTGAGCAAGGCTCCACTCGGAGCAACGAGTATTTTCCCAAACCCCAGAAAGGGTTCCGGAGCATTTCGATCACCCAGGAGGCCACGGGCACACGGGGCTTGGAATGAATATCTTCGCCTCACGCAAAAGTGGAAACTTGGCTTCACTGGTCACAGAGCTGATCTCTTGGGACACATTGACTACAAAACCTTTCCGGACTGGCTACAAGAAGGGACTGTCAATACTTGCTGGCATAGCACACATACTTCTGAACTTGGCCAGAAAACCAAAAGATGATGGCGTTTGTTAGGAGTAGTCTCAGTTTCACTTGCCGGGTGCATAGCAGCTACTGCCCCAAAGGGAACAAGAAATAATCTGTTTCATATGCTTCTCCACCTACTGAACACGCAGGTCATAGAAACCAGCAGGAGATTCGACAAAACAATTCACGGGAATTCGTTTGATTTCCTGCTGAATTTGTTGCTCCCAGTGGATCCATGTACCTGTATAGGTAACCAAGGGCTTACCGCCCTTTAACAGCCAAAAGGTGAACATAGGCGAAAGGGTTACCTATATAATATAGGTTTTCCATTTAGCTGTATAGGGAACCAAGGGAACAGCCCTGTAACAACCAAAGGGTACTAGCTGGTTACCCGCTATATTGCTGCTGAACAAAAGGAATTCCCAAAATGGCACCTTGGTATGGACACAAAGGCTAGAACCTGCATCACCGTAACCAGCTGAGCCACTTGCTCAAAACCAGGGGATTGATGAAGGTTAGTAAGGGACACTCCCACCCATAGATTGCTGCGCCCGCCTTCTTAATTCTTGACATGGCCATGGGTCAAAATCCCGTGCCCCCATCCAAATCCCCACTAAAATACACTAAGATGGGTGGTTCACCTGCCCCAAAATGGTACCAAAACGGTTTTGACCCACAGCCACATGGTTCTGGGTCGACCATTTTCATACCAGGTTTTGATGTTTTTCTTTCTTTAGGGACTCCCAAAATGGGTGGGTTTCCTTTGGTCTCTCTAAAACCAATCAAAAGAGGGCTCTCAAAAAGTGAAGCCCATATCTTTTCCTCTTAACCCCCCAAAAAGTTAAACTTTTTGCAGGAGGCTCAACAGCAACCAAGTTGCATCCGGGTTTTTGGCTTGGAGGTGTGTCAGGGCGAGCGGAAGCCCTTGGCGGCGGCGCAGGATCTGCTGAGCCCCACGCTGACCAAGACGCCTGGCTGGTCCCATGGGAACGGGCGGCGGTTTTTGGCGACGCAACATGGCGGTGGGTCAAAGACAGGTAATTACCCAAAATGGCTTGGAAAATGGAAACAATGTAATGCTGCGGTCCTTTTGCTTGGTGGCGACTTTTTTTCTGACCCATTGCCACATGTGGGTCTGTCTTTCCTTTCGTTTTCCATGTTTACACCAAAACAAGGGGTGTTCTACCAAAAAATAATTGACAGAATCATGTGGCCAATTTCAGGATCTCAGAAACTGTGGCCGCTTTCTGGTGGACCACACATGTTTAATGTTTGAATAGTTTAACGTAGACTGGTGTGCCACGCCATGGTTACAGCACCCCGGTTGGGATTGGTAAGGACTGTCATCAAGCACTCAACCATGAGGGCGCTTGTCGAGGAAGCCATGGGCCACACATTTGGCTTTGACCATGGCACACAAAGCTAGATTCAAATGGTTACTTCCCTCGAACTTTGGACATCAAGCCCGATGTGAACGAGGTCTACCCTCAGGGTCGCCCATCATGAGGCTTGGGTTACGACCATCCCTCAATGAACTCGACCAGAGGGGTTTCTCTCTGATGATGAATTCGACCACGGCAGCGCCCACCAGCAGCGTTTCACCACCGCCGGGGCAACCACATCGATGCGGCCGCCGCCAACCTCAAATGGGTGTGTCTGCTCATGAGACACCCCTGAAATGGGGCTGCTTTCTGTAGGGTGTCCCTTACCCCAAAAAGGGCACCCGACTAATCCTTTTTCTGATGATGTGCGAGGAACCGCAAGGGACACCATTTGGATTGGTTGAAGCTTTTCCGGAAGCTGTAAAGTGAGCTGTTCGGCTTTCTTGCGCCTAGTGCTGTACTAGCATCAGTGGACCTTAGTACTTTGTAGCGAGGCTGAACAGGGATGGAGCATGCGCCACGCGTGCCATTGAATCAACCGTATCCGTATCCTAGTTGCGCAGCAATACGTGGGATTACATCATCGTCATCATCATCATCATCAGCAGCAGCAGCAGAACCACCACCACATCATCATCAGCAGCAGCAGCAGAACCACCATCATCATCATTGTCATCGTCATGGTCATCGTCATCGTCATCCTCCTCCTCATCATCATCATCATGATCATCATCATTATCATCAAGTTGCTACTTGTTTGAGAAGACAATGGTAATGAGTTTAGTTATGTTGATACAAATGGGTTAAAACCCTGACTCCGGTCGAGGAAGATGGTCAATCAGCTTCTGGGCGGATCAACGCTGCCCACGCCTCCGCCAGTGGATGCTCGGCTTGGTGAATACGACAGGGCGAGTCTTCGTGGATGGGCATCATGGAAAAATGGGTCGGCAGACATGTGAATGTAAATCGTATCCAAAGAGTCCCCAAACCCTAGTCTAGAGTGTCCAAGTACCACCTGAGGACGGCTTTTGGTGGGTGAACTAGGGGTCTAAGTACCTCCTTAGAAGGTACGTAGATCTGAGATTGAGATTCCTACCCACAGTGCCAAAGCTCGCCATCTTAGGGGCCAGTGGCCTTTTCGACCCCAAGAGCCTCTGGTAGGACATTGGGTAGAAGTGTTTGGCAGATGCGTCGATGCCAGCTCTTTGGTTTGACGTTTGACCTTTGACCCTTCATGTTTTGAGAAAATGCAAGCATGTTTTGAAATACAACGAATGGTGGTGTTCCTTCTGGTTTTCCCCCAAAGCCCAAAATGGTACCCAACAAACCCACGCCCAGCTGTGTTTCCCCGAGCACAAGAATTAGGCCCTCCTTGAAAGGGGCCTTCCGGAGGGTTTTTTTGTGGCCCAGCGCGCTTTGGTTTGTCTCCACCTCGTAGGTTGCCGTGGTTCTATGTCCACCGACCTTTGCCTGTCCTACCTGCCAAGTCGGTTCCAGATCCAAGTAGAAAACCGTCGGAAGTGGAAGTTAGACTGGTTCCCGGAAAGGTTGCGCACTGGTTCCCTCTCAGTTCCATTGGTTTCACGGATTTGCCATGGGTTCCCCGTGAGTGTCCATGTTTTGTTTCTGTTTGTTTTCTTCGAACCTCCAAGCCATGGCTTCTCTCATAGGAGTAAGAATCGGAACCTTTCCACATGGTTGGGTTGGTTTCCCTTTAAAACCAACCTGAAAAGGGTACCCTGGATTTACAAAATGTGCTTCTCAAGAACAAAAGAGCAAAATACAATAACACGACAGAACAAACAAACAAAAGCCATCGCGGCGTGGAATCTCAGGAGGTGCCGGACGAGGCCCGGCACATACAGCCGCTGGCTGTGACCTTGGCCTCGCCTTTGATGCTGCTGCGGCGAGCACAGCTGGCGCAGCTGAACGCGCCGGAGGCGGATGGGGGTGCCTGATGTTGACCCCTTATTAATCGACCCCAGTTTATTAATAGGGGTGGTCCCCTCCAATAGTGAACCATCCCCACTAAACCAGGGACACCCCGATATAAATATGCAGGGGTTTCTTAATAGGGGGCTTCATTACATGGCCGGGGTTGTGGGATCACTCGGGGTGTATCCCAGACTTCTGTGATACAAGGGAATCTGCCTCTGTGTCTGAATATGGGGCTTCGTCTTTGAAGCTCTTTTGTGGTATCACAGAGGTGGTCATTTCAAGCAGCCTTGCTACATGGGCGGCTCGTCTTCTTTTGAGTACCCTTTTGGGGGAGAGCAGAGCTGATTTCGACGTTGGAGCTTGAATGGCCCCAAAGGAACTCGAAAAGCGTGGCGTGGATGGATCCTTTCAGCTATGTGTGGAAGAAACGAGTACTCTGTTGGTGTCGTTTTTAGTTCAGGCTATATATGGAATCGAGTCAGAACATATGATTTTCCGTGTACCCCAGTGGGCCTACGGGCTGCATACGGCAAGCTCAGTCACCAACTCGGGGGCGTTTTTAGCGAGCTCGCCCTTCCTGACTTGGGGATCATTTGCAGGTTTCAGAGCATTTTGAACTTTGCAGACGCTGGTGGACGAAATTCACTTCGCACTGGTTGGCATGGATGAAGCCCTCTGGTATAAACCACCTGCCAACTGGTGCAGGATTGTGTGAACAGTCCCGTTGGAAGCATTGCACATGGCTGGCGATTTCATGGCGTTGCAATGCTTGGGGGGGATATATAGAATGACACCTGCTAAGCATGCTCAACTATGTGAGAACCGCTGTGGCAGGTTGAAGCGTTTTTTTTTCTTCTTCTTTTTCTCCAATTCTCCGATTTCATTCATGTGTGTTCCATCAGCTCCAATGTCTAAGCTTCATGCTAGAGTTCTCTTGCACTGTTGAACCAGCCTCTTCCACCCAGACTTCCAGCGGTCCATTTTCTTCCACCAACATGTGGGTTCCCAGACCACCTTTGCTTAAAGGGGAACCCAGACCACCTTCCACGCGTTTTTTTTCTCTGAATACCAAGACATGGGGATGCCTTTAACAGGGCTCCTTGAAAGATCTCCATTTCACCACCATTTGAACCATGTTGCTTTGTCCACCAAAATACAAGGACCCCACCATTTGCAAGTTGCAATGTTCGATCGGTGCTTTCCATTGTAAGGATCCCCGTTTAGCCGCCGCAACGCCCACCCCCGGGGCCCGTCCCATGACGGATCGAGGCCATGGCGGAGGCCTTGGCGCAGACGAATTTGGCCAAGGCGCGGAGGGGAGGGACGTGGGGACGCGGCGTGGCGGGGACGCGGCTGGGCGCGGGGGGTGGGGAGTCCCCGGCGTTTTTTTGGAGGGCGTACCCCTCACTCCCCTGAGCTTCCGTTGCGGACGGATTTTTTGGAAGCGTTTTGGGGGTTGGACCGTTTTGAGTGGCAGCCGAATTGACGGTTTGAGGGTGTTTTGGCCAATCCGCTGGGGAAGTGAGACCCTTTCTGGGGTCAAACTGGAGGTGAAAAGTGAGTCAGTGGGCGGCAAAAAACGGTTCCAGGGGCTGGCTAAAGAGAGTTTACACGGCAAGATTTGCAACGTGTCCAGACCCCAAGGAGATTGGCTTGGTTTCCCGCGTGTCCCCTTTGGGCATAATATATATATATATATATACATACATATAATACATATAATACTCATTGGAGCACCCTGATGTTCAGCCCCCCATGAAAAAACAAACAAGTCCACTGTTTTGACATACGGGGTTGTCGCAAGTTCAACTTCAAGTTCCTGGGCGCCTCTTAGCTTCGGAGTTGGTGCAGCTGGCGGTTTGCACCAGACGGGTTCCAGATTCCTTTTGGCTCGCCTTAGGCGAAGGAAGCTCACAGAAAACATAGAAACAAACCATGTTCATTGCTTCCTTTCACTTTGAACCAGTTTGAGTTTGATGGGGTCTGTTTATCTGGCCACACGGCCACGAATCTCCTTTCAGATGTGTTGGTTTAGTTCCCACGGACCATCTTGGCGTTCCCAGACTCTGGGAGTCACCTTGCATTTGCTTGTAAGAACCTGCCATGAGTGCTACAAGTTGAGCATTTACATCCATCGCCGGATTTCTTGAGCCGAAGTGTTGCTATCAGATGCCTTTTGAGCGGCGCAAGATCTGCGAATTTGAGCTGGGGGCGGGGGGGTTGAGGTACAAGGGGGCTGAACAATTCCCAACACAAAGTGTTGAACGTTGACTTCCTTTAGTTTCATGGCATCCCAAACCCCGATTCTAAGTATTCGAGCCCTTACGCGGCACCCCCCAACCACTGCTTTTAGGCTAGTGGGCAAGTTGGGGGGTTCTGGACAGTGCCCCCTTTTCATAGTCGGCTGTGGCTCAAAAAACCGGTACCAAAATGGCACCCTTTTCAATTCAAAACAAGACTAAAACCTGCGTAACCCCTAGCTCTTTAATTTTGAGCCACACCCAGTTGGTGCTTTTGTTGCTTTTGCAGGGGTATCGAAACGAAACCACCCATTCCCTGCATGGTCAGCGCAGGACTTAGGCTCTCCAGAGGACGGGGTTTTTGGGGATCCGCGACGGAGCCATGCGGTTGAGTATGTCGGCTGAAATGAGCCAGGCGTGACATAAAAGCAACCACATCATCTGGGTTCCTTCGTTTTTTGTGTTTTTTTTGGAGTCAATATGAAGCAGAACCTGAACATGCTTGTTTCTTGTGTGCCATGGGGTAGGGCCAAGTCATGTGTCGCGTGCGCTCATGTTTGTTGGGTGCTTCAGAACGTATCGGTATAAAAGGAGCTCACCCTTCAAGAAAAGGCCTTTAAAAGGGTTTCCTGATTCAATTTTCCAGCTGCAGGTTTCAGTCTGTCCATTTGGGGTTTGGGACGTGGAGCGGCTCTCCGGTTTGTCCATGTCTAGGGTGAGCATGTCACCACACGCGCAAGCGCACGAGTTGACAACTCATCAGGTCTTTGGAAAGTCCAACATCCAGCTTGAAACAACGAGAGCTTGGTGGCCATTCCGATGGGGAAACCAGATCGGAGGATGCTCAACGTGGTTTCGAAATTTCGATCACATGTTTACGCAGGTGGTTAGGAGGCTGCCGTGTTCTACGCGACACGTCAGGCTCCAGGTGGGTCTTTGATCACGGGTCCAAGTACCCTGAAAGAGGATAGTCTTTCAAGGGTTTGAATGCCTTTTGCTTGTGCTTATGAGCCGAGCACATGCATCAGGTCGGGAGAGACCAACAAGTCTTGCATTTGTTTATATATGCCAGTTCAGAGTAGCAGGGCCGTCTTAATTGGTACAGGTGGTCAAGCTTCTCAACATTGACAGACAACTCAAAAGCGCCCCCGGTACCAAAAGGAGATGCCTCTGTTACACATGAGCAATGTTAGAGTTCGGGAGAGTGTTCTGGATAACTTGATCCATACCCCAGCGGCAAGCATGGTATCTACTCTTGCCCCTCGGGCGACTTGATGAAGGTGCTGCATGTTAGCGTAGCCATGAGAATCAAGCGGAGCCTCCTTCGGTCGCGACGAACCCTTTCGTAGCCATGGGCACATCTCGTGCGACCAATGCTCGTCGCCGGATGTTGGCCGTGCTTGGTCTGCAATGCGCCGGGAAGCCAACAAATCTGAGTTCGGCCTACACTGAACGCAGGAATGCCGTCTGACAGATGAAGACTAGTACAGGACAAACACAACCATGAAAAGGTGCAGATATTGCCTTTCTGATAAGTTACATGTTTTTGGTATACCCCTATGGTACCCGGTACCAGGTTTTGATTGTGACACTCGTGGACAGAAAACAGCCTCTGCCACGGTGAAGCTGCGCGGAACTTTGTGGGAAGGACCGTCCCCTGTTTGTCCCCGGTTTGCCTTTGCCGCTGAACGGACGAGCCTCCCTCGACAATGATTGATGCCACCAACAGCGGAAAGGCCCATCGTAGTTCTTGGTGGCTCCCAGCCATCCCCCTAGAGAATTGGCCTTTTAGGGTTTAGTGGCTTTTCCATTTCGCCCACTAAAAGTTAAACTTTTTGCAGGGGATCTGAGGCTGCTCAGAGTTTTTCAGGGTACCAAGGTATGCGTTCTGCTGGCATCTCTGGAATGGAGGCATAGCTTCGCGATCGTCAAGGCCAGCCACTTCAATCAAGAAGCTCAGCTGCCCGATGCGAGTCGACCTTTTGACCTTTTTTGGTTTTCTTATGTGGGAATGGGTAAAAATTCAAGTACCAGGGGACTGCAGGTTTTAGTCCATGTTTCGGTTTACCTTTTTGGGTACCTAATTTAGACCCACAGCCATGTTGGTTCCCAGTTTTTATTTCACCCCAAAAGGTGATCAGCTTTTATGTTTCTGGGCCCCCAAGCCCAGACACTCCATCTAGGGAATAGTCGCACACATTTACCCTCCAACTAGGTCTTAAATGTTGGTACGAAGTATCTGCATGGAGTATGTGGGAAGGGGCTGAGGATATGTTACCCTTTTTTATGGGAATTCCCAATTGAGCTGCTTGTCGGTTCAGAATACGTGTCCGGTAAAGCTCACGGATTTTTAGTCGGCCCCCCCAAAAAAAAGAGTGATCAGCTTTCATGTATTTCTGCCCGGTTTTGGGGCTGAGGACATGCTACCCAATTTATAGACGGTGGTTTCCTTTTGGTGTTCAAGAGTCGGCAACTGAGCCACAATCAAAACCGGGTAGATGAAGGCTAGTAAGGGACAATCGCAACTATATATAGTTGCGGAAATCCGCCTTCTTAATTATATACATGTTTTTGGGGATCGACCATTTTAAAACCGGGTGTTGATTAGGAATATTAGGACTCAACTGAGGAAATGTTACCCTTTTGTATGGGAGTATCCAATTGAGCTGTTTTCAGGGACCCCCAAAGACGGTGGTTTCCTTGTGTTCAAGAGTCGGCTGAGGAAATGTTCTACTTTTCCCAGCAGATCACCGCCCTTGCAGACGTGCTGAAAATGATCGCCCGCAGCAAGGAGGCGAACTCCTTGCCGACGGCCATTCGCTCCCAGGTCACTCGGGTTGAATGTGGTGCAGCGAAAAGCAGTGGTGATTCCTCCACATTCTTGGTGAATTATTACGACCTCACACGACCTCACCCCAAATGGTGGTGTATGTGGGGAATAGCCCCCCCAACCACCTTATTTCAGGTTGGTGAAATATTATAATTCACCCAGTCCATTTGCTGAAATGTATATGTTCATGTTGTGAACTGTTGGTTTAAGAGAATCGATTTCACTACGGGACACGTGCTGAAATGAACATTGTATGCAATGTTGGCAATCGATTTCCCAGCAAAGGAAAACTCAAATGGACGCTTTCTTAAGGTTTCTTTTTGAATCAAGCTCAAAGGAATACCCTCAAGACATATTCGGACCTAGGGTGTTTTGTGTTGCGCGCATTTGGCGGTCTGTGTTATTTTCATTGTTGTTCCGTCGACCCGCTAATGCATTCAGAGGTTCTAAGTCCAGTTCAGGTCAATGTGGTTTACAAGAAATGCGAGGTGTTGCAAGACCGCGTGCCAAAAGTGCAGCAACAAGTGGGCGACAAGATCGACCGGGCGGTTTTGTGGCTGCGCAACGTGGAGCACAAAGACGATCCGGGGGTCAACGCTGCCTGGATGAAGCGACGGCTGCAGCTGGCAGAGTTCGAGTTTGATGCCATGCAGAGCTCGCTGCGCGATGAGCTGACAAGGACTATGGACATGCAGCGTGCGCTTCAGAAGCTGCAGAGTGACATGATCCGCTTTGTCTCTGGGAAAGAGAAGGACAAAGGCGCCCGGCCAGCAACCCTTCAAACGCAAGAAAACGTACATCAGGAGCCGGACGCCGCAAGAGAGAGAGAGAGAGACAGAGAGAGAGAGAGAGAGAGAGAGAGAGCTGGAAGCCGTAAGGAGTATACCTGGTTCCGGCTTCAGTGTGTCCCGTAACCTCCAAGCAACCAATCCAAATCTTCAAGTAGAAGGGAGCTGAGTTGGGGTTGCATGGTTTCATCATGTTACCGGTTGCCACCAACAACTGAGAATGCCGAGTACGGTAACCTAAAAGCACTGGTTGGGGGGTGCTGGGGCATCCCTTCCAGAGGCACCTACGAGACCTTCGCCCTGGTGCTCGGCGGCATCTCGGCGACTGTATGTGTCAATTTTGGGGACCCCAAAGAGGTGGGGATGGCGATGAATTGGCCATAGTTTTGCAAGCACATTGGGCATAATATGTTCCTGCACGTTTTTGCCGGGGCTGGGGATATAATTAAGGTAATGTTCCACTTCTGGGGACGGCATCTTGTTTTAACAAACCTCTGGTCCCAGTTGAAGGGAAGCTCACAGGAGTTTGATTAGGCAATACTTCCGTTGGTTTAATGCTAGCTATTGTGTTATTTCCGTTGTTGGTTTTAAGGGGTATAGATGTCATTGGACAATTTTCTTCACTTTTTCCAGGGGACTTATTCGCGAATGGAAGGTTCATTAGTGATGGTCATGGAGCCCGTTCTGGAATTTGGGCAACCGTGGCACGGGATCCTATCATGGCCGAAAAAGGGAGTTTCTCTTTTAGGGGGCCCTCCAAAATTGGGGAAGTTGTTCTCCCTTGGTTTCTCTTTAAACAGCCAACAAGGAATCTCCTGGTCTCAAAGGGTGTCCTGGGAACGTATTGGGAGATGGATGTTAATATCCATGATGGCTGCCACTGCCCCCAAACCATAGCCCCTACAACTGCCAGGCATTTCCTGGTTTCAAAGGGTGTCTATCACTGGACATATGTTCCCGCTTTTGGGAAGACAATTTTAGCCAGTCCACTCAATCGCCACCACTTTTTGTAAAGGGGTGCGTGAGCTAAGTATGAAACAGAATCAGAACAGATGTTTCCTATCTCATGGACCAAGAGTAGGTTCTAGAGCTTGATTTGCGAGTTAAACCGCCACCAAGGCATCTTGGGAAATGGACGTAAATATCCATGGCTTCCACTACCCCCAAACCACAACTGCCAACTGCTTGTTGGGTATATACCCACAACCACAACCCCCAAACCACAAACCCCACTGCCCAGGCATCTCCTTGGCGTGCATGGCCTGCGCCTTCCCCGCGGCTGCCGCCTCCGCCGCCGCTGCCGAGGCGGGCGCCGCTGGTGTGGCGGTGGTGGCGGCTGAGGGCGCCGCGGTGGTGGCGGCGGAGGAAGGGAGAGAGTCAGGGAGACACTAGCAGGGATACAGGGGGAACCAGGGATACAGGGGGAACCAGGGATACGGGAGGATTCCCTCTAAATGCACTTTGACTAAGTTTGATATGGGAAATGGCGCCAAGGGAATCCCCCCATATCCCTGCTCCCTCCGTATCCCCGCTTGTTCGTTTGTCCAAGCAGTGACAGTGTCCGTCTTACCGGATGCTGTGTCGATTCTTGGAGTTGGTACCACCTTGTTGGTAGGTTTGGTTCCCCCTTAGTGAAGCCAACAGGAAAACCACTGGTAAGAGGATGTATCAACTGGAAATCAACTGGAAATCAACTGGAAATCAACTGGAAATCAACTGGAAAACTGGAAAAATAACAGTTTCAAATGGAAAACCACTGGCAAGCCACCGGACCCCCCCCCCCCCCCGGATCCCCCCCCTCGATCCCTGCCTTTGCGCCAGCCTCAGGAGTTGCTGGTTGGCTCAGCTGTGACGGGCGTGGGCTCCATGGTGACTTGCAACCACTGGGGCTTCACCGTCTTTTTGTGTTTTGCTCGTTGTTTTGTTTGGGAAGGTTGGCCTTCAAAACCAACCAACCAACAGAACTTGGGGGCTTCTTGTTTTGTTTCTTTCTGTTTTATTTTTTCCGGCTTCCTTTGGAGTGTTAAGTTTTGTCTTGGGCAAGCTGCCGTTTAAATCAACCAGACAAGTTGTGTGTGCAGCTTTTTGTTGGGCTGAGCATGATGATCGAGCTCTTGTGCTCGGGGCTTCGAGCAACCTTCGTGTTTGACTCTTTTGGGAAGGTGTCCCACACGCACCGAGCCGATGAAAGAACATGGTTGCCCCATGGAAGTTGTTGGGATGGGTCCCAGGAACATCTCGCTTTCTCAGTTCTTGGACTTGAAAGCTTTTTGGGGTTGGACCATTTGGTAAATGACCAGGTGGTACTTTTTCCAACCAACCCACTCCGGAAGTGAGACATGGCTTCACACCCTCGAACATCAACAATTCTACAGGTTGATTCCCCATTCTTTTCAATCTTCGTTCTTTTTAAAAAGCCGGCTGTTTCCCCTGGGTTTTTGATGGTTTCCTGAAAAGAAGGATCCGTGGAAAGAACGGAATCGGAAGGTACCGCTAGAACAATTGGGAACTCCGCACTCAGGTGACCATGGCAGGTGCGGACGGATGCCAGCAGCTCATTGAGTTCGTGAACACTCGCCTAGAGCCAGTGCGGATGCATTCCGCGTCTTGCTATAAGGAGCTGGCAAAGGATGTGTTGCATGGTTACCCGTTTTGTGTGGTTTTTTGATCGGTGTGTGTGTGTGTGTCGTTGGTGTTTGTGTTTGTTGCTTTGGCCTTACAAGTTGTCCTATATGAATGTATATACTTACAACATACGCTACTGTGCTTGTTGATTGTGTTTTGTGCATCGTGTTTGGTTCACCTTCACAAAGCATGGTGTCCGTTGTTCTGTGAAGTTAGTTCATGTTGTATGTTGCCAGAGGAGTTTTCCCGCTGAGGCGGAACAGTTTTTTTTTTATCAACCCAGCCCCGATGGGCCACATTCACATTCTGGGGGAAATCAGGGGAGCCTTGGGACACCAAATCTGACACCTCCAAAACATGGGGCAACCATGGTGGGGGGGGAAATCAGGAGAACATGTCTGGATTTGCCTTGAACTTGTCTGAGGCGGATGTGCAGGCCCTGCGGCAGGAGGTCGAGGACATCGGCAAGGAGTCCCGATGGGTTGAGGTTTCTCCGGCGTGGGGATTGCTGCTTGTTTACTTCCCCAGAATTAGCTCCTGTTTTTTGCTTTTTTTGGGTCCCTTTGTTTTCCACTCACCAGGCAAAAAAGATCATTTGTTGCTGGGGTCCTAATTCCAGCCTAGCTAAAGGGCGGAGCATTTTTTTGTTTCCAAAACGGTTCTGCGTGCAACCATCCAAAAAGGACACCAAGTTGGTAAAGCAAGGGTCTTTCCAGCAACCTGGTTTGACCGGGTCTTGGGACGATTTGGGTTGTTTCTCTTTGTTTTGTGGGTCCCCACAAAAAAATGGAAGGCATTTCTAGAGAGTTCCCCCTGTTTCACTTTTCTGCCAGGGTCGATGGGCAACTGGTGTACACGTAAGGAGCTCACGCCAGCGACGAATCAGTGCGCCAAGGAATCCCTGTCTTCATTAAGGCCTGCGGTTTGAAACCGATCCATGAAGCTTAGGCCTTACTCGGGGGTTGCGTATTTCAGGTATGTCTGAGACAATCGTTCGTGCAGAGTACCAGTCAAAAGGAGCTCAGCTCGAGAAGTAAACCAGATCACAGGGATGGGGGATCATCCTTTTCAGCTGTTCTCTCTTGAGAGCAAACCCCTATGATTATCATTCACTTTTTTCCTTTTTTTCCGATACACATTTTCTTCCTACCCCCCCCCCCAAGCCCGTGCACACCTCGTTTCTCCAAACCGAAGGAGGTGGCACACGTGGAGAAGCAGATGGATCTCCTCTTCGACGCCTGTGAGGAGGACTTGGAGGACGTGCAGCTGCTCTGCGGCAGCTGCGCCCAGCGCCTCGAGGCCCTGAAGTAATCGACGCCGGATCCGCGGCGGCTCCGCGGCGGATCGGCGACGCCGGAAAAATGCACGCGGGCGACGCGAATTGAAGCGGCACGGCAAGGACACGAAATCCACGGAGAGACCGTATACGTCTTGATTGAGTCACTGCGAATCGGTTTTGGGTGTAGGTGTCCGTCCCTCTATAGATGGACTTGCCGAAGCCAGGCCCGAAGAGGCCCGCCCTAAGGCCGCACGGAGGGCGCGCAGCTTTCAACCAGAGGCCGTAGGGTCGGGTTTCGCTTGCTGTGTTGATATGCCTTCAGAGAACTGCTTGGGAACCTGGTTCGGCTCAGGGCTGCATCCTGACTTTTGTGGGGAACGATTGCAATGATTTTTTTGTGTTGGTATGTTGGTGATGCTTGTGTTCCCAAGGCTCTTGGTGCGCATGAATCTGCTTGAGACGAAACAGCACGCGGGGCTGAGGCTGGGGCGTGCGAGCCCAGAGGCCTTTTGGTCAGACGAAAGGGTTTGACCTGCCCGGCAAGTTTCAAGCAGGGTTCCATTTCCATGATCCTCCAAGGCTGAACTTTGCCATGTCACCCCAAGTAGTGCTCTTGGATGCTGGTGGGTCGGTTATTTTTTTGTCAGGTTCCCCCAATTTGTAAATACCCAGTCCCGCGTTAACCTTCTACACCCTTGGCGTAATTTTTGGGTAAATGGACCCCTGGTTTCATGCGGGACACCGCAAATGCCCAGAGCGTGGGAGCGATCCAGTCGGATGCCAATGCGAAAAGTGCTGACCGTGCTGCGGGCAGGCAGGAGTTGGTTTACCCAATTTCTTGGCACCATGTCACAATGGACGGTTTTTAGGGGGAGATGTTCTTTCAATTTTCGACTCAACAGAAAGTAGCTTTTGGGGCTTTCGGCCGGAGGTTTTGTGGGCTTTCGGCTTTGGCCCCTGCCGGCAACATCCCTAGCACCAGCTATACCCTGAGCATCAACAGCAATTGCCTCCAACATTTTGAGTTGGCAGTTGACACCCAAAATGGTATTTTCTGCGGGTGTCCCTATCCTTGGAAGTTGTTCCTTCAATTGTCCCAGTTGAATGTTCCCTTTGGAGTTTCCTCTTTGGATTTTTACTTTCCCTTTGGCTTTGTCCAACTGGAATTGTCTCCTGCGAAGTTTCCCTTTGGCAGTTTTCCTTTTGCAGTTTCCCTTTGGCAGTTTCCCTTAGAAAGCTTCCCTTTGGAAGCTTCCCGTCGGATGTTTCCCTCCAGAAGTTCCTATCAGAAGTTTCCCTTAAGCAAGGTTCCCTTCGGAAGTTGCTCTTCGGAATTCACCCTGCACCACGCGCCTCAAAGATTTTGCTGCAAAAAGTCCTTCGTGCGAGGAGGAGGCCTTCGCCCTGGAGGTCATGAGTTGGATGAGTCGCTTCGCAGACAGCCCGGAGCTGGAGGACAAGCACAGCGCGGCGCAGTGCGTGGAGTGGCTCCTCGCACAACGCGCCTTGAATTTGTCGACGGGTCTTGTCTGGCTGCCGAGACGTGCGGACGGGCGCAGCGAAAAGACGGAGAAAGGAAGGATTGACAGAAGGGGACGATGTTCTTGTATGTCGCCAAGTATGGTTGAAATATCTCTTGAGCCCATAGGTGAGTCTTCTTACCAAGCGGGGTGATGTTTTAGAGAGCAACCCTATGGGCAGAGCATCTAATCATCTCAGAAGTCTGGAATGGATCTTTCAAGCCCCACGCGGCAAACGAGGTGGACAAAAACAATTCCATGTCCCTGTCGGTTTCCTTTAGCTGACAGCGATCAAATCCTGGCCAACTTGTTCTCTCGCTCTCTCTCTCTCTCTCTCTCTATCGCTCGCTTTGCCTTCCCAACCCCCGGGCATATCAGCAAGGCCAACTGACAATAGACACAAAGAACAGTGAACATCACGCTTTCTCACTCTCTCTTTCTCAGACAAGTTCAGGACTCTGTTTTTGGCCATTCCGCTCAGGAAGAGAGATGAAGAAAAATGAGGAAACCCATGACAACCCCCCTTTTTGGGGGTCCAACCTGAAGAAAAAGACGAGCCACCCACATGACCGGCCTTGTTTCCGAGGATCTTTGGATGCCAAGTTCTCGCTGGTTCTCAGCGGCAACCCTCGCGCGCCCAAGAAGGCGGACACTGCGTTTCCAATCGTCCCAGGTGGAGGCATCGTTGCAGGAGAAAACAACGATGGTTCTTTGGTGCATGTTGCTTGGATGTTAGGACTCTAACTCTTTGCCAGCTAATGGGTTTTCCTTAAACCACTAAAAGTTAAACTTTGAGCAGGGGAGCAAAAACAACCAAGTGTTGCCAAGGCCGCTCCCAATCCCATTAGGGGGCCACTAGGGGGTCCTCATAGTCAACAGACACTAGCAGTGGCATTTGGTGGTTCTAAGCCTTCAAGAAAGATGCGGAGATCTCTGCAACTCAGTCGCTGACCATACTGTGGATGGACGAAATCCTGCACCACTTGGAAACCATGGTTGAAACCATTGTGTGTTGGTATTTACAGGGGAATCATCAGAAACCAGGGTTTCGGAACGGTGGTGCAGTAGTGAACACAGATTTCTTTTTGATTCCAGGTGTCTCCGAGTCTGAGGCTCAATCGGTGTCAGACAGATTCCTTCAAGCCTGGATACTATTTTGGTTGGGTATGTCTCTTGTTTTTCAGGGTAATTGTAAACGCTGCGCATTGCCCGCCTCGCCAAGCCGAGCGCGCAGCGTCTGTGGTTCGACTGCAAGCAGCAGAGCTGGTCAAGTGGCTATTCAGACATGGACAGGTTCTGGCGTCGTAGGACCAATTGATGTCATGGGTCCGGAGGAATCCCGAGGCAAGGGCAAGGCGATGCACAGGACAGGCACCAAAAAAGCTGGGCTGGGCCTTGTTTGGTTGGTTAGTGGAAGGCCTGGGCTGGGCGGGCTGGGATGCGCCTTGCTGGGGTCGAGGCAAGTCTCAGACAAATGGCTGGGCCCAAGGCTAGTCTCAGACACGTGAGTGTGCCAGGTTGAGACAAGGCTGGTTTGTCTGACGTGTCCCTTGCTTGGCGTGGGTGGGTTGCTGGTTGGGCAAGGACTGGGCGGGCTGGGCTGTGTGGGCTGCGCATTTGCGACAAAAATGGGCCATGGAGCTGGACGCCAACGAACCCCGAAAATTTCAAGGCCCGCCGGACAGGATCTTAGGGTCAGCAGACATGGGTGAGGGGGGGTGGGGCTGCGAATTTGGCGCCAAGGCGAATTGCTCCTTTGTTGTTGGGTTTCAAGGGAATCAAGCCAAACAGCTCTCCCATGTTTGGTGGGTAACGGTTCAAACGTAAGCCAACACCGAAATCCTTCAGCTTCTCCCCTTTGGTGGAAAGGGGCACCGCCACGTGAATTTCCAAAAAAAGCGACGCGACGCCCGTCCCCCGACATTTCCGCGACGCGTGGAGGTGCTGGCGGCGGCGAAGCGGGACGCGGCCACCCTGGAGCTGCAGCGGCTGCAGAGCAGCGGCCAGCGGTTCCTGCCGAACCCCGCGGGCATCAAGGCGCGGGCCGGCCGGCCACGTCCCGAGCCGCGCGGACCGCCCGTCCGTCCGGCGCGGTGTTTGCCTCATGGGGGAGATGGAAGGTTGACCCGGGATGAGGAAACACACACCCCTTTTACCAAGCTAATAAGTGGGGGTTGGCACGTTGCCTTCCACTACCATGGCACCTGACAGGTGCCCGGTCTCAATCATAGCTGCCATGTCAGTTGGAAAGGTAACTGGGTGTTTCACTTTCATTGCGCGAACGCCAAAATTATTCACGGGACGAAAAGGGCTTGTATAGATATTATGGCTGGGGCTTTAACCTAAGAAGCGGGAGTTGGGCAGATGTTTAAACAACCAGTTGCACCCTGAAAAAGACAAGGGGAGGTTGTATAACCTTTGAAACAATAGCGAGGGCAACAGGGGTTGGTTGCAGACAGAAAGCCAGGGTTACAATCTACTTCCAAGTCTTGGTATCCAAGTTTCCGAGCTCCAAGTCCGTGGCAGCAAACGTTAGGAAGATGCACGCCGGTAACAGTGTGAGTGCTGGATAACCAATCTCCAATTCCCACAGGAAACCAACAGTGGATGCGTATCGTATTTGTTCCACACGATTTTTGTTCAATGAGTGGCCAATGGAGGATTGTCTGAAACCAAGCCTTCGGCGGCCACTTTCTTTACAGCATTGCTTGAGTTCTCCCTGTACTCGTTGGAAGTTTGCCCAGGTGACACCACACAGCTAGGGCGTCCTCTGTCCATGCACCCGGCAAAAAACAGACATGCAGGGGCGATCTGAAATGGAGCAGGCGCTATGTGTTTGGCTTGGCCCTTGTGCATTGACTGGGCCAATTCTTGGGACTCAACAAGGGCGCTTCTTTGTTGATGTAAGTCTGTCATTTACACTGTGAAAGGGGGAAACTAACAGACTTGTGTTCTAGCCTGCTGTTGTGTTAGGGAGTTACATGGGGTTTTCCGACAACAACCGGGGGGATAAACTAAGTTGCCTATGTCCTCTTGAGGAACAGAGTGGAGTGTTTAGGAGACTTTCTAAGAAGCAAGTTCCAGGACATCTCCAGGAAATTAGACAAATTTCCCTGTTGATTGGGCCAACTTGGCAACTGTTTCGTAGAGCTGGAGATATTATACAAAGTCCCTCTTGATACCTTCCAAGGTACAAAGGGACCCCTTTTCACCCACCAAAAGCGGGAAACAGCCAATTCTTGGAACAAAAACCTGGGGATGCCTGGAAAGAATGGGGAAGTTACCGCTAGAGTTTCCGTAGTTTGCGCGAGCCAGGGCTTCGTGAAGAGGGGCGTGTTGGCCGCCTTCGGCTCTCCCTACGAAAGTCCCAGCGGCAGCTGGCTGCCCAAAGGCCTGAAGGCCTTTGTTGGTGAGGCGGGGGACCTGTGGGAAAACCCGAAGAAAGCCGATGCCCCCTGTGAGCCTCAAACGAATTCATTAAAAAAGGGGATGTCACCCCAGAAAGTAGTTTCAACCCAGAAGGTTGGGGCTATGACCTGTTTGTTCATCGGAAATTTGAGGGTTCAGTTAGACCGAAAAGACGTGCTCTAGTTGTTTTTGACATGGCCGGTGCGAATTTATTCCTATGATTTTTGACAATCCCTTGGCTTTGATACACCCCAAAACCCCAGTTCAATCTAATTGTTCAAGGGCCCTTACAGTACCAGGAGAGTTGCAACTCCTTCGGGCGTTGAGGCTTGGGTGTGCCAAGAACATATGCTTGCGGACGGAGCGTGGGGATTTGGAGGCGAAACCCTCCGGCGCATCCCAATTTACCAAGATCCAAGGAATCGAAGCCTCCAGGCTCAAGGATGCCAATTCCAAAACCTGGATCAACCCATAGGAAGCGAATTGCCATCGTATAAAATCTTTGCGTTTTGGTTGTGTCCACCAGCCCGTGTCAACTGTCCTACTTCCTTGTTCCTAGCCCCCTGCCCTTGAATACAGGTGACCTGATTTATCAAAGTTAGCACCACACCCAAACCCCATTTTCAGTATAGCTTGCTGGCGCGAGAAGTAGGGAATGAGGAAATGACCCTTGACCATCCAACTGGTGGTTTCCTTTTTTCGGGGGATGGTTTCCTTTTTTTCGGGGAATAGAGCAGCTGGTTTCATTTCTCATTCTGCACTTATCGCAGCCATAGGTGTCCTTTTCGTTTTTTTTTGCTCGAAACATAGATGGCCCTGGTTTTCCCTGGTGGTGTTAATCATCTAATTACCGGGGGTTCATCTACTTCCCCCTAAAGGGACACCAAGTTCTCGCAGCAAGGTGACCACACCGCCGCCGCGGCACACGCATCGCACGCGCATCGCTTCCAGGGCTCGCTGGTGGAGCCCGTGGCGCCCAACAGTTGGCACGGGGATGACTACGAGCCCTGCAACGCGGAGGCGGGGACTTCGGGGGCTCGCTGGCGGACACTCGGGGCCCGGGGTTTTCGGGGTTCGCCACATCGCCGGGTCAAGCAACCAGACACCTCGAGGGAAAAGAGAAGAAGATTTGGAGATGTGCGGTGGTTGTTGTTTTGCAACCGACGTTCTGGGGGTTGATTCCAATTCCATTATTTTCAACCATAGCTCTTTTTGAAGAACCAGCTATTGTTTTTGGGTTTGCGGAGGTTTTCCAGTAAGAAGGGTCACTGGAAAGAATGGGGAAGGTACCCCTAGAAACATGGGCCAAACAAAAGGAACCACAAGGGAAACCAGAAGAAGATGGATATTTGCAGGTCTTTCCAACCGGGTGCCATATAGGCCATGCTTTCAAAAATCCGAAGGGACACCAATCGAAGCTGGGTATTGTAGTCTTTTCCAAACCTCATTTCGCACCCAGACAAAAGAACTTGTTGGGGCCTGACAGGGGGATGTTTCGTGTGCTGGTTGGGCCTTGGCTGGGCCTCTCAAAAGTGTGGCAGATGGCAGGATTCCTGTCAGATGCCCAACTTGTTCCAGGGGGCAAACATCACGCAGCACTGGGGGTTCTGTGGGTCCAGTCCAGTCCCCCCTCCCCCCCCGCAGTCCCCCCCACCTGTGCCCCGCGAGGCGCGTTTCCTGAAAGACCCGCAGAGGCTCCGCAAGGCCACGGTGCGCAGCTTGACATCCTGGACGGCAGACCATGGGAGGGGCAGTCAACGCCAAAAGATTGCCGCAGGTCGCTCTGTGAATATAAGGTGTGCTATATTCTGATATATGGGATAGGCGAAATGAAGCCATGTGGACAACATCCGCTTGTGGAAATGGGGGTTTGGTTTTAGGATAGAGTACACTTGAATCTAAATCTGGACATGCTTGGTGTACCCCAGAGTTGGGCCAAGATCACTTCGACTGAAAGAAAACACAGGTAGAAGGGAAGTTTTAGGGTTGTTTTTAGGATGGTTGAAAGATGGTTGAAAATACATTGAAGGATGGTTGGTTGGAAAGTTGTCATGAACCATGATTTAGCCTGATGCGGCTACCCAGTGTTTTTTTGCTCTTACACAGTTTGTTAGATGGTTTCGCGAAGTAGTGATTGATCAAAAACCCAAGTCTCGCAAGCAGATTGCGCGTTTCGGGAATACTTAGCCGTAATCCCCGGGTTTTTGCTCGTTGCATGGGTTGTTTTCTCAGGTATTGATGAGATCATGAGCTTCGAGTACATGCAGCACGTGGGCCAGGTCATGGCAAACTGCCTCCGTGTCGAGAGGCCGCGGTTTCCTGAAATTTGATTGTCTCACCTCAAAACAGGATCGGGCTAAAGGGCTGGGTTAAGACGTTTGCTCGCAGGTGAGCATTCTTCATGCGCGTAAGGATGCAATTACCGTTGCTCACCTTCACCTTTGGAGACTGTCGCTTATGTGGTGTTCCTTGATTTCCGTGTGGCCCAGACAGCTGGACTGTGTTGTGTATGTTTGCTCAGACCACGCGTGGTGTCCTGCTGTTTTGTTGTTCAGTGTTGGCGTGTTTTAAGTAACCCATGAAGTGAATTCAATTAAACGTTATATCAGTTATATCGTGTAAATTGACAATTGTTAATGCTATTAAATTTACTTTAATACCCTAGCGGAATGTAGCGGAATTACTTCTTAATACACAAATACGGACACTTGCGTGGATGGCACTCGCCTCAAAATGCATTCAATTCGACGAATCTGCACACACACACACACCCAAGGGGACTCCATGAGTCCATGTGCTTATCCCCGCTCGCGAACACGGGTCCGCGCGAAAGAGACACGAGAATCGGATGCGTTCCGCAGGCGGGGGGGCATGAGCCTGGTGAAGTACCTGAGCCGTGCCAAGAGCCGGGACAGTAGCCGCTTGGATCGATGAAACCTCACGGGATTGGATTGGACCTCCCTTTGGGGATGTTCGATGATGTTCACCCCCTCTCCCAGCGTAGAATTTACGAGACACGTCCCTTTGAGACATGTTAGTGGAAGGAATGGGATGCTTGTTCCCCCTTGCAAGCACGAAAAAGTGCATGTATGTTTGCAGAACGGTTGAACACCCAGATAGGGAACTTCTTGGGGTTAACAGAAAGCAACGCTTGCAAACAGTTGAAACCCTTGGGGTTTCCCTCCCAGCTTGGGCCAACTAGGCTTTTGGGTGATGACCATCACAGCGGAGCCGGAGGAGGATGAGGTGGGCGAAGTTTGCAGCACCATGAATCAAGCCATATCTTATCCTCGTTGTTTGTGTTAAAAAGGAAGAATAGCAATATATGTCCATTTCAGATAGTAATGTGAAAACAGACAAAGCCCTAGAAATGTCAGTTCGTCCTAAAGGAAGCAGCAAGGGGACGGATAATCGTATTTTTGCGAGCTTTAGTTGGAGATCCCGTAATTCAGCTTTTGGAATTATAGTAAAAAACATGCAGATAATATGTTCCCTTTTTGGCACTTTGTCAGGTGGTTTGCCGTCGTGTTGGCCTAGCTCTGGACCGTGACACAAACTACATGGTCTGAACAGGCATGGGAACATGCTGTAATTGGTCACTGTTGAACTGCACCTAACCCAATTTATCTACCCAGCATCAGATGTGGGCAAAGCAACCTCACTTGGGGGGGGGGGGTTGCGAACCTCACCCGTGGTGAAGGTTCCTTGCTTGTGCATTGCTTGGTTCACTTGTGAACTGGTGAACGGTAGAATTCGCCCAGAATACTCCCAGAGGAGATTTCTTCGCTGATGGTTGGACCCGAGCAAACTGTTTGGCTCAAGAGAAAGTAGAAGCAATCATTAATTTTAGTCCCGGTGGTGCTACTGGTAGTAACATGATCTGACCACGAGAGCTGCTGCAAATAGCCAGCAGCACGCTGGAAATCATTGGGAGCAATTTGCAGTTCAAGACCTTAGTCATGTCTGGAAAGCAAGATGGGTCTCCACTCTGCGGTCAACTGTAAACGCGTTGCAGCCGAGATTGGGCGCCGTCGATTTGTAAACACTTGCTACTATTGTATTGTCTGACTGCGGTGTGTTGTTCGATCAAACCACATTTTCAGCTCTCGCCTCTCGTTTTTAAACGCGCTCAAATATTCCGGACATTTTGGTAAACAGAACTCGCGAGAATTCAAGAGATATTAGTTGCACCAATTGAGTCTTGACACGGTGCCAAGAGGGCTAGGTGCATCGACACCGCATCGCAGGAGGAAGCACCTGTGCAGCACCTTCTTCTCATGGAGGCCTGATTGTAGTTTTTGGAAAAGCCAAGGTAGATCACCCCTGCAAATGGTGGTTGCCCTTTGCTTTTGCCAGACTTGGCACACCCTTCTGCCCTTCTGGGTCTCCTTCATTATCACTTTGACCAAAATCTGTATTTTTCGCAGGGGGGTTCTTAGCCTGGCCATGTTTTGATTGCCCTGAAAATAAGTCGCAAACAGCAACCAGATGCGCCTGCAACTGCAGGGATGGAAGCCAAGGCTAGGGTGATTGTTCTTGTTTGAGGGTACTACTCATAGAAATGCTGATTTTGTTGGGTTCATGCGAATCTTCAGGAGAGTAGTTTCTGTTTTTGCTTCAGGAAGATTATGGAAGCCTGGCATCCCATGCAGAACAATCAACATGTTGTATACATAGCCAATGGTCCGACCAAAAAGGAACAGGGTCAAGCAGATCATATCAGCTGCCACTAGTTTCCCACCTGCTGAATCGGTCACCTTACCTGGTGGGACCAGTCTTTTGATGTGAGCGGCCATCCCACCCCCCCCCCGTTGGTCGTAGTAACTTTGGCACCTTTCGGATCGATCCGAGCTTGAACCTGAGTTGGCAATGTCCAAAGCCCTGGCATGTTGGCATTGGAAGCATGTCGAGTCGACGCCAGTGGAGTTTTGGTGTTACCTTGCGCATTTCAGGGCAACTGGCATGGTGAATGCCATGTTCCATATCACAACCCATGGGGATGAACCAAGCAACGGGGGAACTGCATGCAACATGGACTGGTGTTTTTGTTTGACAAGCTCAATATGCTTCTTATTGTGTTTAAATTTAGTACCAGGGTACTGTACATCCGACTAATGAGTTTTAACGCTTCAGCACGTGTTTGACTTGGTAACGTTTCCCTTACTGCGAACACTTTGGAGCTTGACACATTAATGCTATCTGCTCAGCTTGGGAGCTTGTTCACTTTGTGCCATGTCTTTGTGAAAACACATGATGTATAGGTCACTCTCGTTTCACCCATGAAATGCGAACCATGCAAAGTTCTGATTGATATATCGGTACATGTGAACTAACAAGGGACCAATGATCTAGGCCCTCCCGATGCTAGGCAGCTTCCCCAGAGGTTCTAGTGTAAGTCGAACTACGCTACAGGTAAACTATAAGCCCTCTTTCCAAGAATCATGGAAGACAAGGGGCGTTCCCTGTCAGCTTGCTGGCCTCATTATTTTCCCACGATCAAAGACGCCCAAGTGGTGGGTTGCAGGAAAACAATCCCATTTCTGACTTTATCCTCCACATCAAGCTCCAAAACATCAGCTTTCTGACGTCGACCCCCCACAAACAGCTCCGTTTTTTTTGTTCTGCCCCGCGTCAAAATGTCGCCAAGTAGTGGGTTGCAGGGAAACACGCCCATTTTCCGACTTGAAGCCCCAAAAAGCCGTCGTGGCGCCGGGTTTGTCTGAGGTCTACAATGGTCTCCGCGTCATCCACCAGGCGGAGGGGCCCCACCCGCGGCGCTGGCCGCGCCTGGACGCCTGGCGCTGGCTGGAGGAGTGGGCGGACCAGGAGAAGCTCCGGCCCGACGGGCCTGAGGGCGCCCGGGGGCCCGAAGGGGCTCCACGGGGAAAAGGGGAAAGGGGGGGTGGCAGAATGTGACATTGGTCACACAGCCAGCGGGTACATATAGTGCATGGTGTGAATATACATAATATATATATATATATGTACGTGCATATATAGTTTTTTGTCGGGGCATGGATTCATGCGATCGTGCATTGTGCCTGTGTGTGCGTGTGCTTGTTTGTTTTGCCCGGGTTGGTCGGATTTTGTTCTTGATTTGTTTCATTGCTTTCCCAGCTTGGCCCGATCTTGAATGGCTTGGCCTCGAGGTTGGGTGAGATTGGGTGAGCATTCATGTTAATGCGTTAGCAAACAAGCAAAACAAGGATTTCACATGAGAGCGGGCTCCTTGTAAGCGCAACATGGTTTTCCGGAGGTGTTCTTTCAGGTTCCATGTCAAGTCACAATTCAAAGCCTAGCGTTGCAATAGTCTACCAAACACCATGTAAATCATGAAGAAGGCGGATATGCGCACCAATTGATGGCTTGAACTTTCCCTTACCGTTTGTCACACCTTGACTTACCCGGGTTTGGATTCTGACTCATCACAATATGTGAGGTTTTGGGATGTGGTTTCTGGAAAGCTACCCATTTTGGGTTGGGTTTTAAGGGAGGCCAAACCGCCAGGTCCTCAGGTTGACCCAAAGAGTCGTTTTCCCGAAGAGGGGATGGGTGTCCAGACCTGTATGTCTTGTTTTAGGGGGCCAAAACGGGTGATTTTCATATTGGTTGTCCTTTAAAACCATCAAAACAGGGGTACCCTCAAAAAGACTCTCCCACATGGCTGTCAGGAATGGTCAAAGCCAAGAGATGCTTCTCCCGTGTTAGTTGCAAGTTGCTGTCACAAAGCTGACTTCCTGAGCAAGTGCGCAGTCGTTAGCACTGCAAACCTTAATTCCCCAGCCGGTCGCTTAGTTTTTTTGTTTTTCTTCCGGCGAGAACGATCCCGAGACAGTGGTTTGTGTTGCAGTCCGGAAAGAAGGAATTGTGGATTCAGAATGGGGCTAGCCCTGCTGAGCTGCTTGGTCTGAATGTGTTCATTCAGCCCCAAGAGATCCGCAGCAGGTTCTGGCACCTTAGAGTCGCTTTAGCAGGTTCTGGCGCCTCGCGGTCGCTTTCCTTTCAGCTAGCTGACAACCCATACGCTCAGGTCACTGTTGGCCCCTATGAAGCCTACGATGCCGACATGGACCGATGGGACATTCGCCGGTGCTTCCTTTGGTGAGAAGCAGTTGCAAACCTTGTATATAGTTCGGGTCGTCCCCCCGAACCGCTTGCAGTCACCTCACTCTGAGTTCTTTTGGTTATAGTGGTAGTGGTCCTGGGAACGGCTAATTCATAGGGCCAAGATTTGGCGATTGAGAATTTGGCCATGCCAAGTCTGCATTCGCTTCGAATGCTTTTCGGAAGGGCTTCGCAAAGAACCATTGTCGAGTGCGAGAGATTGCCAGGCCGGCTCAAAGAGAGCTGGCGGAATTGTTTGGTGGCCTTCTCTCTGAAGATCGAAGCTTCAATCCCAAGGTGAGCTTGCTGGTTTCGGATTTCCCGGAACCCGTGTCTTCCCCAACTCACCCAAACCCACTTTTCCACGGGGCAAGTGACGTGGCTCGCAAGAAAGGTGGCGGCGGCTTCTCGGGACATGGCGGCACATGCGCACACGCGAGAGCCCCAAATCAAACTCCATGGCACTGGCGCAGATAGCTGCAGGCTGTAACCACCTTACGAGCCGTTGGCTTCAGAACGGCATGTTTGGATCCTGGAATGTTCTGAGAGCAGTCCGGCAATTGGCAACAGCTTGGCACCACAGTCCAAAAAGGTTCTTGACTTTCTGAGGAACGATCGCACTTCTTTGAAGGGCATTGCCATTCGGGAGCTTGCGACGCGGTTTCAGTTACTTCACATCCGTTTCCGTTTCAGCGACAAGCCTTTAGTTTGTGACCAATCGCCTTCCACTTTGGAGCTTCCGGACAAATCCCATTTGTGTGTGTGTGTCTTTCTTCAGGGGACCCCTTCAAAATGATGGTTTCCTTTGGTTTTCCCTTGAGCAAGCCCCAGCCCAAGAACAGTACCCTCAAAAAAAACCTCCAAGCCTTGTTTGTTTGTTTTTCCGTCACCCCAAAGGGTGATCACCTTGTGATTCTTTCTGGCAGAGAGGCAGATCCAGTTCTTAGAGCCGCACTAGCAACTTTGTTCAACAGTCCTAAACGTTTTTGGCCAATCCGCTCGAGAGGCGAGCCTTGCCAATCCACGAGACTTTGGAGGCCAATCTCTGCCAAAACCGGAGCCATGGCCTCCAGCTTGTGGATCGGCCTCGGCGTGCTGGCTTCGCCACTCGGCGAAAGCCACTGGCATTGGTCGAGCCTTGGAATCTCCTGCATCGGTCTTACGAGGGGGGAATTCCATGACTCGTAGGTCAGGGGACCCTTACGATATGGGTTCTAATAAGCGGGTTCCAGCTTGCACCAAGAGACAATGATACGAAATAGCACCCTAGCACCCTTGTGTTGGAACCCATTTCACATTTGGGGGCACCCAACGAAATTTGGGGACCGCCAACCAACTAGAAATGTAAGAAAACAGCTGAGCAGAGTCCCTTGGACAAACAGCCGAGCCACCATAGCATACCAAGCAGCCCCTTGCCTCGCTTTGAACGCGGAGGTTGTCGAACAAACGGTGGTTTCAGCATCTTTCACTGGTGGTCCAACTCTGCTGGTGAGTTGCATGGTTTGGATTTTGGTTTGTGGCATTGTGGAAAGTTGGGTTTCATGGGCTGTTCTCTGCGATAAGAAAATCCCCTTTGAAGAGAACTGGCCCACTTGGGTGTCATGGGTTGTTTTCCACAACCAACGGCACCAGGGAAAGTCCACAGAGATTCGATGCACGTTCATGGATAGACTTGGCCGACACCACTATGTAGGCTCCACTATTTAGGCTGCCCACAGAGCCGTTAGGGAAAAACTCCAGCAGCCTTGGAAAAAGGGGTTTGGCGGCCTGACAAAAAGAAGGTTCCTTGCATAGTGATCCGGCGATCCCTTGTGTTCGAGTGTTTGCGATGTATCCTTGAAAGGATGTGCGATTTGTTGGGCGAAAGAGAGTGTCCATCATGCTGAGCCTACCGAAAGAGCATCATTGCAGCCCGAACCGTGGAAGTGCGTGGAATAGTCGCGCAAGAGCATGTCAAAGTCCCGGTTGCGTTGGATAAATATCCCCTACTAGCTGTAGACCTACCCCCAGTCGTTGATCCCTCCTAAAGGGATCAACATGTGGAACGATGGGTCAGAAAATAGAACCCTGGCAGGCACAGGGAGAGCAACCTGAGAAGCTAGTTGGTTTCCCGGTCTCCTTTTGGCTTCCCCTTCAACCAAGCCCAAAAGGAGTACCCTGAAAACAAGCCACCCACCCCTGTTCTGGTGGTAAAACCTGAAATTACAGGCAACACCAACATAATCTTCCAAGCTCAACAGCTCCAGTGTCGGACCGAGCGTTCAGAGCTGGGTGCCTCGTAAGGGAAGCACGACAGCGATGATCTGTTCTGAGAAGTGGGACAGATGCTCAAAGTAAAAATATTTCTGATGGCAACGGCCTGGCAACGCCGACGGCAAGTCTTCCAAGCTGAACAGCTTTTACTCGGAATAAGAATGATCCTGATAGTTCTCAAAGGAGGTTTAGATGAGAAACTTCAAAGCTACGTACGACTTAAACCAGTCAATAATAATGATAGTGATAGCAACTTGCAATGACGATAGTCATGATGATAATGTTAAGCTTTTGCCCTCAGGTCGATTTCGTCTTGAAGGCGCTTAGCTTCGCTCTTTGCTTTACCAGCCACATCTTTTCTATTCCGAGCCACCTTTTCGAAAACAAATGGGGGACTGGGTTGAAACCTGACCCTTCTAATTGAGTTTTCATGAGGGGAAAAGGGTTGAAACCTGACCCTTCAAGCGGTTTACAAAAAACATTAAGAACCTTTACCAGGGATTTCCCCTTGGCTCCCGAGGTACCTTGCGGCCTTCGCCTTCGTGCGGCTCCGGCCATGGTTGCTTCGGCAGCTGGCTCGGCCCTTGCATCTGGACAAAGGATAAAGGTTTTGGGGTGCCTTTGAGGCAAGGGAAGAAACGAGAGACGAGTAGATGCTCCCATTTTTTCTAACATATATATATATATATATACGGGTCAAAATGAAACCACCAGGATATGGGCTGCAGACTTTAGTCCTTTCCATTTGCCAGGGCAACCCATTTTGAGGTTACCCCATTTCTGACCCACAGCCAAATGGTCGCAGAAACACGGGGACACGGGAATCGGAACGACGGAGAACTCGCGATGCCTCACTTCTTCTGTGCCAAGGAACTCACCTGATCAATTTCTCGTTGAGAAGGCGGCGTTTAGCAGGTGATTGCCACCCTGATTCATGGCGTGCTTCTGAAATCCGCCAAAAAGCAGAGCGACTTCGGAATGACAATATTGCTTCAAGATTAGTCGTGTTCTTGTTTTTGGTGTGTTCCCACAAATGACCCCAAAAAGAACCGGTCCCCCAGCCCTTGGCGCAGGTGCGATTCGCCCACTCTCAATCCGACTCGGACCAAAGTAGACCTTGGGGCCGCCGACGGGGCGGGCGCTGGCAAACTTGAGACCAGTGGGTGGATGCGTAGGAGGGACAGTTTAAGCAGAATTTTTCAGACCCAGGAGAGTCTCTGCTTAGGTCGGAGGTGCTGCGCGACATGGTGCAAGTGCTGAAGCAGCGGGTCCTCGCTTTGCTGCGTGTTGGCATGTTGCTCTTCCTTGACTTGGAGGCAGGGACAATGGTGGGAGCAACTGGTGTTTGAGGCTCGGGGCCGGGGGTTTGGGGGGGAGGGAGGGGGGGGAAGAGGCCCAGATATGCCCTTCAAGGGGCCCAGACCTCCAGTGGTCTCCAACACCATTGCGACTACAGCATGGCCAGCTTGTTTGTCGTTTTGAGGGGCATGAAAGGGCAACAAAAGACTGACTGTGGCTGTGAACTGACAAAACCACCGCTTTCAGGAAGACGGTGAACAAGGGCCAACCAGTGTTCCCATGTCCTTTCCGGGAACAAAGAACTTCTCTGCGGCTGTGGGGAGCCGGGGCCCCTGAATGCGACAGATGGCCCAGGAGTACTGCATGATTGGAGGATTCTTGGGTCATCGGGATCAAAAAGGAAGGCTCGTACGCATCTGTTGCCAAAAAATAAGCTACCAGTAGCATCTCTTGCTCCTTTTCAGAGGCCTGGCTAGTGTTGGGCGGAGATCCAGCGGTTCGCAGGGACGGCCCATGGAAGCAACAATTGAGATCCAAGTAGTAATTTGCTGGTGGTTCCTTTAAAAGGGACGCTGTTGAGCAGAGATTCAGTTCCATCTATGGCGACTCTGAGTTTGCCCCTCTGGAGTCACTGCTGGTTGACTGGGTTGTGCTATTCCTGAGGCGGGTGCTCAGAGAGGATAAGTACCTTGGCTTGCGCATGATGGGTGCCGCAAGCTGTTGATCACATTTGCGAGCTGTTGCATAAGGAGTGTTGACTTCTTGCCTGCTTCTTCGCAAAGGACGGCACATTTCCTGGGTCAAAGACCAACCGACCAACCCAGTTTCGAGAATCGAGTTGTAAGACAGTCTTTTTAAGTTGGATTCAGAATTCAGGCCATCACCGATAACAATGCAGGAATCCTTGCTGCGCAGCGGTTCCCGTTTCCCGTTGTTCGCGTCACTTGTTGCGCTTCTAATTTCCCCCACGGCATGGGCAGCGTTGCCAAGCAGATAAGTTGGGGTGACGTGTGCGGATTCGTTGTAGACTTTCGTCACATTTCCACGGGGTTGATCAAAAAGGTCCGTGATACATGGGATGACCATCAGGGAAACCACCCAGAAACATGAGTTTTACCGCATGGGAAGAGTTCCCCACGGTCAAGTATTGACCAACCCCCGTGTCAAAATACCAAAAGGGCGTAGGATTTGAAGGGGAAGCCAAAAGGAAATCAACCTTTTTAGACACGTTCACTGTAGGGGCCATTTCCCACCCGGTGACTTCCCCAGGAGGAGGAGCAACAACAACTGCGGCACCAGCTGAACCCTGCTCTAGAGGAGCGACTTTTTTGTGGCTCGGCAAGAACGGCCTTCACTCTCAAGAGTTGCGGACATGTTGTTGGCTGCCGAGGTGTTGCACATTTCTAGGGCGTTTGTCGTGTTGCTTAACAATTCCAATAGGCAATTCATGTTGTAGTTGTTTCCGAACAGCAAACGGTTCCGTTTGTCTTAAGTCGTGGAAGGAGGAGCTTCTTCGCGGCAGGATCGCTGGAATAAGAGAAAGGGCAGCAGTGCCACAAGGGCACTGTGACCGAATTCGCTGACAGTGTTATCTCGAGGCATTCATATTCATAGCCTTTGAATCGGCGGTGTACATGATTCGGCCTCCGAACCATTCCTCCTGTGTGGGATTCCTGGTCTCAAACAACCAATTGATCGGCCCAAGCGAAGGGCTTTCATCAAAGTATTTGTTTCGCTGCAAAGGGAGCGATTCCATGTGTCGATTCGAATTGCCGATTTCCAGTTTCTTTCAGCAGTGCACTTTGGAGGCATTCACGACTTGGGCCCGAAGCATGGCCACACCCTAGGGTTCCTCGCCCCCATTAAAAGAAAGGTTGACCCAATTTGGATGATGACAGTCCTTAGGTAAACAATGGTGATTATATGAGCCCGCATTGTTGTAATGATAGTTACCTCAGTTTGAATCCCAGGGCACAGACACATCAGGCCGGCCAATGGTGGAATTGCTTCCGCGCTGGCTGCAATCCTTGCTGGGTGCTTGGCTCAGACTCGGGAGTTTTTGGGCACGTTGGCTTGCTTTTCCAGTTGCAACCAGTTTGGCTTCGACAAGCTGCCGAAAAGCGCCGGACATCTCGGCTGACTGGGTTGCAGCGTCCACTTGCAAGGCTGCCTGCTTCTGTAGGCTTCAGTTCTCAGGTATCCGGCCAGTATTCTTGCCCAGAATTAGCTCCCTTTGTTTTTTGCATTTTTGGGGTCCCCGTTGTTTTCCACGAACCAGGCAAAACCTTTTTTTCAGGGGATAATTGCTAGTTCCAGCCAAGCATTATCGCTGGAATGGTTGATTCCAGCTGCCTCCCCCCCTGTTTGTTGGTCATGTTGTTTCCCGTCCGGGCAACTTTGAGCGGTGAAGGCCAAGATATGATTTCGGGCTGAGGTCACCAGATGGCGCCAGTGACCAGCCGGTCCGGAGTTGCTAGGCTGGCCAATGGCTGGGTGCTTGAAGGTTCGTTGTGATGCTTACAGGATCACAGGGAACCGCCCAGCCGAAAATCAGTGCACAAAGGAAGCCCTGTTGAAAATGTTGATTGCTGTTGGTAGACTTGTGGCCGCTTCATCCCAGAGCAATTTGTTTGATCCGAAGAAGAGGGACTGGCATCGATTTTGCTGCGTTAGATTATCACAGTTTGCGGCAATTGCAGCTGCGAAGTCCTCCAATGGTGATTCTCAGTTTTGGGCCCAAGCCGTGACCAGTATTTTTGTTGACACTGCAGGAGGGGCATTTGAACCCCTGCCGGAAGGGCTCTCAAAATTCTGCTGGGAACCCCTCTTACTCCTAAGAAATCCAAGAAAAGAAGGCAATTAATTGCCTTCCGTTTCTGGGCTGCCCAGTTTTTCCTGACCCCGTCTTTTATTGCTCGAGAACCCCGGAACTTTCCCATTGTTTGGCTTTAGTCCTTTCCCATGTTTTTTTTCCCCATCTTTACCAGGGTTGCTCGAAAGTTCTTTCCCATTGTTTGATCAGATTCCCAAAAAACTGACGCTTGGAAACTTCAGGAGCCCCAACTGGAGCCCTGCCGCAAGGAGCTCATGCTAAAAAGTCGCGGTGTTGACAACGCGCTTCCCTCCACCCAAATGATTTTGGAGCATGCGCCATCAAAGCCGCAGGCGTTTGGACCCGGCTGAGAAGCAGACGTTTGCCCCGGAGCAGTCAGGCGAGCAAGCCCATCTTCAAGTGACTTGGCGTGCGAGTGAGGGAGAAGTCTCTTACTCAGAGAGACACGGTCCAAGGACAAGTCTAAGAAGGTTCCTTCCAATCTTTTCTGCTGGCTGGGGCGGGATTGGTTTTACTTAATTGCAGCAAGCTTGCCAGGTGTCGTTTAAAAGACCTCCAGTAAGGGGTTCGCCGAAGAATTTGCTTCCCCCAGTGATGCCATTGATACGGTGCCGCAGTCGGGGCCCAATGCTCTAACAGATGTGGACATAGGAGCCACCCACCTCACAAAGCAGGCGGAAACAAGTTGACCGGGCGGGTCTTTTTCGGAGTACCTCGTTTGTTTGCTTGTTTGTTTGCTTCCTTGCTTCTTGCTTGCCTGCTGGCTTGCTTGCTTGCTTGCTTGCTTGCTTGCTTGCTTGCTTGCTTGCTTGCTTGCTTGCTTGCTTGCTTGCTTGCCCGTTTGCTTCGATTGCTTGTTTGTTTGGTTCTTTGTTTGTTTGTTTGTTTGTTTGTTTGTCAGACCCAGCGCTTTCTGACTGAATGTTCTGACCCTCCTTAGCTATATGTCCATTGGGCTGCGTCCAATTTCTTGGATGTGGACATGGTATCCCTCATATGCTTCATTTGTCTTTGCGAATCTGGGCGTGTCTTTTTTTTGGGGGAGCCGCCCTAAATTGCGGGTGAGCTTTTGGTTTTCCTCAGCAAGGCAAAAGGGCTAGGTCCCCTTTTGATCGTTTTGCTTTTTTGGGGTTCCCTTTGAAACTTTGTTTTCCACTCACCAGGCAAAAAAAAAACAGTATAAAACCAAATGCCGGGGTCAGCTAATTCCAGCCATGTTAGTTGGCGTCTCAGTCCGATGTCCAGCGTTTGAGGCGCCGGGTCGGGGAGAGGAGGAACTGGAGCTCCTGCTGGCGGGCTGGACGCTTGGGGCCTACGCGACTCGGATCAAATCTGACCCAAAACCCAACTCTCAACTCCCATGTCCATTTGTTTAAGAGTATGTTTGTTGTTATTTTCCCCTGTTGGGTTTCAAAGGAATCGATCACTACTGTTTTTTTGTTTTTTTTTTCCAGGGGGCTTAAGTGAATGGAAGTTCAAGAGCGTGGTGCTTGGCGTCCTTGGCTGTTTATTTTCTTCAGATGCGGTGTAGCCAGAACAGATGCACAGATGTGTTGTTTTTCACGTCTTGAGACTCCTGATGGTTTTGCGACGCGTGAAGAGTCTTTGCCAGTGTGCCATTGCCTTGGGGACCCCCGTCTTTCCACCTGAGCCTGTATTTTAACCTCCATTTTTGCCTTCTGGGCCCAGAAGGTTGGGTCAAAAGGATAGAGACCCACTTTCTCTGCGGTTTCCACCTGAGTTTTGGCGTTTATGGTTCTCCTTGTATACCCAGTTAGGCACATGTTTCTTATAGGGAACCTGCAATTCCCCACAAAAGGTGCTCTTGAATGTCTGGGCATCAGTTTAAATGCACGCATTCACACATGCAATCAAACACGCAAGTACAACGACACACGCAGCCACACGCAACCACACACGCGACCACACGCGCGACCACACACGCAACCACACAAGCAACCACCCACGCGACCACACACGCGACCACACACGCCACCACACACGCCACCACACACGCGACCACACACGCGACCACATCCGCTGCTCACCGGTGAGGTGAAGATCTTAGGGGTGGCGGTCAGGGGCGCGCATTACAATGCAAGACGCTGGGCTTCCCGGCTGCATAAAGGACAGCTCTTTTTTTGGAGTTGGTAGCTTTCGGATTGCACCCCCTTGGAGGCTTTGTAGAGTTCAGGTAGACATGGTAGACTTTCAACCTTGTTTGGGGGTTGGACCATTTTAGAGGACAATAGAAAGTTTGGACTTGTTTTGGCCACTCAGGAAGTGACTACCCCCTTCTGGTTTCCAAACCATGTCCCTTTTTTGGGATCCTCCAAAAGGGGCGATCGTTTCAAGGGAAACAACCAGTAAGATGCAACTTTTGAAGGGGACATCCAGTGAACCCTGTTTTGTCGTCGGTTTTAACGAACAAAATCAAGGACACCCACCATTTTGGAGAAGGGGGTACCCTCACTTCCTGAGTTCCTAGACTTTCAACTTTTTGGGGTTGGACCCTTTTAGTGGTAAATAGAAAGTTGGGCTTGTTTTTGGCCATCCAGTCAGGGAGGGAGTACCTTTTTGGTTGATTTTCAAGGGCGGCTAAGAGGACGCTTTTCCCACGGGTACAGGGCAAACATGTGGTTGTATCCATTCAGTGAGTTTGTTTGTGTTGCTTGTTCAGCTTTTTGTGTTAAGAGGCTCAATTGCTAGTTTTGCCACTGTAATCATGACTATGTGTTTTGTGTTAGTACTCTTTCTAGCAAATAAGCACACATGTGGGACACCTATTGTTGTTGGAAAGTGTTTAGGACCTTAAGTGGTATATACGCTTGTTGAACAAAGCATGGAAGTGTGCAAGGAGCCTTAAACAAAGTTTCCTCCAACGTAGAACCATGAGTTGCAGACTTGGAACCCGCTTAAGCTACAGGGGCAAGCTGTGTTTTTTGCTCCTGGCATGACACTCTCTGATTTTGTTCCAGAATGAAACTGAATCGCGGGCCTAACCCCATCAAGTCAGGTAGTTGAACCTAGTTGCTAAGATGGCCAATAGGGCATTTCGGCGCTCAAGCGGGCTGCGGGCTCACGGAGTCGCCCTTGTCTCCTTTCGTTTTGCCTTTATTGGCAATCAGATCCTGGTGGTTCAAACAAACCCAATCTTGTAGTTCTGAGGTCCGGAGGAAGACCCCGAAGCTCCGCAGCTTGCTCCACGCGCCGTCGCTGCTGGGCGCCGCGGCGCACCTCGGAGTCCGCAAAAGTCCGGCGGCGATTCCGGCGTAAACGCGCTGTGCAGTGGCCAGGGGTGAGTCATGGTGAGTCATAAATATGTATATGAAGTATACTGTAAACTGTATGTATATCACATTAATGTCTGTGTATTCTGGAGTTTGGGTTGTGCAAGATCAATCCTGAGTCCTTGTGACATTGTGCCACTTGGTAGTGGTGTCCCTGGTCATAGCGGTGCCACTTCACACTTCGGATGGCCCATGGCGGATTAGGGATCCTCCCCCCATTTTGAACAACTCAGGGGAAGCTCGGAACCTCCTTTTGGTTGGTTGACCATGGGGAACCAAAAGGACACTAACCGTTTCAGAAGTCCCCTGCCGGGACACTATTTGCATATTGTCCAGTGATGACCTTGCTTTTGCAGCTTGTGTTTAAAATAACATCGACTGTCAAACATGACGCCCTTATTTCCAATGGCCTCTGGAGGTGGTGTGAAAGTTGCCCTCCTTGGGGTGGTTTGGAGGGTAGAATTTCGTTGGGACGCAAAAACAAAGCTGTTCAACTTGTTCATTAGCTTTTTGGTTTTTAGGGTTTAGAGGTAGTTTCCAATTGACCTACAAGTTATATTTTTAGAAGAGGATCTTAACACGGACAGCCCAGTTAAAAGGACGTGGGATGGCAAGTTGGACCCAGAACTGGTGGAGCTTTCTGGCCCGGAACTGGTGAGGCGCTTGGCGCCAGTTGATGGAGTGTTTGCTATGTGTGCTCCTCTGGGAACAGGAAGTAAATCGGGTGAGCGTCTTGATGTTTTGTGCATGAATTGCCTGTTTGTTTTTTTGGCGCGAGGATGCATTGGTTGGCGTGCGCATGTTTTGGGCAGAGGTTGAAGGGGCCCGGCTTCGCTCCTGCGCAGTGGTCGGGAAATTGGCGGCGATTGCCGACTTGGGACTCAATTTCTTGCTCCAGGGATCCTGCTGGTTCCATGTGAGCGCTCGATTTTTCCCCTTGTACCTAATGCCGAGTGGATTTGGTATACTCATCAAATTGGCAACACAAACAGGAGGATTGGTCACAAAGCTCCAATTCCATTAGGGGGGAGCACAATGAATATTGACCGCGGCTCGTGTGTGTCAAAACCAGACCCACCAACTCTGGGTTTCCTTTTTGTTCTGACAACCCACCTGAAAAGGGCCGCAAACAAACACACATTCACCTAGGGGAAGGGGGCTGGCCTAGGATAAGCGTTTGCTGCGGCGCCCTCGGCATCATCGCTGGAGGCCGGAAGTGGATGTTGCGGTTTGGGGTGTGGCCGTTTTCGGTGGGCTTTTTGTTTTGTCTGTGGGCTTTGTGTTGGAATCACCTTGGGGTTTTGTTTGCTATCCACCCTTCGAGTGAGAGGATCAAGCATAGACTTCCATTTGGTTCAGAATATGTTTTATTTCCCCTGTTGGTTTAAAAGGGAATCTATCACTACTGGAAATATTTTTCCAGGGGACTCGAGCAAATAGAGGTAGACATAGAGGTTCAGGTTGGAACTCAAGCGTTGCCTTACTGCCAGCCTTAAAAAGGCGAGTTGAGGTCCATGACTGGAGCCCGAAGTTGCGTTCCAGCGTATTTTGCGTAGCGACGAATTGGTTTAGAGCGGGGACTGGTGGGCCTGCCAAAAGCTGCCTAGAGACTGCCCATGTGGCCTCTGGACCTGTAGGATTCCGTTGCTTCTCTTCCAAGTCTCGCAATTTAGCTCTGTCCACCCGAAACCCCCGGCAAAGCGAATTCGTGATTGATCAACCTTGTGCACGAGGGAATTCTGAAGTTGAACTGGGACACCCCCTCCAAGATGGGATCGGCCTTCCGATTTTGTGCCAAAAGGAACAAGACGGGTCGTGTTTAGCAATGGGTGCCTGGTCTTCCAAGGTTCCCATTGCTCAGATAAATCGCTGCACCGGATGGGATGCCAGGCTGCGTGGGGGCTCTTTGCGGCCTGCCCTGCGCATTGTTCACCTTCGGCCTGTCAGTGCCCTTGGGCGCAGCCTTGGGAGGTGCCTTTGAACTGACTTGTCTGACGCATGTGTGGTGGGTGGGTGTGGGTGTGGCTGGGTGGGTGAAATCAGAACCAGGAGGATCAGATGATGTTGCGTTTTTGTTTGAGGGTTGTTGGGTTGTTCTGGGTAGGGTTGGTTTGATGATGTTCTCACTTCCTGAGTTTATGAACTTTAAGCTTTTTGGGAAGACTATTTTAGTGGTAAATATATTCTGGGCCATCCACTCAGCCAGTGATCTGTTTGCTGCTTGTCTGAATCGAATTTCATGCGTGAGGCTCAGTGGGCGGCTGCGGGGGCGTGGCAACAGGTCTCCTCGTGTCCCTGGCGGTTCGCTTCGCCGGACTGGTGGGGGGTTGGGGGGCGGTTGCTGTTGGCCGGGGGTCAAACATTAGGTCCCCCAGCAATGCCCTGTTACCCTTTTTTTGAGGGTAGGGTTCCCCTACGAAAATAGACTACGAAAAAAAGGGTACCCTTATTAGCTGTCTGGCCCAAATCCATTCAGCTCAGGGAGTAGGGCCCCCGGGGACCTGCGACACTCCATGGTGCGTTGGTCGTCCACCAAGCTGTGGTCTCCTCCACAGTGCCCCGCTTTTCGTGTGCGGGGCCCCCTCGTGGCCTCCCTGCTGTGCCCGTTGTGCTGTTGGCGTGTTGTTCCCCCTTTTTGGTGGTGTCGCCCTTTTTCCTGGCTTGGTCTCTTTCGTTGATGGCTGCTTCGCTTTGGTCCTGGTGTGTGGTTTGCTTTGGTGGGGTTCCGCTGCATGTGCCCATCCCTGCGTTAGGGATGGGCCCTGTTCTTCGGCCCCCTCCTCTCACTGCATGGTGGCGATTTGATGCCCCAGGTGCCGGGTGCACACCTCATGGTCCCTCCCCGGGAGTTCCACTTCCGGCAGTGATTTATACTTTGTGGTGCTGCTGCTCTACATTCCTTGTGGCCTTGGTGATTTTGCCTCTCTGGAGACCTACAGTTGTACAGTGTTTCGGCTTTTCTCTACTACTTGGGCGTTGCTACATCCTCATCTACCGGACTTGTGGGGTTGATAATCAACCGGTAGCTGTTCAACGTGACGGTGCCCAGCAACAGCATTTTATGCCGACTTTCCTCGGGCCTTTTCGTTTACTTTCCTCGCCTAGCAGTACAGTGGTTGCAGTGGTGGTGGGAGCTGGCTTTGGCTTTGCCTTCTTAGCGCCTGTGCGGCCCTGGATGCTGGCCTTTCCTGACTTGGGTACGTGTACAAGCAGATGTCCGAATCCGCTTGGCAGTGTGGGGTTCTCAATGGAATGGTGAAGTTTGTGCAGATGCTTGGCGCCCTGGGCATTGTGCTGAAGGGCATCGTGTTGTTTTACTGGCAAGCCCCGATGAAGCGAACCATGCAGTCCCGGCTCAATGCCGTGGATGCTTTGCTGACTACGCTTGTGACCTGATGCCGTCAGCCCCTGTTGGCGGCGCTCTGGTTTATGTTTCATCCTCACCGCGTTGAGTGCCAGATCTTTTCTCCGCAGCGATGGCTGTGGTATGTGTCACTGGTGGGCACCCGTCCCACCAGGCCTGTTCAGATGGTTGGGCGGCATGCCCCTCCGTCAGCTGGCGAACTCGTCGCCCGCCGTGTGCCAAAAGGGTACCCTTATTATTCTATCCTCTCTACTGGAGGACCTAGATTTTGGCCGGTTCTTTTTTGGACCCCTGCCGCCTGCCGCCTTAAGCGGGTCAGCAAAAGCAAGGCCCAATCTTTGTAACGCATAGCCCCCTGCACTCCCCAATGGAATCGTCCTCATGGGTGGCTGGAGCAAGTGAACCCACTACATCCAAACCCTGGTTCGCTTTAATTTGAAGAGCAACTTCTTCTAGTTGCATATAGTCTATATATATATATATATGTACAGGACTTCCACTGAAGAATCGCTGACTAGCCGTTGATTGGTCAGCAAAGAAGTAGGAGTGCCTGAAAACAACCGGAGCGAACCTGGCGCGTCTCCCACGTGCCACATGCAGGAAAGGCCTCCAGCCAATCACCCGTCGCACCTGAGAACCTTGGCATGTTGCACCGAGCATGCCAGCTGATCCGGTGAAGCGACCCTGTTCGGGGAACTCTCGCTGAGTTCTCGGAGCATGGAGCAATACCCCCAACATGCGATTTATCGGCCCATCTGAGTCTTTTTGTCAGTTACGGTGCGGTGTCTGCGCCCAAGCCTTCAAAAAAACAACTACGCAGCAGTCCAAACATTTGCGACACATTTTAAGTGTGGGGACTCCACTTGCTTCATCAAACATTGAGGTGTGATCCTGGACAGATGGACACAGCCTAGGTGCGTTGCAATCCCCTTGTTGCAAATGAGTCTGTGCTTTGTGAGGATACCCTTTTTGCCTTGGTTACACGAGACAGCAAAGGAAAGCACAATGTTTGGGACCCCTTTTCATGTGTTTTCCTTGCGGCTTCCTTAAAGCCATCCTTTTTGGTGGGTCCATTTTGATACCCCCAAATGGTGAATCGGTTTGCATCTGTTCGGGGGTACTGACATCTTTCCGCGCCTTAAAGCCAATTTCCCGGCTCGGATTGTTGGGCCGGCGTTCCAAGGGGCCCGCTCAAGAACCCTAGATTCTCCAAATGACGTATTCAGGGTGTACCAGATAAGGTTAGATGGGATGGTTTCCACTTTCGGTGGAACCACCCCCTATTCATTCACATATATTTCTCCAGGGTCACTATTGTTTCAGGTACAACCCCCGTGACTCCTAGGCCATCCTGTAACAGGTTGCAATCTCAACGGAAGGCCCTCTCATCTTGCCAGGGTCGTTCACTTTGCTTGGAGAATCCGACGTCCTCAATTTTTTGCTAAGCGCTTGGCACCGGTGTGACCAGTGTGGCTAGCGCACCATTCATCCAGCGAACGCGCGAGTCGCAGCCTTGCGACTCGACCAGGGGCAGGACTTCTCGGATGCCAAACGGCACCCGGGAAGCGCAGTGACAAACAGGCGGATTTAAGACCAAATCGGAGCTATCCCCCCCCTCCCTTGCAGATCCATGTTGGAGAGTTTACTGTTGGCCATTTTGAGGAAAGACCAAGTCAGGTGTGATTGTGGTATTTTGCACCTGTCCTAGCAGTACAGAGTGGTCCTGTGCAAAAGTGAGGAATCCCTGACTCAAAGGGAACACCCCCTATGAATCAACCAAGTGTTTATTCGAGCTTCGCATTGCTTGGCCATCCGAATGACATCAACTCACAGCTTCAACCTGCGGCGAAGGGATCCCTAGAGTAGCTCAGTGGTTGGTCAAAGTAACGAAGAGCTCCCAAAAAGAAGCACCCTCTATGAATCAGCAGGGACTGTACATCCAGAGTCTCCCACTTCTCAATGCTAGTGGGAAAATTGGGATTACGGCCACTTTCTGGGAATCAATCACTAAGGGTATCACAGAAAGGGTGGTGTTCCACAACCATGCAACCTGCGCACAGACCATGGATTCAAACAACAACATGCCCATGTTGAGAAACGCAGATGTAGTAGCTGATTTGGAGGATTGCCCTCGTGAATCCGGTGATTTGTTGCCGTTTTTGTTTTTCTCTCTTTTTCTTTAAAGAAACCCTGATTCAGGTAGGTGTTCGTCACTGTTTCTCGCGTGAGACACTGAGTTGTGCTTTCACGTGGATCCCATGCCCTGTCACGCTTTTCAACGCTGACTGAGCCTCGAGCTGGTTGTCCACGGTTCGAGTGGAGATATTTGAGGCAGCCACCACAAGCCTCCCAAGATGGGCTTCGCCACCGGTTTCCTTTGGGTTTCCCTCCAAAACCTGAATTTGCTTAAGAATATGTGTTATTTTCCATTGTTGGTCTGAAAGGAATTCATCACTGCTTGAAATATGTTATTATTATTATTATTCCCTGGGGCCTTAACCAAATGAAAAAAATAGGACCCGGGGTTTGATTGATTTTGGGTTCTCTCGGGTTCACTCCCACCTATGGCATCAGCAGCCCTTGTGTTCGGCTGGTGATCATCTTCCACGGACAGACTGGCCAAAGGCTCATGACAGGCGTGCACATCTTCCAAGCGGCTTGCCCAGACGGATGCTTTGAACTGCCATAAGCAATGGTGCCATCAGCACTTCTTCGGGCTCGTAGATTTACTTGGGCCCAAAGCAACATCCAGTTGGCCCCAGGCATAATGCTGTGAAGCACTGTGTGCCGGGCTTTCCGCGGCTGAGTGCTAAGGCGGTTCCATAGATGCAATTCCCCGAAGCGCTTGGGGATGACAGCCCAAAAGGAAGAGAGCCATGGAGGGGGAGACCAGAGCGTTTTGAGCAGTGCGCGCGTGGATGTATCTGGGTCCATGAGCCACCCCGAAAGGAAGCCAGGGTGTGCATCCCCACAATGGAACCCTGGTAAGTGGAGAAGACTAAACTCCTGTCCCCGGCCCATAGCCCCAATTGAACTTGTAGGGATCGTTAGAGATCAACTCACTTCCTGAGTTGGTGGACTTTAAACTTTTTGGAAAGACCATTTTAGTGGTAAATAAAAAGTTCAAACTTTTTTTGGCCATTCAACTTGGGAAGTGAGTCAAGACGTGGAATACCGATGTGTTGGAGCAGGGTCGTTCCCCGGTGTTGTGGAGCAGTGGCGGAGTTGGGCTGCGCCAACTGTTTCAAGCTCAGCATGCAGGGCAAGCGATGCAAACACCAAGGTCCTCCTGACTTCTACGTGGCTTAATTTGCCTCGGCCTCGTCCTATGCTTGACATTTGTGATGCAGGCTGGCGATTTTTTAATTGCGGTGATGCTGGTTAGACCCAACAAACGGGGCCCTGAAGCAAATGGAGTTGAACTGCCCATTCCCTTCATGCCGGTTCAGTGGTGGCCCAAAAAAAATACCTGTGTTGACACGAATCTTCCGGCTTGGCTTGGCTCGTCTCTTCTTTCGGGACACATAGGAGGGCAAATGAATGTCTGCAACGCAGCAGGCAGTCTTGCTGCGTGCATACGTGTCGACCCCTGTTTGGGTCAGTTTTGATTGAACATAGATGGACCACTGGTTTCAATTTGGTGTTCTATTCATTTTCCAGTGCCATCTATGCGTCCCAAGAAACACTGGTTGTGTCTTGCTGTGCTAGGATAGACTGTCAGAGCAGCCCCGAACAGACTTGGCTTGTTGCAATTTGCGTGACACATGGGATTCAGCGAGGATGCCACTACAGCTGCATTGCGCATATTTTAAGCGGGGCTTGGGCCTGAGTTGTGCGCTGAGAGTCGGGATTCGTTGAAACTAGTGCGCGATCACCACATTACCGCACACTTTCTTGGCTCAAGTGCACAGGGCTGTGAGTGGGAGATACACCCGTCTCCACCCAGTGTTCGGGAGAGCACGCAGGGCCATGTCGCGTATCGGTTTCCCGTCAGACCGACCTCAAAGGCTGGCAGCAGGTTCTCAGCCAGCGGAGTGACATGGCGACAAGCACCAGAGGCATCCAAGTGAGAGCCTACGAGGTTTTGGTGGAGATGTGCGGCACGCCCTGAATAGCGATTGTCGACGCGACCGGGGTCTTCCCCGAAAGCTTTCCAGGCATACTTCCGGCTAGGGGCACATTGTGTGTCTTTTTGCTGAGGGCAACCCTTCGCGGGGTTGGCTTGAACGGGAAGCGACAACGAAACCAAGCGTTTTGGGGGTTCAAAGACTCTGTTCTCACGCAAGCCCCAATCTCGCCAAGCTCCCGAAGCATTTGAGCCATGAGCACCTGGCCTTGCGCTGAAGCGCGCCGGGGCCACAGCGATGGTCGACGGGACCCATCAGCACGGAGAAGGGACACCAACGTGACATGGATTGAGGTGTCTCGTTTTGAGGGTATATGCTGCATTATATGCTGTACTTGACTTTTGTGGTTTTGAAAGGTGGGAACCGATCCCCGGCCCGGTCAGGTGGCTGGTTGGTTGGTTGGTTGGTTGGTTGGTGGGCGGGTGGGTGGGTGGGTGGGTGGGTGGGTTGGTTGGTTGCGGCCTCGTCCCCAGCATTCTCAGTTACTTGGTGCCCAATGGCTGTGATTGGGTGCTGGTTGGTTAGTTGGTCGGGGTTGCTTGGCTGCATCCCCAACACCGGCCTCGCTCGGACCTTTATTTAGGCTTGGCAAAGGGCTGATGTCCAGGCTGTTGTGGGGTGAGTTTAAATATGGCTCTGAGTCGGTTTGGATTGGCCTGGGGCTGATTTGCGCTAGGTGTGTCGCTGGTTTCGCAGTGGCTTTAGGGTTGCTTTAGGGTATGGTTAAAGGAAGCATGACGTGACTGACATTGGGTCTACTACCATTGGAAGGAAAGTGATGCCCCCTCCGGTCATTGCACCATGGCTCTGATGCTACTTGTTTCGTGAAATGATTTCAGCTCGCACCCATTTGTTACGCAGTCAGCCACTACTGAGAACAGTTCGGCGGACAGTTGGTGGGTGTTTTCCAGCGTCTACCGAGTTTGATCCATCTCATTTGGGGCATCTCAACTGCTGCAGGAGTTTGTCCATCCACTGTATTCTTGTTGGGGGGGCTTCTTGGCCTTGACAGAAAATCCTGGTCCATACCAACACTGCCAGCCAGTTGTGGGCAAGTTTCCTGACGCTGAGGCACCAAGAGGCGGGGCGGAATCTACTCCCGAGCTTTGCTTTGGGCTAATCGAGCCCATCAGGGCTGATTGGTTTTCATCAAAAACGGTAGGATCCCATTTGGAACGTGGGCGCCTTACGTCCAGCAAAAAGAGGTGAGACAAAAGCGGGTCGCTGGGTGGGGGGTCTGGGGTCTGGATGAGAATGCAGGGGCGCCTCTCACGCCTTGCTGGGGTTTCTCTCCCTCTCGGCGCTGTGTCTGGCAGCGGGGGACCCAAGGCAGCCGGATGAACTTGCCTGGGATTGATATGGAATTTCTGGGGTCCAAGGTTGCGCTTTTGGCTTCCCTAAGCCTCCCTGAGGAACCTAGACATTCGACCATATGCCACCTGGCAGATTGCCGAGCGCAACAAAACTGTTAGTCCAAAGATGTCCTTAAGAAGTTTTTCTTTTTGAGTACCTTTTGCTGGGTCCGCCAATGTGCAGGGGAGTAGCTGGTGTCAACTTCTCATGCGTGCTGCTAGGCATGCTGGACTGCAGTGGCTGTGCAGCCGGCAGCCTCAGAACTTGCCTGCTTCGATCTGCTCATTCCATTGTTGGAAGATGTTGGAAAGGTTCTTCCTCAGTACCCATGGTTGCGAGCTGTATTTTCGCTTTGGAGGCGTTTTTTCTTTCTTTCTTTTTCCCCGAGTTCTCAGACAAAAATCTGAATCAACGGAGCGAGGCGCATCTTTCAAAGATGCCTTGGCGCCTTTCTGTCGCAGGCAGGGGCTGGACAGGAAAAGCTGCCGAGTCCTGCTGGGGCTGTTATTGCCTTGTCACTCCCATCCGATTGGGAATTTGAATTCCATGGCCCTTTCAGCTTGGTTACAGGGACACCAAAAGGAAAGCCACCTTTCTTGGCGGGACCGATTCCATTTTGAACACAACACCCAGTCAGCAATTTGCTGTGGGTCAAAAATATGTACCCAAAATGGCATCCTGGCAAATGGACCAAAACCTGGGGTCCCCTGGTGGTTTCATTTTGACCCATACCCATTTATTTCCAGGTCGATTGGGCTTGTTGGTGTGGCTTCTGCGAGAGGCCTGCGCGGTACTTGGCATCCTTTGCCTGGCCCAGATGCTGGACTCCGCCGCTGCTCGCCTTTTTCCTTCGCACATCTGATGTTTCTTGGTGGCTCCAGCCATCCAGTTCCTTAGCTTTTTAGCCTTTTAGTGGTTAGCGGTAGTTTCCATTTAACCCACTAAAAGTTAAACTTTCAGCGGGGGATCTGAGGGCAGCCCAGGTTTGAATTTGTTAGACCCTTTGGTGGACATGGGTGGGTCGTTTTGTGGCAAAGGTAGCAACAATGGCTGGCCCCACGAGTGAGTAATCCTGACATGACACATGTGTTGCTTCTTCATGGTTTCTTCTGTTTCTAATGAGGAATACCCTCCCAAATGAATGGACATAAATCTTCTGAATGACGTGAGCGTGTTTCTGTCAAAGGTACCCAACAATGGTTGGTTGAAAGGCTGAAAGGGAAACCAAAAGCACAACCGTTGCGCCATTTGTTGTTTTTCCTTCTGGTTTGCCCATGCACCCACCAAACACATTGTTTTCGGGACTCTGACATTGTTCGGTCGCCTCTAAAGAAGGTCCCCCAAGTTCACCAAGTTGGACAAACAGGTTCTACACAGTTTTGCTTTCCTGGAATATTTCCTTGGCTTGTTACATGGCAAGGCCAGCACCTCTCGGCTGGAATTTCGGCGCGACACCTTTTTATCACGAGGTGAGCTTGGTTGCGGATGAATCCCCAGAAGACAGCCAGCCACATGCAAGCAACTGATCATGTTTGGTGGCATCTCTAGAACTTTCGATCCTCGGAGGTGCCTTTTCACCCTTTGGGGGGGGGGTTCCCCTACTAAAATAGACTACAGGACAAAGGGTAGCCTTATTCTAACCTTTCTACTGGAGGTCCGTCAAGTTTGATCTCAAAACTTGCATACGAAAGGGATCAGGATTGCCTTGCGGTGTTGGTTGCCCACTTTGCAACAAGCCGTTCCTTCCCATGGACACTTGCTGACACTTGGCGGAGGGTGAGGTGTTCCAATAAGCTCTATTTTAGATGCTGCACGAACGTGCGGATTGCCAGTTGAGCATTGCCCATGCCTGGATGTCCATTTCAGTAGCCGGTTTACTACCTGGTTTGACGCGGGGGGGGGGGGGGGGTTGTAAGGCCTACAACCTCAAGCATTCGGTGGAACTTCTTTCTGCCTGTCACAAAGACTCAGGCATCCCTGAATCGGTGGTTTGGATCGGTGGGAGCTGGATTTGGATTTGAACCCTGGGTTCTTGTGGAGGGGATGGGAAACCACTCCCGGATCACCAAACCACCGATTCGGCTCCAAACAGGGAAGCTGAACAATGGGCGTTTTTTGCCTGCCGTAGCCCCTCAGGTTAGCATGGAGAATGAGAGGCAGGGCTTGCGTTTTGGTCGGCTCGTTTGGCGCTGCAGGCGATGCTTCTGCGATGCTTTTGCGAGTGGTTCGTTGCGTCGCTGCGAAGATCATGTCTGGTGTTGCAGATTAGCAGTGCCCGCTGTTGGTTCCACTGACTTCTGAAGGTTACAGCCCCCTGGAGCCAGTAGTAGAACCACCCACTCCACACATTCGCAAGCGAAATCGAAGCCCCCCACGGCATTTGGTGAGAGTCATGTGATGGCCTTGGTTTAGCGAGTTACCTAGCCCAAAAACAAACAGAACGAAGAAGACAACCCAAAAGGGAGGCAAGAGGCCACTGAAATGGCCAAGAGGGGTGTATGAGCGCTGCTGATAGGTGGCTACCTGAAAAGTGGTTGGCGGACAAACATGTTCACCTAACTGGATATCCACCATTTCGGGTCCCCCATTAGAATTCACACCCATACACTCCCTCAGACTAGCATGGAAGCTCCCAGAACTCTGTAAATGTAACCAAGCCTTCCATTTGGGGGTCCTGGGAGCTTCCATGGACTGCCAATTAAAAATGGGTTGTAGCCCCACAATTATGGTGGGTGAAATCCCTTTTTCACTTTTTTCATGGGTAGTTTGATGGTTCAGGTACGTGTTTGTCATTCGGGCAGATGTGATGTGGGTTCAGCCACTTGATTCGTCGAGGCGTTCCGGGCGGCGGCTGCTGAAGGCCTGGGTGAAGCGTCGCAGGCTCAGAAACCGCCCGCTGCACCTCCCAAAAAACGGGATTGACCCTCCCAGGAGTGAAACATGAAAGAGGATCCCTCTTAGACTTCCATTTGCTCATGTTTGAGTTGCGATGTTTGGCTTTAAAGGGAATCTATCGCTACTGGAGATATGTGTTTTTTGTCCAGTGGGCTTGAACAAATGGAAGTAGATGGTCTTTCAGGGGTCCCCTTTCAGATTCCATGTTTTTTTTTGGAGGTTGTCTCCAGCGGTGAATTGTTCCTCTATGTCGTCATCATTTCTGGTGTTGAGACAACTGCATGTTTGACAAGCTGCAGCATGTTGGTAGCAAGCGACCCGGCCACAACCTTGCCTTTGCTTGGCGAGGCAAGCGTGCCATGTCCAGAGCGGAGGAGCGGGTGGGGCATTCATTCGGGAGGGGTGCTTCCACAAGTTCGCTGGATTATTCACAAGCGCCCGAAATGCCGCTTTCAGAAAACACAGCTTCGAAGCCCTTTGCCAAAAGAGCGTCAAAGACCATGACCACAAGGCAGCTTTTGTCCTTTGGTCCACGACAGGCGGCTTTTGGTGTTTACCTCATTTTGCGGAAGCCTGAAATGACAGCAGGCCCCTCACCCCTCAGGGACGGCGCTTGGATGATCAACGCACTTAGCAAGTAGGTTTTAGCCATGATGGTATGTCCCCCCACGCCTTGTTCCCACCTGATTTGTTACCCTCATTCCCCGAGTCCCCGAGTTCCTGGACTTCAAGCTTTTTGGGAAGACATGGAAAGACCGTTTTAGTGGTAACCAGAAAGTTTAGACATCTTTTGGGCAATCCACTCAGGAAGTGAGCACCAGTATGGCCCTACTTGCTGGCTGCTTGAGCATCCAAGTGGCTGTGGGTCAAACATAGAGTAACCCCCAAATGGAACCCTGGTAGATGGAAACATGGACTCAAACCTGGGGCTTTGTGGTGGATTGATCTTGATTCCGTACCCAGAAACGAAAACACAGGCGCCGGGTTCGCCATGCAGGAAGCACCTGTGAAGCGGCGCCGCCGGTGACCGGTGACCCGCCTGCCACTCCCCAGATGCCTTTCCCGGGCGGGCGAAGTGCGAAGCTCGCGTCGGTCCAAAGCGAGGTCCCCCAGTGGTGCCCTTTTACCGGTTTTTTGGGAAAGGGTTCCCCTACTAAAAAACGACTATAGAAGACAGGGCACCCTTCTTCCAACCTCTCTACTGGAGGACCTAGAAAGTGGGCATCCTCCAAGTTTACCTCTTTGATGGTGGGTCAAAGGGAAACCACCCCCAAGAGCAACCGTGAGAACCCCTCAGGAGCAATGTTCACTTTAATGGACCTGGTTTCAGAGCTGAGCCAATGAGCAGGAACTTATGGCCGGTGTACAGCAAACCAACAAAGCACCAGCCAGCCAAACAACCCAGCAATTTTGACAGGGCTCCTGAAAAGATACATTTTGCCCATTTGAAACATTGCTTTTTCCACCAAAATAGAGGGAAACCTCCATTTACAAGGCAATGTTCAGGTGTATAATGTAAGGACCCCTGTTTGATGTTTGGAGGAACCCACGCGGGGATTTGTAGTTTGTGCTTGTTCTTTGACTTTTATGTAGCACCAAGATGGGTGATGGCTGTTTCCTGGAGTAGGCGATTCCCTTCTACAGCATGTTTGTACTCAACCTTTTGGCGATGCATGATGTACTGCGCTCTTTGGTTGTGCTGGGGTTGTTTTCAAACAAACGTGCACCCCCTTTCTGGCAGATCACCAATACATGGATCCATGGATTGGAGCCGACCCCCGATTTGCGGATCTGGGGATCTGGTCGCTTTCCCGAAACTTCCAGCGTCCCGGACTTGACAAGTCGTGCAGCTTGGAATGTACAAAGATGAACTCACGCCCTGGTGTTCCCCTGCCATGGGAGGGGGACCCCAAGAATCGGCCGGTTGTTGGGATGTCTCATAAGGGTGGCGCTTTGAAGGTTGGACACCCCCAAAATGAAGTGTTTTCTTTTGAACCCACCAAACAGGGGCAACCTCAAAAAAACAGACGCACCCATAATCACCCATATATGAAAAAGGCCTTTGCGTCATCATGATCGTAAAGGCGCATCTCTTCTGTCAAATGGGACAATTCGTAATGGAGAAGCAGAGGTGGAGATGTCTGACGCAACTGCCATTTGGAAGACTTCCTGAGAGATTGACAGGAGAGCTGTCAAGATGGTGGGGCAGCTCAGCCCTTGCAAGGTGAAATTCGCTTCGTGGCCTGGTGACGCATGCCTTTGGTGGCACGACATGCTGGTTGGGGGACGGTGGCCATGGCTTAGTGAGGCTGTTTTGTGAACTCTCACTGATGCTGACCCCACACTGACACACAAAACCGAATCCAGAACCCCTCGCTAGTTACTAGTTGTTGGCAAGGAACCATTGCAAAAGAAAAGCCTTAGAGGCAGTCAGGGCAAATTGCAAGAACTGCAGCAGAGCAGGTCTCTCAACATAACTTCTATTACTCAATCATATGTGCCATAGTCAAAAGACCGAATTCTTTACATGAGGAAGGGATGTCGCGATCTTTTGGGTGTTTAGAGTGTAAAGCTTAAGCAAACCATGGCCTGGGCCCAGGCTTTCCTCCATGTCAGAGACGGACTCGCCAAGATTTGAATTAGGGAATCGGAATGCCGTGATGTGCCGCATCCGTGGCAAGTTGAAGATGGCTGAGCCGCCAGTGTTCCGCTCAAGCTGCGCTGCATGGCAAAAGTTGTTGGCAGGCGCCTTGATTGATGTGTCAGCTGATACAGCAGCACAGCTGCTCGACATACAATGCCAGGTGCCTTTGATCCTTTAGAAGCAGCATGGACTTGAGCACACGTTTTGTGATACAGAGATCGTGATGCTGCATTCCTTGGCTGGTCGTAGCATTTGCACATTTGAGAAGGCCATGTCACGGGAGCCAACTTTTGCAGGAGGTGAGTTTGTTCAGCCAGCAGAGGCAAACTCCCGCCAATCAATACAGGCCAGACACGTGACTTATCGATTCGAGCACCCAGAAGCAAAAAACCAGGCCCGCCAGCTTGTTGGGCGTGGCTAGCAACGGCTGCCAGCACAACAGCTCACAACGCACACGCCAGAACCAGAGTGCATTCGGCGCTGTCACAAGAGACACCGCCCAAGCATCTTAGAATCTTAGAAGTTGCATCGGCGCGGCTCAGCTATGAGCGATGCCTTTGAGAGTCTGGCAGCCACACAGCTGTACTTGGACGACGTGGATGACGCCCTGCCCGTTGTTTAGCACCCTTTGCTCCTTTCTATTTTTTGATCAGTTTCCCTTTCTCAGCCAAGTCATGGGGGTCTAATGGGCGAATGCCAAACAGCTGATAGCCCATAATTTTCCAGAACATCCCTTTTTAGAGCCCCCCCCCCCCCCCGGCTTTTTATTGCTTGTTTGTGGAAGGTTTTTCCGTTCAGCCGACCAAAACGGGTAACTTGAGTCATGGGAAGCCTTGGGCGCGAGTAAGGACAGGTCCACGCTGGCTTTTGCCACCATTTCTTACGCGGAGGAGAGTTGTTCAACCGTGGTGGTGACATGTGCAACACCACCTGGGCAGCTGGTGAATATAAAAAAGGCGGATGTCGTACCAACCCCCTCTGTTTGTTTGCTCTTTCTTTTGGTATCGCTCTCTCTCTCTCTCTCTCTCTCTCCCTCTCTTTGTCTCTCTTTGTCTTTCTCCATGTTTGTGTGAGTGTGTTTTCGACAATCAACATTGGGGTGTGTTGTTTTTTTCTTCGGCTTTTATTATTATTAATCCTAAACACTTTTGAATAAAGTGTTTTCGACAATCAACATTGGGGTAGGTGTTTTTTTTTGTTTAATCCTAAACACTGAAGGACTTGTCCTTTTCCCATGAAAAGCCAGCCTGAAACACGCAACCGCCGCAAGGGTGTCAACCATTCCGACCCTGACACTACACCGGTCGGCTTCGGACAGAAATCGACTCTAGCTCCATGTTTAGGGCCACTTTCTGTGACATTACGGGATGGACGAAATCCGTTCGCACCACTTTGAAACTATGAGAAACCGTAGTTTGTTGGTATTTACAGGGGAATCATCAGAAAGCAGGGTTTCTTAGGTGGTGCGAAATGGATTTATTAGGGGATTCATGACTGATAATGTAAAGGAGTCACAGGAATGACCCATATTGGTATCACTGAAAGGGTGACTTTTCAACCATGCTGGAGCCTTGTTTGACACCGCCGTGCAGCCTGCAAGCCCAATCATCTCGAGGTTGCTTCATGCAAGGATTCCAAGATTGGGCAAGCTGAGCAATGCAAATCCACACAAACACCTGTAGCAGCTATCTTAAGCAAAGCGCCACCGAGCATACTCCAACAGCCAGCAGCAGTGCGAAGTTTGGCTGAGCCAAAGAGTTCCGTCTTCAAATGGGGCAACCCGAACATGGCAGCTTGCCTATTGTTTCCCTTTAAGAAAGCCCCCAAAAAGGTAACATCAAACCAAGCGGCCAAGTCGACGTTGCCCGAAACTTCAAAACGCCCACTTGTGTTACCTCTCTTAAACGGGACACGAAACCTGTGCCATTGCCACCTTGCCGGATGCGCGACATCGATCCTCAGGAGGATTTCCCAGCGACCCAGCCCTACTTCGAGGGCGCCCCTCCCGGAGATGATCCGCTGGAAAATCTGAGGAGCAGAGTTGGTCCCATCAGTGCTTCTAATGCTACGTATCGATTGCAACGGTCGGCTTCATTCTTCCATTTGGGTATGGGTAAAAATGAAACCACAAGGTGAGGTTTCATTCTACTCCATATTTTCATCTACCAGGGTTCCTGTTTTGGTACCCATGTTTGACCTACAGCCATTTCTTTGTTTAGGCATTTTGTGCGTGCACACTTTTTACATCCTAGTTTGCTGAGCGTCTATTGGTTGGTCATCAACCCACGATCAGAGTGTTAGATGACCTTGACATGATGATTCAATCCATATTGACGCAACCCATGAAATCCCCCTCTCGCAGAGTCTGATCATTGCACACGTTGGCGAGTGATTGGCGGACATCAATTGCCGATACCCATTTCAGCACATATCACTGTGCTTACTGGTGAAATCTGGGCAGGTTTCGCTTGGGAAACACCTTGGGCAGGAATCACTGGGAAAGGGCATCTCAACGAGCTGCCACGGTGGTCCTTCAATTGCATCATTATGTGCATGTGATTCCTCGGAATGCTTTGCCATGTGCCCGCAGGACCGACGGTTGGGAAGTGAAAGGGGACGATCGTCAGAGAGGCGTTGAGCTCTGTGAGGCTATGAATCGCTTTGAGTTCAAAGGGCGGAGCAGTGGACGCGCAACGCTCACGGAGGTTCTGCGCAATGAAAGCGCACAGAGTCAGCAGAAGGGTAGAAGTGGCAACGATCAAAGCAGTCATGGTGAGAGTGATTTCAAGGATGAGGGCCAAGCAACCCAAATCTATCATGACCCAGAAATAGATCCACCGGCGACAGAGGCATTCTCTGATGCTGCTAGAGGAGATTGTGCAGCTAACTCAGGTGTTGTCCAGTGTGGCGCACGCTCAGCAGTGAGTCGGCCAGAGGTACCCAAGTTTGCCGACACAGAGCAGTCTTCTGCACCAAAGCCAGATTCGGCAGACGCCCCATCGGCTGCAGTCAAGCCAGTTGAGCTACAGGAACAAGAGGTCTGCTCGCGCGAGCCTGTGAGCGATCATGCTGATGATGGGCAGGACACGTTGGCCTACAATGAAGATGAGGCCGCGAGTGCGCCCTCATGCCACAGCAAGGTGGATGCTGCAGAGCACAAGCTCGATGCAGCTGGGTGCGCATACAATTTGATGTTATGCAACAGTGAGGGCGGCACAGAGGGTGGCTTTTTGGATGAGGGGCAGGAGACCCAAGTTTATCATGACCCAGAAATAGATCCACCGGCAACAGAGGCATTCTCTGATGCGGCTAGAGGAGATGGTGCAGGCAATTCAGATGGTGTCCAGTGTGGCGCAAGCTCAGCAGTGAGTCGGCCAGAGGTACCCAAGTTTGCTGACACAGAGCAGCCGTCTGCACCAATTCCGGGTTCGGCAGACGCGCCATCCGCTGCAGTCAAGCCAGTTGAGCTACAGGAACAAGAGGTCTGCTCACGCGAGCCTGTGAGCGATCATGCTGATGATGGGCAGGACACGTTGGCCTACAATGAAGATGAGGCCGCGAGTGCGCCCACATGCCACAGCAAGGTGGATGCTGCAGAGAACAAGCTCAATGCAACTGGGTGCGCATACAATTTGATGTTATGCAACAGTGAGGGCGGCACAGAGGGTGGCTTTTTGGATGAGGGGCAGGAGACCCAAGTTTATCATGACCCAGAAATAGATCCACCGGCGACAGAGGCATTATCTGATGCGGCTAGAGGAGATTGTGCAGGCAATTCAGATGGTGTCCAGTGTGGCACAAGCTCAGCAGTGAGTCGGCCAGAGGTACCCAAGTTTGCTGACACAGAGCAGCCGTCTGCACCAATTCCGGGTTTGGCAGACGCGCCATCCGCTGCAGTCAAGCCAGTTGAGCTACAGGAACAAGAGGTCTGCTCACGCGAGCCTGTGAGCGATCATGCTGATGCTGGGCAGGACACGTTGGCCTACAATGAAGATGAGGCCCCGAGTGCGCCCACATGCCACAGCAAGGTGGATGCTGCAGAGCACAAGCTCGGTGCAACTGGGTGCGCATACAATGTGATGTTATGCAGCAGTGAGGGCGGCACAGAGGGTGGCTTTTTGGATGAGGGACAGGCGACCCAAGTTTATCATGACCCAGACTTAGATCCTCCGACCACAGAGGCATGTTGTGATGCGGCTAGAGGAGATTGTGCAGCTAACTCAGATGTTGTCCAGTGTGGCACAAGCTCAGCAGTGAGTCGCCCAGAGGTACCCAAGTTTGCCGACACAGAGCAGTCTTCTGCACCAAAGCCGGGTCCGGCAGACGCTCCATCGGCTGCAGTCGAGCCAGCTGATCCGAGCGATCCCAAGCAGGCCAAGCAGGCGTGCCTTCGTTGTTGTTTGCTGGATTTGTTTTTGTTCTCTCCCGAACATAGAACCTGAACAGGATTTCTAGGATGACATATGTCATATGATCATAGTAATAGTAATAATAATGATAGACAAAAACCAAAAAAAAAACAACGAAGGGGCCCTTTCTGGACTCCCCGAACGTCATGTGCCACGCCTCAAAGGGTTGGGGTATAGGGAATTGAACAAGAAAACAGCTTATTTAGGTTGTTTTGGGGCCATTTCCTGTAGACTTTCCTGTAACCAAACTCTTTCAATGCATTTGAATGTCAATTGGTGAGAGGGTATCCATGGGATTTTTTCCTTCCCCCTGAGAGGCAAGGAGCTCGGCCTCACCGAAAAAGACTCGAACTTCGCGGAAGTCGGTGCGGCAAGTGTCAGTCATGACGCAGACATGCGCGGAGGACGGGACCTTTTTTGCGTTTGGCCACGAAGTCTAAGAGGGAACCCCCTCAAAAGTGGTGGGCATAAATCCCCACCAAAATGATGTCCACCAAAGATCACCAAAGGGTCTCCCATCAAAAGTTGACAGCCATATAAACAAATAGATGCAAACACATATATATATATATATATGCACGTCTGTCTTGATTGGACTCTTTTCAGGTTTGTTGAGAAGCCCAAAGGAAAACCACCAACCCATATTAGGTTCCTTCGCAACGGAGTTCCTATGTGTGTTCCTTTGGGTTTAGCAAAGGTGTGCTTTGTAATATTTCTGTTTTTGGGGGCATGTACGTTTATCATAGCATGTTTGATTATTGCCATGGCCAATGCGCCATTTGGCTCAAGCTTTTGCATTCGGCGAACATAGCCTGCTGTCTCGTCGGGGAAAAGTCCGCGGCGCTCTGCACGCCGGCCGCACGACGTCGCGGCCGTCGTTGCTGGGGCGGTGGCTTTCGCCCCGGAGGTGGGTCGGGCTGGTGTTTGGAGTGCGCTGCTATTGCTTGCTTTGCTCGCTTGGTGCTGCTTGCTGCTGGTTTGCTTGCCTGCTTTGCGCTGTGCTGCGCTTCTGCTTGGTTCCTTCTTGTTACAACGAGGCACCCCTTTTGGTTCGTGTTAGTGCCGGCCGGGGGCAACTGCTTTGCCCTTGGGACCGGGGGGATAAGGTGGTCTCTTCTTGTTGGTGGGTTAGGGCCTGTTTTATCTATCCCGAAACTCTGTTTCAAACCCTTTCGCAGGTTATCAGCCGTAGGATTCGTCCTCGGTTGGCACCGCGAACCCCTTGTTTAACAACCCTGCAGGCTTTGTAGGGTAGTGTACAAATCATGGCGGGAATCACTGAGGACGGACCTCATGTGGTGACCGACGAATGGGTTCTCGGCCAGGCCGGAATCTTGGACGTTGTGAATGACGACCAAGTGCCCGGACAGCCGATGTTTTCCGGTCCTGACTTCTTATCGGACCACACTTTTTCAGAAGCAATGCCTTCAGAGAGATCCAGTGCTACTCGCACTGATGATCTATCGTCTAATGCCTCAAGAGCTAATCGCTCTCAGGGTCGTGGGACTAATCGTCCTGACCATGATGATTCCGTCTCAGGACGTGATGATGACGAGCCCGGTAGTGCACCTGGAGCTCAATCCTCATCTTTCCCCGAGCTGATGAATATTGGTCAGTCCGAGTTTCGTGACTCTCGAAGTAGCAGTAGACCTGTGCCAACCAGTAGCATAGCTTTTCAAGTGCTCGGTAATCCCGAACCTGGTACATCCAGTGGAGTTGCATTTGACGTTCATCTGCCGACCGAATCCGGTGGGCTCGATTGGAGAGCCTCATGGCCCAACGACGGAAACATTTTTGGTATGGATTTTGCCGCATGGATGCCAGGGCCACCCGCCCCGTCATCTTTCCCGCATTTCCAAAGCCCAAAACGGGCTGCTGGAAGTGATGAATTCATGCTACCTTTGTCGATTGAGAATCTCAATCCTGATGTGGCCAGCCGTAACGTCAGGCCAAGACCGTCGGTAAACCCGACCATGAGGAACATGTCTCCTCCCCCGGGACTTTCAGGATTTGAGAGCCCTAGGGAGCGTAATATCGTAGATAGATTGGATTTGCATCCCAGTCCAACCCCCAAGCAAACGATCAAGGTCGAATTCGACTGGATCGCATAGGGCGAGGGGGATGGATCGGGACGCGGCCGATCAGGTGACCCAGCGTCAATCATTGGAAGAGACCCGTTAAACGCGGATACACTGGTTAACGTGCTTGATGGGATCGAAGCATTCCAGGAGGAATTTAATAGGTCTGGTGGCTTGAACGCGCATGGTGTTCGCCCTACGCCCAACGCGGCTTCCTTTTTCGCTCTGGACAATATGGACGGAGCTAATGTTCCAATAGAATCTGAGTCCATGATGGCATCAAGTTCTAGTCGCAATCATACCATCAGTAATGCAACTGATATTGAATCGATGTCTGAGTCTAGAGTGTCCAATGCGACCGACTTGAATGACATTGTTATTGCTGACTCGAGACCTGATGTTCCTATGCGAACGGATAGGCCTGTTATTCCTAAACTATCCGTTGCCAAAGGCCTGGGCATGACACAACCCTCTGCGGTTCGTGATGCTAGGAGATCTGCTCCGTATCAGAGTCAATCTCCTAATCGGAGTGAGTTCCCACGGCCATCAACGGCCGTCCAGGATGTTTTCAGAACTCCTCCGAGATCTAATCCAATCATGGTTGATTTGTCCACTCCTCGAGATCGCGGATCAGGATTTGGTCCTGCGAGTGAGGAGCAACCCAACGAGGTTGCTGATCTTGTAACAGCCCTTGAGAGAGGGAGAGTGGATTCTTCGGTAAGTGCGATTATTCATCGCCTGGTTGCTAAGGTCGAAGACCTTGGGCGTAGGAATGATAGAAGTGATCAATGCATCAAGCAGCTCTCCACTGAGGTCAACTCGTGGAGGGCCGAGTACGATCAATGCGTCCATGTGAGTAGCACGTGTACACAGGCTGCGAACGCGGCCATGCAGCTGTCACAAGGGAGTAAGGACATCGTGACCGAGCTTGGCCAACGCGTCAAGATCGTTGCCGATCGCATGATAAGCATAGGCGATGCCCTAAACGAGCGAGCCAGCTACGATGATGTTGCTCGCTCCATCACCCAGGTTCAAACTGTTTTTGAATCCCTTTCTGATCGAGTAACCGGGCTTATAGCTCGTGTTGATATGATCGAGAGATCTCTAGTGGAGAGCCAATCCAACCATCCTGCGATTGGTGGAGTAAACCTCAAAATCGAGGACCTGTCCACTAGGGTATGTCAGATTGATAGGATGATGCAAGATGTCGAACAACGCTGGACTAATGATAGGGACGGCATAAGGTGGGTTAAAGACCAACTTTATGAGACACAAGCCAACCTTGAGATAAAGTCAAGGGACTGCAAATCCTACACGGACAAGCAAAATACTCATAACATGGCCGTTTCGACTACGCTCAACAGTAAGCTCGAGCAAATGCTCGAGGTGCTGGGTAATACGGCCCAGAGAATTAACTCCCTCGAGTCAAGGCACTCGAACCAGGCCTCAAGTAGTGGATTGAACGATCACACAGGGGGAAGGCGTGCCGCGTCCCGTACTCCGGATAAGCGGCCACCTCCACCTGGCCCTCCTGATGATGATCCTCCACCACCTCCTCCTCCAGATTGGCAATGCAACCCGGCTACACCAGATTAAAATACAAATTAAAGCTAAAACAGTTATTGATGGATATAATCATCTCATGGCTGAGTTTCACTGCAAGGGATGCAGAGGTGATATTTGTGAATATTGTTTCTCGTTTAAAGAGAACCTGTGTGAAGAATGTTCCCGTAACGGACCCCGATGCGGAGTCTGTAGGGAGAGCTCGTTCCTGACCAAGGGAATTGAGTGTCAGTTTTGTAAGACCTACTACTGCACCAGACATTCTGCTGGGCAGGACGACTACAGGAGATTTGGATTTGTCCAGGGTCCCTGTTGTCTTGCGTACCTAAGGGACGAAACTAGGAGAAGAAGGGATCCCGATGGTAACCGTGTCAGGAATAGGTCGCCTGGGGGCGTACCTGAGGCGAACCCGACGCGGTCGTTCTCGCCGCCTCTGCGGCCACCCGTTGACAGATTCCGTGACACCCCAACTGGGGGTCAACCCAACGCGGCTGACCTTCAGAGTCCTCCGAAGGCTACGCAACCCGTGCCCCTGGATAAACGTGAAACCGGATATTATCCAGGATTTGATCCCAACGGTACAAGGCCGAAGGATCCTTCAGGCCTTGAGCCGCCGACCATGCGTGGCCCCGATCCTCCTGACAAGAAATGTCGGATGTGTGATCGGGATATTCCTGACCCCAGCAAAATTGAGGAATGTAAGATATGCATGAAAAGGGCATGTGAGATTTGCATTCCGAAGGCTACTCGCCTTTGTCCTGTATGTGCATTGTCAATCGGTAGTTCTCAGGTTCCACAGCATCTCTTCGGAACTGGTGGCGGCGGGTACGGTAGCCACCATGATCCGAACTGTACAGCTGCGACTAAGTGCATTCCCATAGACCTCCCGCCAGAGCCCGACGCGGCTGGGCTGAGGGTATGGATAGCCCATATGAAGGAAGCTGTTAGCAATGCCTACAGCTATGATGGACTTTACGTCATCAATTGGCTAACTGAAGTCGAGAAGGCAAAGACCTTTGATGAGCTGGACGGGGAATGTAAATACCACATCCTTGAAGCCAGGTTCAATGCAGCCATTCGGAAGTGCATCAAGACTGTTGCAATTATCGATAAGATTAATCGTCTCACCGAAGCCGCTCAACGTTCCAACAATCGCATCAAGAGTAGGCAGATCCTGTGGCTCTTATACGACCACTTAAGGACAGCAAATATCGGAGAGCAATCATTCAGGATAATTGAGCTCTCAAACTTGCGATGCAGTGTTTCATCTTTCTATACTGAAGAGGAGCGACTTGAAAGGTTCATCGCGAAGTGGGATCACATCCTTGCGGGTCTCGATGAACCGCTGACCGAACAGGTAAAGCGGTCGCTATTCAGTGAAAAGGTTAGACACCTCAACTGTTTGGCTCATGATATCAGGGAATGGGATAGGAACATATCCAATCCTGATGTTTGTAGCTATGAATGGCTTCGTGCTCGTTGCAAGAACGAAATTGACCGCTGGAGGGTTCGTAAGAATCAGGTCAATATGCACAAGGACTTTTACGAACGATCTCAGTCCAGGGACAGAGCCCAGAAACCTGGTGCTCCTGGTCCTCCCGTCCGGAGACGATCTCCGTTTGGAGATTCCCATAGGCCGAGTCGGCCTCCTAGCGATCCGAGGAAGAGGACCGGTAATACCCCAAGTCCTCATCGAAGGGACAGGTACTCTCCCAGGAATCGGGAGCAGGACAAGCGGCGTACGCCTAGCCCTAGGGGCGAGC